TCCTTACAATAATTTTGCCTGCTCATCAGGCTGGCTATCCGACACTCTCCATATGAAAGAGGAACATTAACACCTTTGTCCAGCAACTGTCCCTCCAACCCCCCACAGGCTATCGGAGTCTGAGGCTGACTTAACACAAAGAGAAGTCGCAATTCACACTTAAATCGCCATTCTAGACAGTGTTGATAATGAAGGAATTAAATGATTTAAGTTACATGTAGCCTAGTGATATTTCTGTCATAAAAGTTTATTACTAAATATTTCATTATTTCAATAATTGATGAAATAAAACTGGTTTGGGGCAGCTTTTTCCAAGCAAAACTAAATATAATCTGAAAAAACGCTTGTGAATTTGTTGTCACTTAATATTAAAGTCTACAGGGATCTTTGGATCCTTACAACCAGGCATGCAATTTGTGAATTAAGTTTTTATTTTATTTTGTATTATTCAAATAAATATCGAAACACGGTGCTTCGTGGTAATGCTGCTAAATTAAATAACATTTATAGAATAATTATGAACTTAAATGAAACAATATCGCAACATTTCGACAAATACATTATTATGTTTTTACATTTTAATTCAGGGCGATTTAGCCTACATTTAATTAGAGCGAGATTTTCACCCATGTCTTGTCATTTTCTCATTGGGAAGCGCATGTTTGAGTAGATCCTCTGTACCTCTCGTTTTCATATGGATTAGCCTACATAATCAGATAACATTTATTAGCCTAAATATTTAGACATTTAAAGGCTTTAGACATAGCCGATTTCTTATCGTGACTGAGCTGAAGTGGCTTTCGGTTCATTTTTGTGACGCGCAGTTCCCGGAGACAGAGAGGACAGATATACTGTTTATGTCGTTAGCCTAATATGAATACAAGTTTACAGTTTTGAACGATGTAAGCTACTCTACTCTTATCTGTATGACCAAAAAATTACGGAGTCGCCTATTAAGTTATTTTAGCTGTAATAATGAGATAAATAAATTAATCTAAATGAACGCGCCGCCGCGTTTGTCGAACACTAACTCACGATGCCAGAATAAAACCCGACTTTAGAAAAATGCATAGGGTCACTCGGCGTGGTGTGCCAAAACACTTAATTATAAACTTCAATATTTCATTCAAAATAATCTCAACACGCTTTGTGAAATTTTGAAAAGCCGTGCATGCATTAAGGCCACTGGAACTAATGAACAACTGAAACGCTGGTTTTGATTTTATTGTTTTTCGTTTAAACGTGCCTGTTGCATATCTCTATTTTATATATTTGATATTGGTGAAGTAGCCTATAGCATTGATTAGCTGTGGAGGGAGGGGTGTGGGGATTAAAATAATTCAGCAGAAGTAGGGATGTTTAGACCAGAAGGAAATCCCAGTCCCCCCTGGCAAATCACACTTTACTTAAAACCATGTTTTTAAAAACTCTAGGTTGTAGGGAACAGACCTCTCTGCCATGCGCGCGCACGGTTTGGAGCACAATATCTGTCTCGCATGCACGCTCGCTCTAAATAGATTACGGGATATTTTAACTAATTTACGGTATAACTAGTCGATCACGAGTGGCTCAACAGGTAGATCTATAGATAAACTATATCTTTCAGGAATTTGACCGACCGGGTTGACACTTCAGCGTGAGAAATCGGGGGGGTGGCGTGAGAGCCTGGAATAAATAAATAAAAAAATATATATAGCCTATATAAAACAAAACTGTATGGTGTAACAGAGTTTTAGAGCTAGACAAATCTCTCTGCAATAATAAATATAAAATATACAGCAGACCATGTTTGTGCGGGATTTGAACCTGTGTCATCTTGATGATGAACCATCAGTTCTACCGCTCGGCTATGAATTTTGTTACTGAGAAATAACCAAACGTTTGATTCTCACATGAGCGAGAAAACGTTTTGTCTTTAGCCTGTGAGTGTAGGCCTACTTTAACCTTTTACAGTTTTAAAAGATTATATCTTATCTGTATGACCAACAATTTGTTGTAGGCTTATTTGGAAATTACCATAACTTGTAGTATTTCATCCTTAGGCTACTGTTAATAGACATTAGCCCCACTTACGTTTTGCTAAATGTCCCTTTGCGCCACCTGGCGGTCATTTCGCGTACGACTTTGAAATGCGACTGGTTTATTTTATTGGATGGCTAAAAATGGTATGTGGATGGCTAAAATGTGTGACTAAAAATGTGCTTTTGGCTTTCATTTATATTTTGATTGTTTGTATATATATATATATATATATATATGTATATGTATATATATATATATATATATATATATATATATATATATATGTATGTATATATATATATATATATATATATATATATATATATATATATAATGAGCCTTTCATTCAGGGGTGTCACACAAGAAAGAATGCAAGGACAATATATATATATATATAAATAAATAAATATTTATATACACACACACACACACACACACACACACACACACATATATATATATATATATATATATGTGTGTGTGTGTGTGTGTGTGTGTGTATATAAATATTTATTTATTTATATATATATATTGTCCTTGCATTCTTTCTTGTGTGACACCCCTGAATGAAAGGCTCATTAGTATGCAGTCTGCTCAGGTGAGAACTGCCTAATTATTCATGAGGGGGTTGGGCCGATCCGCCCATCCGCATATTGCCTTTGCAAACAAAAAAATGTTTTTCACAATTTAAAACAATCTATTGTTTTATGTGAATGATTAGCCAGAATGATTTTCAGATCAATTTGAAGCAAATACTCTAGGCGACAACATCCACTAGTCAAAAGTCTTGTGGACAGATATTTAGTATGTTATTTGTGGCCATATATTAGAAAATTTATTTTTTAGTTTTTTCAATAACCACGCATAAACAATATTCTCTCAAAAATACAAACATGTACATACATGTTGCTCACATATAATGGTAGCCCTGTGTGTGCTATATAGAGTGTAATTTCACCTGTGCCATTAATATGTTTATAAGCAACTGAAAAATGCACAAATGTCAGAGCATGCCAAAACATCTCAAGGACCCCGAAAACACCTCAGACCCCAGAGGGTTAAACCTTGAAATGTTCGAACTTGGTTTCAAACATAAGTAATTTTTGTGTTCTTTTACATTACACAATAATTTAGCAGACTAAAGACGAGCTTCTTCTTTTTCATTTTCTGATGCAATCGGCTGACAATCTTCCTTCATCAGTTTTTGTCGTTTGTGCAGCGGCTGCGGTTCTACAGGAATGTAGCAAATTTATGTTGTAATGATAATTAAACAAAACTCTTGACTTTAAATAAGTAAACAGTTATAAACAGTTACCTATTTAAGCATCAAGGTGGTAAGATATAAACGTAGGACAACATCGGTTAACAACATGTATGCTACATTGAGATTCGATCTCGGGTCGATTGAAACTCCTCGAAGCTCGTGTCGTTGCGTTGCTCACTGAGCTATCGTCTGTACGCTGTTAAAGTTGTAAAGCCTCATTCATGTAGCCTAAATGTTTTTATTGCAATGTTTTATGTTGAAATGTTTTCATTATTTATTCAATTACATTTCAGTAGCCTAATTTCAATATTGTGATTATGAATTATTTTAACTACATTTCACTTGTTGAATTCTTCTGCTACCAGCTTTCAATCGCTCTGAATCAGCGCGGTGCGGCAGCAGATTACACATTAGAGAGAACAAACCGGAATAAACGAACACTTTTCAGAGTCTATGATTGTAGCGCCTCTTAGCGGTAAAAGGCAGCAAATACACCACACATTTTACCGCCGCGGTGGAACGGCTGATGTGGGCATTGTCATGGCTTGCCTCGACATTTGCGTTTGAATAGCGCGCGTCCTCCGTGGTCGTGTCAGATTAACGCGTAATGAAGTGTAATGAGCTGGGGAAAAAAATACTGACAGCACTCTCTTTTCATACAGATTGCATAAACTGAGAATATTTGTTTTTTATATAAATTACTTCATTTAAAAGAAGAGAATTTAAGCTTCATAAAGAAAAACCTCTCGTGCCTGTGTGACAAGTAATCGCGGAGTTACAGTTAATCTTAGGACGCGTTTCAGAATGGACTTCACTGACAGAGAGAACGCAGAACTCGCATCATGTTTGTTTTTCTTTATTTGGTGAAAAGCACAACACTTTGTTTTTATTGTGAGTATCCACAAAAAAAATAGAAACTTAACAGGATCTAATGATGTACAACACTTATATGTAAGATCAAAATTAACCGAGTATTTTGAGTCTCTTTTACACTGATAAGAAAAAAAGCGAGACAATCGCGCCGGCGCGATAGCCGACCCCAGGGGGTTAATACCAAAAGCCGACGTGGAAAATGCACATGAACACCCCCTCATGTGGTATTTTCCACTGGGCAGCTCGTAGAATATTTTGATGCACGAGTTGCCGAGATGAGATAACCTTTGACCTTTTCAAAATGGCGGAGAGCAACGCGAGAGTCGTGAATGCTAAAAATATGTACTATTCATGATCTAGAAAATATACAGCATATTATTTACCGTTTAAGTTTTGATAAATAATTTTCTTGCTGTAGCAGATGACTTAAGCAATCTAAAATAGGTTTAGCTAAATAACAGGTCTGGATCTCCATCTTTTTACCACATTACGACAACAAAAGCACTTGAACGCAACAGTCTGGTAAATACCAGTTCACAAGTGGAAAATATCATATTTTCCATAGCACGTGAACGCACCATTATATCCTCAGTGAGGGTCTGTTCTTTGTATTGTGTTAATGTTGCTACCTGGATGTTATTGTCGTCTGTTTATTGGATTAGCTCCGTTTGTTTCTTGATTCTTTCTTTAAACTGATCTTTAAGCCTGATCTCCTTGAATATATTGAATATATAAAAAATGTATCATACTTTAATTTTTTTAAAATGCAATTATCTGAACTTTACAGTGCTTTTTGATACTTACTAAGACTTACTAAGCCCTCCATTCTCCATCTCCACAGGCTCACCACCAGGAAATCTTGTCCCAACAGCAGGATTTGATCATTGCCACACAGTCAGCGCAGGCGTTACTCGACAAACAGGCTCAAGTCCTGTCCCCTGCTGAAAAAGACAAGTTACAGAGGGACATTAAAGAGCTGAAGGGCCGCTACGAGTCCTCTCTCACACAGGCCGAGCAGCAGATGAAGCACATGCAGACAGTTCAGGAGGAGCTGCAGAAGTTTAAGGGGGACTGTGAGGAGTTTGAGACGTGGCTCCAGCAGGCCCACGGGCAGGTGGAGGAGCTGGAGACGCCCGCCGCGAGTCTGGACACTCTGAGTAATAATCTACAGAGACAGAAGAGTTTCTCTGAAGACGTCATCTCTCATAAAGGAGACCTGCGCTTCATTACCATCTCGGGCCAGAAGGTGCTGGACGCAGCGAAGGCCTGCGACCGTGGGGGATCTGGGGGAACGGACGGCCTGGCGGTGGTTGATATGTCCGGGACTTGTTCTGCCGTCAAAGAAAAGCTGGATTCTGCTGCCGCTCGGTACAAAGCCTTGCACACACAGGTAATGCTCTTTTTTTGATCTTATGTAGAGTCAGTGGGAGAATCCTGTTAAGAATCTGTCCAGGTACCCTGAAATTTAAACTTAAAAAAGGCCATTTTTCTTAAATGCAAAAATATTACATTTTCCACACACACATTTAAGTTAGTTTAGCTGTATGGGAAATTACCACTTTATAATTACAACCAATAGATGGCAGCATTTGTCTCTCAATGGTTCTAGTTCAGCAAACAATCAACATATCCAGAAGATCTGTTCTTCTGACGTTACATTATTAAAGGAAAAGTTCACTTAAAAATGACAATTCTGTCATCATTCACTCACCCTCAAGTTGTTTCAAACCTGTACGAGTTTCTATCTTCTGCTGAACACCAAAGAAAGATATTTAGAAAAATGTTGGTAACCTAACAGTTAACTGGACCCAATTGACTTCAATAGTAGGAAAACAAATACTATTGAAGTCAATGGGGTCCATCAACTTCTAAATATCCTCCTGCAGAAGAAAGAAATTCACACTATCTTTTATAACAACTTGACCGCATTTTCATTTTTAAGTGAACTATTCCTTTAGATCCTCCAATCTTTTAAATATAAATAATACAAAAATGACATTAAATGTTTGAGATGAGAAACTGTAACTTATACGTTTCAGTGTAATCAGCTTGGAAACAATCTTAAAGACGTGGTGGACAAGTACAAGAAGTATGAAGATGCCAGTGGCGGTCTGGTGAAGTGGCTCAGTAGCTCTGAGGACGAGTCCCGAAGACAGCAGTCAGAGCCCATCGCTGGAGATCCACAAACCCTTCAGAGACAGCTGGAGGAGACCAAGGCATGAACACAATCTGCTGCCATCATTTCAGTTCAGATATACTAGGGCTTTTCACACTGCGCTGAACCCAGTGTCGCTCTAAACCCCGCTTTAACCGTGGGGTTTAGCGTCTCTTTTGTGCTGTTATCTCCACATTGTGGTGCTAAACTTATTCAGTGTGAAATGATGCGGTTTTACGGCGTGATGCTTAGCCACTGACAGCCAATCACGTGCCTCATATTCACATGCTTTAGACAGTCACGGAAACACAGCGCATTGTATATAAACCGTCGTATCAGTGTTTGAATTGAAAAATGTCAAATAGTGACAGGAAACGCGTCATTTGGAGTGAAGATTAGACCGTTTCAGTCTTGCCTTTATAGTCTGAAAGGACAATTCAGTGTAAACTTGATAGTCTGCAATATGAGGATACACAACGCTAGAGCCAGTACGAAATCAGTGCCAATCAATGACACTGACACGGCAGAATGAACACCCAGGGTTATTTGTTAACCCCGGGTAAATTATGAGCAGTGTGAAGCAAGATAACCCAGTTGCGCTCGAATATTTCAAGTGGCAAGGCTTAAACTTTATTGACGATACAGCATTCATTGGCCCGTCAACTGACCTGAGGGTCATTCACATATCATGTACTCACAACATTGCGTTGTTTGAACTCATAAAAAATGTTACAGGCCAACTGGCGATTGACACCATTTCATATACTCGCTTAATTTCATATACTTGGAGAGTATTAATTTTAGGTCCTGCTTAAACTGTAAAAAGTGCAATTTTTAGCTGAACAACCTTAATTTATTTTGTTTGTATAAATTAATGCATTTACCAGTTGGTTGATTCAGCTATATTTAATAATATTTTTGACTTAAATAGGTTTTTTGTTACCATTTATTTTCAGTGCACTATAAAACGACTTCAAAAGACGTTTTAGTGTTTGCGATGTGTTTTTAAAATATGCATCATAGTTTCTGGTGTCAATCGAAAATACCATCTAAACAAAATGTATCTATGTGTTATATGCTTTTAGACAAACTGAACCAAATCACAATTTTCCATTAGAACATTATAAAAATGCATGGTCGTTTCTCTTTTTCTGTGTATTTATAGCACTGAAGACATGTCACGACACAAATAACTTAGCACAGATTTAATTTACTTGTGACGCACTATAGCGAGTTGTAAATAGAGAAGCAGAGAAAGCTAATCACACTTAAATAGATTACGTCTCCCATGATGCACTCAGACCACATCCAGCGAGATCAGATACGCAGAGAGATGATGTATTCATGTTACATTACTTTTCTCTAGAAATGTGCAGTACGACTGTCTTGTGACCTTGTGTCCTTATGCTAAACAACCTTTTTTAATGCCACTGTCTCATATGCCTTACTGAGAACACACACCGCTGATGTTGTGCTTTCAAGATAACCAGGCTATTGACTGCACTCGTATTAGTGGATTGTAATAAGCATTGGTCTGTTGCAGAGTCTTCAAGGGCAAACGGCGTCCCATCAGGCTGTGCTGGATACGCTGAGGAAATCCTCTGATGCCCTGATCTCTGCGGAGGGAGAACTGCTGGCCAATCCTGAGGAGATTCAGGAGGCCGTCGGTGAGTCCACCTTCAGTCTCGCAAAAACACACCACAAGCACAAGGCAAAAAAAGTCTTAAAAAAATAACATCGTGAAGAATTTTCATGACAATAAAGCAAAATCTCCACACTTCCCCCACACAATTTTATTACTGTAATATCAAAGTATGTTTTATTTATTATTAATTTATTTTAGGGCTGTCAGTTAAACACGTTATTAACGGCGTTAACGCAAACCCATTTTAACGGCGTTCATTTTTTTATCGCGCGATTAACGGCCTTTTTGGCCTAGCAAACTTTCTCGTTTTTTTCACATGCTTTTGCGACAGGACGCCGCGCGAGGACGTTTTGTTGCTTCGTCGACCAAAGCACAAGCGGATCTCGCTAGACCGGAAACAACAACAGGCACGCCGCCGCACACACTTTTTGCGTGCCGGCCAAATAGTTGGTTAACGTTACGTTTTGAGTGGATGACGAGCGCGAAACGCCGAAATGGACGCCAATAAGATTCTGAATTGAAAGTTTACTTTTAAAAAGTTGCGAAATGGTTCCATTGACGAGACCAAAGCGATCTGTGTGTTTTGTCGTTGTGAACTGAGCTATCATCATCGCAGCACGTCCAGTCTGAAACACCACTTGATGGCCAAGCACACACACACACACACACACACACACACACACACACAGCTGATGCGCATTCTCCGCCCCCTCGTCAATATCAGGACCTCGTCAGTATTTCTTTCACCCTTTTATTGATGGACAGTGTTACATTGTGTGAGAGATTATTTGCTCCAAGTGAGAATGTTAGTGTGAAATTGAACGCCGTATATGCCAATGTTGTTTTCAATAAAAAACATTTGCACAAAGCAAGCCGATCCACTTTTCCATGTTGATAAGAGCATTAAAATGAGAAAAAATAATGGGACAAAAAGAAATCAAGAGACATTTAGAATAGATAAAAATGTGCGATTAATTGCGATTAATCGCGAGTTAACTATGACATCAATGCGATTAATCGCGATTAAATATTTTAATCGTTTGACACCACTAATTTCTTTATTAAGTATTTTTTTTTAAATCAGCATACAGTAAATAAGCAGTACAATATACTACCATAAAATTGGTTGCACTTTAACACTGTAAAATAAAGTGCAAATATGATATTTAAACATGTTACAGTTTAAATTATGCATGATAACATTATAAATTTAGAAGTTAAAACACATGCCTACATCATTAAAGATTTATAACCAAACCAAACCATTTTTATTAATCTTGTTGCCAATAGCAGAACAACATATCTTATTCAATTGGCAAACAATGAACAACATTTGCACATGAAAATATTGATTTCTTCACACAAGCCTGGTCTGCTTTCTCTCAATGCTTATATAGGACAGGTGATTCCTCTTCCTCATAAATCATGTGAACATGCTGTGCCTCTTTATAAAACTTGAAATACATTTAGTCAGTTTATGTAAATTATGCTTACCAGGATTTATTTTCCTATTTCCGTCAAATGTACAGGTGAAACTTAAAACAATAGAATATGGTGCAAAAGTTCATTTATTTCAGTAATTCAACTTAAAAGGTGAAACTAATATATTATATAGACTCATTACATGCAAAGTGAGATATTTCAAGCCTTTATTAGTTATAATTGTGATGATTATGGCTTACAGCTTATGAAAACCTTTACACAATATTCTAATTTTGAATTAGAATATTGTACATAATCATCACAATTATAACAAATAAAGGCTTGAAATATCTCACTTTGCATGTAATGAGTCTATATAATATATTAGTTTCACCTTTTAAGTTGAATTACTGAAATAAATGAACTTTTGCACCATATTCTAATTTTGCGAGTTTCACCTGTATTTTTTCCAGTTCCTTCTATTTGTATTTTTTTTTTTACTTTGAAAATGTCAAACATATGTCATGCACCCTCTGTTTTTGTGTTTGTCTTTCACTGTGTTTATGTCAAATGTATATATATTTGTAGTACGTAAAAAAGAAAAATTATCTTCCAAAAAAAGATTATTATACCAAAGCAACGTGGACATTTAGTCAGTCCTGCAGAGCTTTGACCGCTTGAACAACATGTGAATAAAGCATGTGTAAATATGCTCCTGTTTGTAGACGACATCGCAGAGAGGTACGATAACCTGTGTAAGTCGGTGAGCGACCGCAATGAGAAGCTCCAGGTGACTCTGACACGCTCTCTGAGTGTCCAGGACGGGCTGGACGAGATGATGTCCTGGATGGAGAAGGTGGAGGAGAGCGTGAAGGAGACGCCGCGAGTGCCACTCGACTCACACTCCATCACAAATGCTCTCAGCAACGAGGCAGTATGTGACCTTTCACCTTTCATTCAAAGATACTCTATATCAGGCATATTCAAATGTATTTTATCTGACTTGACCGTTCAAACCAGGGTTATTTGTAAATGGCAAGGATTTACATAAACTTTGAAATGACTAATTAACTTTGTTTTATGCTCATGATGAAGGCGTTTTGATTATTATTGTACATTGTTTGTTTTTAGTAGATACTTACTTTAAGCAAAATATAAAAATGCTCCAGACTTCAAGAGGAAAACCCAGAACACACATTCAGTATCTTTTCTGTCACATGCCTTACATGTGTATCTAAATGTAAAATAATAACAGCTTGATAAAACTTATGATCTTACCCTAATGTTCATATTTAATTGGGCTCAACTGATGAATTTTGATGAAACTGATGAAATTCTCAGATGCCACTGTTTTGAAGTTTTCTCCTTTTTGAAGACTATTAGCAATAGCAACTTTAATTGTATAGCACAATTAAAACAACACAAGTTGACCAATGTGCACAACTCAAAAAGAGAAAAGAGCATCACGTAGGCAACACATAATAAAATTGTCACTGATTAAAAGCTATTGAAAACAGATGTGTTGTCCTTTAAATCCTGTACAGTAGCAGCGTCTCTAATATGTTTACGCAAACTATTCCAACGTTTTTTTTACTTTTATAAAGCACTACTGGTAACTAGATGGAAATGTATAACAATTCATATATATATATATAAATGTCTCTGCTGATGTCTTATATATTTACGTATATATATATAACATATTTCATGACTCTAGATGGCCTTATAGCTCTATATGGAGCAAACAAACTGTTCTGGGTCCTAAAGTCAGTTTTTCTTCAGTTTTGTTTTCTTCTGTGTGTTTTCAGGTATATATTTAGAGATTATAAAATCGTTTTTTAGGGAAGTTTTAGCATTTTTAGTTTTAATTTAGAGCATTTTTAAGGTATTTATTTATACTGAAGTGTAGGTAATTATACTGAAGTTTGTAAGGTGGACAGCAGGGGGAAAAAAACAATCAAAACCATTTTAATTCAGAATAAATAAATAAATAATCCCCTCTTTCCCATTCATTCCTATGGGGGTTAAACTGACCCGCGAGTTTACTATTTTTATTACAACCACATGAACTCCTCAAATCCTGTTTCAAATCCAAAAGATGCTCTCCAACAGGTTTTATCGTAGTTTTTGTCCAAGTCAAGTCAATGGAGTTGGACAAAAACTACGATAAAACCTGTTGGAAAGCATCTTTTGCAGCGATTTTTTGTGTGAGCATATCAGTGAACACCCCAGACCACTCTGCGAGTTTCACGTCTTTGTAAACTAAAGTTTAATTCGTTTTAGGAAGGATTGTTTGTGTGCACCTATGCAACCATTGTGGAGGTGAGGGGGTGCAACCACAGAAACCGAAAGTTCTCGGTGTCCAAATTTCAATCTTAACCGTTCGATTTCATCAGAAACGATCTTAAAACAGGGCTTTAAGTGTAAAATACCGAACTTGTCCTTTAAGGTCTTGGACCACACCAATGAACACCCATTTTTAAGAAAATGATTTTGGGGTTAAAATCACCAGAGGAGAGTTCACCTTAACTTAGTAAACACAATAAAACGGAATGAGCACTTTAAAACATCGTTAAAAAATATGTATCTAAATGTAAAAATAATAGCTTGACAAAACTGATCTTACCTTAATATTCATGTTTACTTGGGCTCAAGTAATGTTGATGGAAAGTGTGTGTTTATTTCAGGCTGTGGAGCAGGACATGTCCATCCGGCAGAGCAGCATCTCCGCCATGAAGCTGAAGGTGCAGGAGTTTGTGGAGAGCGCGGATCCCGCCGCTGCTGTCCTGCTCCAGGGTCGGATGGAGAGCTTGTCCCAGCGCTTCACTGACGCCTCTGAGCGCCACAAGCGGAAGCTTTCTCAGATGGAGGAGCTCAGAGACCGCGTGGAGCGGTTGGAGAAGACCTCTGAGAAGCTGCAGCAGTTCGTGCTGAAGAGCTCGCAGGCTCTGACGGAGAGCGACGGACCCGGGAAGAACCTCGCTGAACTCTCACAGCTCGTACAGGTGAGCTGAAACTAGTGATGTATGTCTCGAGACCACTTTTACGTGGGAATCGGTCTTGTCACGGCCTTGACGGTCTTTGGTCTTGGTCTCGGACCTCTCGGTCTTGTCTAGGTCTCGCTGTCTCAGACCGAGACAGTGGTCGGGGAATTTAGCAATACAATACTACAATATCCACGGCGATATCCGCAACGGATTGAAGCGCGCGTCCGAGTGAAGACAAGTGCGGTGTGCGCGAGCCACACGAGAATACACTGTATCCGCGCCACTGATCGCAGCGGCAACGAGCACTTTGATCACTTGATTTAAAAAAACACATTGGCCTATATCATGTACAGTTTTTGATGTATTTATATTTAGTAAAACACATATCAGTGACATGATGCGTTTTAACTTCATTCAGGAGATTTTGGGTAACTGCACAACACAACTGACAGATGACATTGAGCGCACCGCCAACGGTGTGTGTGTGTGTGTGTGTAACCATAACGACAAAACGACCAACTTTCGGATCCTGCACTTAAGCCTATAATTTTGTTTTTAAAAATATAATTATGTATTTAAAAGTTGCAAAATGGATTCATTTGGAGACTTCAAATCAGCAGAGATAGGCAGGCAATGCAAAACAAAATCTTACAAGTTATTACTTAGCTTCAACACTAGTCTTTTTTTCCCCCTCCGGTCTCGGTCTTGGTCTCGACTTGGTCTGTCTTGGTCTTGTCTTGGTCTCGATACCCTCTGGTCTTGGTCTCGGTCTCGGTCTTGGTCTTGGTCTTGTCTTGGTCTCGATACCCTCTGGTCTTGGTCTCGGTCTCGGTCTTGGTCTCGACTTGGTCTGTCTTGGTCTTGTCTTGGTCTCGATACCCTCTGGTCTTGGTCTCGGTCTCGGTCTTGGTCTTGGTCTTGTCTTGGTCTCGATACCCTCTGGTCTCGGTCTCGGTCTCGGTCTTGGTCTCGACTTGGTCTGTCTTGGTCTTGTCTTGGTCTCGATACCCTCTGGTCTCGGTCTTGGTCTTGTCTTGGTCTCGATACCCTCTGGTCTTGGTAGTGTCTTGGTCTCGCTTTAGGCGGTCTTGACTACAAGTCTAGCTGAAACACCCGTTTACATGATAGTTCAAGCCTTTGGTTCATTTATATTACGTATATACTTCTATTAGCCTATAGTGGATAGGAAGGCCACACTTTACTGTAAGTTCCCAGTATGTAACATTAGTTAATGTATTAACAAACATGAGCTAACAATGCGCGGTACAGAAGTTATGCTAACACTATAAGGTTCATTAGTTAACATTAGTTATGAACTAACCATGAGCAATGCATTTCTTTCTGTATTTGTTCATCTTTGTTAACGTTAGTTAATAAAAATACAGTCATTCGTTGTTAGTTCACAGTGCATTAACTAATGTTAACAAGATTTTTATAATGTATTAGTAAATGTTGAAATTAACAAAAATTAATAAATGTTGTATAAGTGCAGTTCATGTTCACTAATGAACCTTATTGTAAAGTGTTACCGAAGTTATTATTCTTTGTTAACATTAGATTCTCTCCTAAAGATATTGATGGCTCACTTCACACATTTTTGTTCAATGAAATGATATAAATCATGGTTTACGGCTGTGAAGTAATTAAATGATATGGATTATTGTTTAGAAATGGATTGGAAGTGAGGCAGCTCTCAGAGTCACCCTGTGTATGTCCTATAATCTGTTTAAGTACTAATAACGTCTTCATTTGTAGGACACAGATGCAGAGTTGTGTGAGCGCGGGGCGGACGTGGAAACCCTACGGAAACTGTCTGAGGAACTCGGCAGGTCTGGTCCTGAAGGAAGCGCAGCTCTTCTCCAGAGCAAAATGCAGAACATCTGCGACAACTTCAATGCTTTTAAAGAGACACTTATGGAGAAGTAAGTGATTAAAGGAGTAGTTCACCTCAAAATGAACATTTCCTGATAATTTACTCACCCTAATGCCATCCAAGATGTTCATGTCTTTCTTTCTTCAGTGGAAAAGAAATTAAGGTTTTTGAGGGAAACATTTTAGGATTTTTCTCCACACAATGGACTTCAACGGTATCCAAATTGTTGAAGTCCAAATCAATGCAGTTTCAAAGGGCTTTCGATCCCAGCTGAGGAATAGGGTCTTATCTAGCGAAACAATCAGTCATTTTCTAAAAAATAAATAAAAATGTATATACTTTTTAACCACAATTGTTCATCTTGTGCTGGTCTGAGGCATTACGTCATCACGTTGGAAAGGTCACGCTGGACGTAGGCGGAAGTCTAAGTATTCCCGGACAGTGAAAGGGATTTGTCCCGCTCGCTGTGAACGACCCGCCGGCAGAGGATTCTCCTGGGTCATAATGCCTTCCGCGAAAATGATTTGTCTCAAAAGAATGATCAATTTTCAATTTAGAGCATATGCCTGTGTATACAGGACAAACTGATGCCTTAAGTACAGGACGATTCCTTATTTTACGGAACGGTCGGCAACCCTAACCTCAAATGATAGTATGATCTTATTCCAAGGGTCCCATTTATTTTTAAGCTTCTCTTGGCTCTGACATACACTACTGTTCAAAATGTTCGAGTCGGCAAGATTTGTTTGTTTTTGCAAGAAGTATCTTCTGCTCACCCTGGCTGCATTTATTTGATCAAAAATGCAGAAAAAAGAAAAAGAAATATTATTGCAAATTAAAATGGCTGTTTTTCTATGTGAATATACAGTAAAGTGTAATTTATTCCTGTGATCAAAGCTAAAGCATCATTACTCCAGTCTTCAGTGTCACATGATCCTTCAGAAATCACTCTAATATGATGAGTTGATGCTCAAGAAACATTTCTGATTATTATCAGTGTAGAAAATTAACTCCTTTTTTTCTGACCTCAACATTTTGAACAGTAATGTGTCCCTGTTTTTAATTTCATTGTATAAAGTGAGGGTTTTGATTAGGGTTTTGATTAGCTAGGACTGTTATAGAAACCATGTGCTGTAATAAAACATGCAATATTAGTAATGCTTTTTGCCAGATGTCAGACTATTTGATAACGCTGTGTATGCATATGTGTCTGTGTGTGTTAGGAAGCAGGAGGTCCGGTCCTGCCAGAAGCAGCTGCAGGAGTTCAGAGCGGACACAGGGGTGTTAATGAAGTGGCTGGAGGACACAAAAGAGCAAGTGCCAGTGTGTCAGCCCGACTGCAGTGAACAGGGCCTGGGCAAAGACCTGCGCAAGATCACTGTGAGTCGTGTGTTTAACTCGCCACACACCTTCAGGAGATAGCCAACAGACGACACACATCTCCCTGAGACTCATTCTACATACACACATACTTCTGGACTACCGTAAAACTTCAAATAACAGCCCGGGCTTTTTTATTTTCCCAAATCGCTGCACTGCACCGGCTTGTATTTGAGACAGGCGTCTGTATGAGACGGGCCTTTAATTTAGTGTTGAGGTGTTGAGATGTTGTTCATTGAGTGTATAGGCCTAGAGATAACCATCCAAATAGCAGAGGCTGATAGACGGAAAGCATGACAGTCGGAGGTTACCACATTATATTACGTTTTATTTATAACAAATCAGTTAATGTAAGACTATACTATATTACTGTATGTCTAAAGGCCTGTTCACACCCGGCCGACATTTAACGCCTCGTGACTAAACAAAGGGTGCCAATGTGAGTGTGCACACCGACGGGGAAAACGCCACGCGTAAAAGCGTCATTTTTTTAAAAACGCCTCGGGTTCGTTTTTTTAGTTTGATGCGCCGCGTCAAAAACTATCCGACCAATGAGATTGGCGCTTTTGCTCACGTGTCTGGAGCTTCTGAAGTTACAGTAAAACACAACTTGGGGGCGCTCAAACACAAAACGGTCTTGCCGAGCACACACACGTAACGGCGAAGAAGATATACGCCAAGTAGCGTCTACACTGCCGGGAAGAAATAAGACGAGGAAGATGCGAGGCCAGATGAATGTAGAGCTGCTGGTCTCGTTGCTGTCGGAACATAAAGAACTATATGGCAAACGCGACAGCGACAACAAAAATCTTGATAAAAGAGAACTGGTATGGAGGAGTCGTGGGCGCCATCTAATGTCGGGGAATGAATTTGCATGTTCACTCGGCTCATCGTCAGCGAAAACCGCTTGGGTGTGAACACAAAAAACGCGTTGAAAAATGCTGGCGAATAACGCGCGCCGATATTCGTCCCGGTGTGTACGAGCCATAAAAGGGGTCGCACACCGGACGAGAAACGAACACATTATTCTCTATGAGTGTACACACCATAGACTGTAAAGATGATTGTATTTAATTGTACAGTACAATCATAACATAGTACAGACATGATCTTAATTCCATAATGTCCTTAAACATAACAATATTGCTGGCCATAAACGGACAGTGCGTCCGGTGTGCGATACCTTGGGTTCTCAGAGACGCGACTTGGCGAGTGCCTTTCTTGCGCTAATGGTGTGTTCACACCGAATGCGAATAGAGCGTTAAATACGCGTCTATCGCGTCTAGTTAGACGCTGGAATCTTCCGCTCGAGTTCAGATTTTTCAACTTGTGCGGAAGACGTTCGCGGCAAACGCGTCGCCCAATTCGCGTCATTCGCAACGCCCGGCGCGAATGATGCGTCTATTCGCGTCTTTGCATTGACTTTGTATGTAATCTACTCGCGCAAATAATTAAATTCGCGTTTGGTGTAAACACACCACAGCTCCGCCCAGATGCACAGGCTCTCTTGCGTGTGCAATCTGCACTATAGAGCTGGTTTAAACAGAGGATCTGACGGGTTTTTAGAAGATTAAATACAACCCGGAACTAAAAAACAGACCAGGCCTCTATTTGAGACCAGCCTTTATTTATCCAAACCTGTCGCCACACCAGGCGTGTAAAAGAGACAGGCGTCTATTTGGGACTCGCCTCTTATTTGAAGTTTCATGGAACTCAAAATATATTCTAATCAATTTTTGTTGATACATGTATCACATTACACTTTATTTTTAAATGGACTTGCACTTAAATGCACTTTAGACATTCTACTAACTATAAGTAACGTTGCACCTACATGTCAACTAAATCTCATTAGAGTATTAGTAGAGTATTAGTAGACTTTTAGGGTTAGTAGAATTAGTTGACATGTATTTGCCAAGTTACTTACAGTCAGTAGAATCTCTGTTGAGGAGCATCACAATAAAGTCAAGCCATCTTTATTTATATTTTACAGTGATAAACAGGAAAACAATGATTCAGTGATGCAAATGAATTCAGAATTCAAGAGAGTCGTTATTTAGTTGTCGATTGATTTTGTTTCAGTAACTGTGTAAAGTTCATCAATTAGGCAGTTCAATGCAGCTATAAAGCATCTCTGCAGAAAACAGTGATGTCATCGTCTTGCTCAGTTCAGTTCTCATCCAGTAGAGTCAGTCAATCAATAATATTGCAGAGTATTAAGTTATAGATATTAAAGTGTTGGCAGATATTAGGCAGACAGTCTACTAATACTCTAATGACTGCTAGTTGGCATGTAGTTGCAAAGTTACTTATAGTTAATAGAATTTCTAAAGTGGACTATCGAAATAAAGTGTTACCTAATGAATTTTGGTGTAATGTGAGCTGGTGGGATTTTTTGATATTGTGTGTGATAGTAATGATTTGAGATTGTAATGACATTCTTTTTTTTATTTTCATTTTTGGAGAGGTTGTGTAATCGGTGAAGTTGCTAAAACATTAGTTTGAAGTCAATTTATTTATTTTTTATTACATTTTTGTTGTCTCTAAATTACAATTTTTCAAATACTTAGGAGTAAACATACTATCAAATCATAATGAAATGAATCCTAAAATTAATTACATTTCTTATGTTCAAACCATCCTTCATCCATTTCCATTATAACCAATGTATTTTTTTCCCCTATTTTTTTGTAAAATTGTAGTAACAACAGTATTTGGTATTAGAAAAATAGAAGTTTAAGCCCAAAATAGAATCATTCAAGCAAATATTCTGTCACACTGATCAACATTGACAAGTAATTAAAAACACCCTTTTTTCCCCCCATTAAAATGTTAAGAATCACCCATATAAGGAGGATACACAGCGGATCATGTGTTTGTGTTTTAAAGTGTTTATTTCAGTGATTTAACCCTCGTTACTCTAGTCGCATCCAGCATTGCTCAGCATTCAAGAACGTGTGTGTCATGTTCCAAAAGGTCAACGGAGAATAATGGAAATGTCCAAATGTCTCCTAACTCTACATGACTATTTCTGCAGGGCTTGTTGGATGAATGGACCTCCAAAGCTCCTGCAGTCCAGGATATAAATAGCAAAGGATCTGCTCTATGTAGCATAATCAGTGTTTTGACATCACCGGCCAAAGCCAAGATACATCACAACTCAGGTATTGCCAAGGAGTATTTTAAGATTTTACAAAAACATTTATCGCATGTCTCAGTCCAGCATGATCACTCATCTGGAGTGAACCTCATATATATTTATATATATTATTTATTTTTCTTTAGGATCAGCTGTCAGTAATGGCTCTGGTCCAGGAAGCCATGCCTATCTAACAAACCAAGGTGAAAGTTCATACTAGTGATGCATCAGTTTTTGCTGATATAAATAACTGGTTTTATTTATGGCGCGACCAATAACTATTATGATGGCCAATGTAAATCTACTATTCTGCGCATTGTTTCTGTGTTTGCCTTCAGAGTTGATGTTGGTGCAGCAGAAGATGTCCTGCATTAACACCAGTTATGACCATCTGGGGGAGCTTCTGAAGGCCAGATCCTCTGAGCTCAGCGCTGTGTTGAGGAAAGTGCAAGCGGTCCATGAACAGGCTGAGTCTTTACGCCAGTGGATGCAAGACACGAAGAACACGGCGTCATCATGGAGTCACCATCCGTCTGGGAAACACACAGTCAAATCACAGATAGAGCAACAGAAGGTGAATGGAAGCCGTTAACGTGCATCATGTCTAATGACTTATTAGCAATATTTGTCATTTTTGCATCTGAACCACTTAGACGTAAAATATTGACTTGTACCCCATCATCTTTTAAGTTAATATTTCAATAATTTAACAACATGTTCATTCACATATATTCATGGTTATCTGGTTGGTTAATGGTCACATGACAAGTAAACATAAAATATTTAATTTTAATAGTTAATTCATAATTTTAGATGTATTTATATATAGTATTTCTAAATTATGTTTATATATATATATTTATTATATTATTTAAATTAAGTCATTATTTTATTTTACATCGCAAGTTACAATGTATTAATGTCTTAAATTCTTCACTTTCAAATGTTTTAAATCCAGAAACCATGTCAAATACTTAAAATTTTATGTCAAATACTTAAAATTAATATATATATATATAAATAATATGTGCTAAGCTAAGCTGTTGCAAGGCAGTTGATAGACCAATGGATATGCCAAGTTCGATGAAGTTGTTTGAGGAGTTACAGTAAGAACTTTTTGCCATATTTCAGTCCATTCCAAGTAATTTTGCAGATTTTCCTCAACAATCAGCACAGAAATTCAGAAAAAAGTGCACAAACTTTGTGTCATGCTAAAAATCCTACATGAAAAACTTGACAATTTCCCACTGTAAGAACATTCTTTAAACTGCGGCGGCAGTGGCTCGGTGGTTCATGTGGGTTGTCTACAAACCAGAAGGTTGGTGGTTCAAGCCTCAGTTCCACCTGACCAAGTGTCGAGGTGTCCATGAGCAAGACACCTAACCCCAGCTGCTCCCGACGAGCTGGATGGCGCCTTGCATGGCTGCCGTCGCCCGTCGGTGTATGAATGAGTGAGTGAATGGGTGAATGTGAGGCAAATTGTAAAGCGCTTTGGTGGCCATTGGGTCTGTGAAAGCGCTATATAAATGCAGTCCATTTACCATTTTAAACTGTAAGCACTGAAAAAGCTGATTATTATGTCTGTCTTGCAGGTCTTTGAAGAGAATATGAAAGGAAAACAAGCGCAGCTCCAGCAGCTCAGGGAGAATTTGCTCAGTTTAATCGCGGAGAACCCGGATTCACCCGAGGCAGAACAGTGGAAGCACATGCTGGCACAGATAGGTATGCGTCCATCACATCCAAACGCTTCAATCTACTTTCATCTGCAGTGTGGATTGCCATGTGCAGCGTCACACACGCATCTCCCTCGCTCACTGCGAACCGGGGGCAGAAATTCTTATAATTACATTATTTAATGTATGTATACACTCTCTTTTATGTCAAATACTTCAAATTAATCAATTAATTCAACTGATCAGAATAATGACATACCATGGTTGTTACCAATAAAATGTTATATTTTTACACTGCAGAAGCTGCATCTGACATGCCATTTATGTTTATTTACACAGACTGTTTAATGCTCCTCGAATGTGATGTTACATATTAATGTAATTTGAAATGCATCAAGCATATAATTTATATCTGAAAATGTCAAAAACAAAGTTTAAGGCTGATGCCTCTTTAAACAGAGGTGGGTCAGAAGAAGCATATTAGATGTTATAAATATAAAAACATGCACTCATTACAGACAGCTGCGAGATTAAAACAACAGTCATTAGTATTGATTATTGTCCTTGATATTGTAATCACGATTAATAATGTCTGTTAATAGACATTAATTTGGTCATTTTCGCGGGTCCGACGTCCGTGTGAATGGGGATTGTTTTGACGACGTGTGTGTGTGAAAAACGCAAAGAAAAAAAATTGTGTACCTCGTTTTCGTGTAAATGTACTCATAGTAGCATGAAAAACAAAACAATTATTCAAACTGGAAATTAACTGAGCGCAAGCAGAGAAAACTTTCCCATCATCTCTGAAGCGGTCAATGACTTAATTTCAGTTCAAGCTCACATCTGCAATCTCACTAAAACTCCTGTTATAATCAGTAGCTGTGTTTCCATCCACACGTTTTTATCCGCATTAAGTGATATCGAATGAAAAATGCCTTATGGAAACAGTAAAATTCGATTGAATTTCATGAAAATACGATCGGTCTCATATATACGATATACGGCTTATGCGATGAACGCGGATGGAAACGTTATTATGGTGCGATCCATTTTGCCTAGTAAAACTTTGTTCGCAAATGTTGGCTTGAATGTTGTGCAATTCGGTGAGAAAATGATTGGAAACACCTTAACATGTCTCAAATCAATTCGATATACCAATTTGATCGCAAAACAGCATGTGACGTCATTACGCACAGGTTCTTATCCGCTTTAAAGCCGTTTGATGGAAACACACTTTCACCAGCTTTATTCGCATGAGGTTTTTTACCGCACTTCAGATAATTCGATTGACAAGTGGATGGAAACATGGCTAGTGAAGACTACACTGCACAATTAATCTCTATTTACATTGTACGCTAGTTTTGTAGAGCGCGCTTGATCAAAAAAAGCACTGGTGACTGTTTTAAACGCCTCTGATTGGCCGTTACATTCATGCGCTCAACAGACATGTCTGTGATTGTCTGTAATGCTCAACGCTACAGGCAATCTTTGATGCAACATGACCAGATCTGTAATCGCCACTTATCGGTCATTTTTACATTTAATTTTAAGCACCACAGTCATAATATATTTATTTTAATTTAATTGTGCAGGGGCATTTTTGCCCCTTTATCTTGAATTTAGCGGGCATTTTTGTTCATCTTGATGGCATTTTTGACCCAAGCTCCTTTTAATTTCCGACCTTGCTGTGAACTGAGGTGAAGCTCCTGTGAAAGCTCAAGCTGATAGTGGAGGAGTTCGGCCTCCTCCACACACTCCGAATCAACGCTCAGCTAAAGTGAAGCTGGGAGTGATAAAGTGATGTGTGTTCTGCTCCACACACAGATGCGGGATGGGAGGAGGTCAGGGGAAGCATGGAGATTCGGAAACAGCACCTGGAGGAGTCGTCCCGAATGCTGGAGCTCTTCCAGACGACCCAACCACAACTCTCCCAGTGGCTGCAGGAGAAGGAGCTGATGATGGGCGTCCTGGGGTCTTTGTCTATGGATCCCAACATGCTTAACACACAAAAGCAGCAAGTCCAGGTACTGGCAGTCATGCCGTAAACATAGATAAGAACTGTAATTCATGTGAAAGAAATATTAAAGGTTATCTGAAGATAAACAAATAGGTGGATGGGCGATATTACCAAAGTCTTATTTAAAGATAATGAGTAGTTTTGAGCTTTCTACCGCAAAAAGCTATGAATTCGGGATCACAAGCTCTCTAAACGAAGCGGGTTTCTGAGTTCGCACTTCTGGTGTGTGTCATAAAGTGTTTATCGTTAAAGCTCACGCGAACTATCACAATATATATCGTCATACCGCCCAGCCTTAACTCTCCCTAAAATACATTTCTGTCATCATTCACTCACCGTCATGATGTTCCTAATCCATGTGACTTCATTTTGTTGAACCGTAAAGGAGATGTTTTTAAGAATGTTCCTACTGCCCTTTTTTTCTCTATACAAAGACACAAAGCACCATATGAGAAATCTAAATGACTCAAGCTATAGCCGTCATTTCACCATCTCGGTTAACTATAGACCCGATATATAATCCGGCTGAGTAACCCACTTCTAGCCAAAATAAGCTTGAATTTAGTTACATGTCGTTTTTTGCCAAAATAACTTGCGAGATGTATGATATTCCATCATGTAAACAAAGTAAACAGTGATTACAATGTATTTGGTTGCATTTCTTTGACATGTTATCTAGTAGTTGATGACTAGTCTGTTCTTGGGCTATAGTTTAGACGTCTATTAAGTTTTCACTGACAGCCCAAATTTTGCCTCGTTTCAGCCTAGACTTCAGGGCTGTGTTTGGACGGCTATTAGACTTATTTTGCTCGCTGGGTAAGATGGCTTTGAGGGAAGAACACACCAAAATTGAAGTCGTTTAAGTCATCTCTGAAAAGCAGCAGTAGCTCGTATTTGCACATCACACTTGATCAGTCGCCTGGAACAAAAGAATCAATGGCATTTGATGTGATGTTTAGTAATTAGTGATCAAAGTGATCTTTTCTCTTCAGAAGACTTGGAATATAATACTCTGGTAATATGGACATATGTGCTTTTTTGTTGGTTTTGGAGCTCAACAGAGTTTTCATTATTATAAACATTCTGCCAAACACGTTTGTGTTTCATGGTCAAACCAATTTGGAATGAAGACAGAATATAAAATGTATGGTCAATTATTTCTTTTTAAGTTACATAGTTGAAGTGACATACTGTACTATGTCTAATGCCACTTAAGAAGGCTTATCCTTTAATGCCTATTGCTTAATGTCATATGCCATTCCTTTGATTAGATTCTCCTCAAGGAGTTTGACAGCCGCAAGCCTCAGTATGAGAAGTTAACCGAGGCCGCCGCAGCCATCACTAGTGCCTCAGAGAAGCAGGACCCTGCTGTAGAGCAGGTTAAGGAACAGCTGGCATCTATTTCCCAGAAGTGGCAGGGCTTGACGGGTCAGCTGTCTCAAAGACATGCCCTCATTGAGCAGGCTGTCGGTAAGACCGCTCAATTCCAGGAGATTTTGCAAAGCCTCAACAAAAGTGCCACCTGCCTGGAGACTGAACTAAATAACCAGCAGGCTCTCAGCACCCAACCTGACGAAGTCAAGAAACAGATTGAAGCCACCAATGCAATCCTGGCTCAGCTACGAGAGGAGAAGAAGAGGCTGAAAGAGGCAGAACACATTTGCTCTGAGCTCTCTGCCATGGTGACTGAGGAGTATCTCAGAGCAGACTTGACCAAACAGCTTGAGGCCGTCACCAAACCATTCAGACAACTTGAGGACAAAGCAGGTATTGCAGTTAACTTCAACTACTACTTCCTTCTGCAACATCACAATTGCACACACGTAACCATGCCAGATTTCCTTACAATTTGAATTTGAACACTTTACTATGTTTAAATCAATTCCCCAAAAAAAAATCAGTGCAGAAAATGCAAAAAGTCTGCAGATTCCACCTGATTACCATCATCTTTAAAACATGTAAAGAGGGAGAGAGCAAACAATGTGTAAACTGTTACACCACATCAAATGACGACGATGCTTTGTTCTTATTTCTGTTGCATAGTTTGGTCAGTGTTGACAACTTAGCGACTTAGCCAGAACATAAAACTGACTTTCTACTATGTACGGTCAATGTCCGGTGATTTAAGAAAATGTTCTGGCCATAAATATTTTTACCGACCATGAAACGTTTTCTGCAAAAACAGGCAGTTATGACACCAAAATTTTAGATACTAGTGAAAATTAACAATTCTCTATTCCAATTTTGAGACCACAGCTAAAACTACTAGCCTAACTAATATAAATGTAAAACATTGTTAAAAACCAGATTCAATAAAATAAAAACAAATAATCAAATTACAAGCAAAAGCACAAATAAATACAATGTAACAAAAAGAAAAATGAAATAAACAGTGCTTTTCAGGTTTTTCAGGTAGGTCTGACAGTAGTTACAGAAATTAGCTTCCTTTCAAGTCTTCTTGCACTTGAATATTTAAATTGGCAAGGCTTAAACTTTCGTGAGGAATGCAGCGCTGGCCTGAGCACCATGTACGGTTGTTCACATTCATGCATTGTTAGGATTCATTACTCTCATTTGGCGCTTGGTGAGTATTCATTTTAGGGCCTGGACTTACCTGTTAGCGACATACAGTAGCTGTTGCTAGATTTAGTGCCTATTCAGACCCATTTATTAACAATTGCAGCAACTTCTTGGACAAACCGTATCTGGTTTCAGAGACTCCCTGCTATAATTCTGCTGTATAAAAATACAGTATGTCAGCACGGAGAGTTGGAGAGAAACAAACAAATGTAAAGGGCTGACAATAGGAAGAATGCAATGCAAATGCCATGATTATGCTAATTAGCATTGACTTTTCGAGCAGTCTTTAGCAACTTCCCATTGAAAGTAGTTGGTAACAGTGGTGTTGGGTAGCCCCACAAACTCCACATCTCTATAGCAAACATCAGCCATGTTCCCAACTGACTGTGATTTTGTCACTTCACACAGCATTTTTGCTTTTAGTCATGGTAGAAAAAGTGCATGATGCCTCACTTTTGTCGTGTTATGCTCTGCTCAGACAGTATTACATAATTGTTACAACTGTGGAGACTTCTCATCTAACATTCTTATTTTGTACCTTGTGTTTAACCAGGAAAGCGGATTGAGCAACTCAACTCGGCCTTTGCCAGCTCCCAGCAGTTCCATCAGACCTCTAAGGACTTCCAAGCCTGGCTGAATCAAACTCTCCAGGAGCAGTGCAAGACACAGCCCATCTCCGCATATGCAGAGAAGTTAAAACAGAGTCTCAAGGAGAACAGTGCTGTTCAGAAGGCCATCAGTGACCATGAGGGACCTTATAACACCATCATGAAAGAGGGTGAAACTCTCCTTCAGAGAACAGAGGGGGCAGAAAAGGTGGCCCTTCAGGGACAGCTCTCTGCTCTAAAGTCCAGCTGGGATGATGTGAAGAAAAGCAATGCTGATCAAGCAGAAAAGCTTCAAGGGGCCATGCAGAGGGCTTTGAAGTACAAGGAACATTCAGAGCAACTGAGCTCATGGTTGCAAGAGTTTGAAGACAGGGAGAAGAATGTAAAGCTCAGCGTGAACTCAGTGGAGATTGAGGGCTCCCTCTTGCAGTTGAAAGCCATCCAGAAGGATGTTGACAAGCATAGAGGGCAAGTTGTGATAACGAACACAGCTGCAGACAGCCTCCTGGAGGTCGTCACATCAGATGGCGATATGGTTAGGGAGGAGAAGGCAACCATTGGTAAAAGACTGGATAAGCTGACAGAAGATTTAATGCTCAAAAGAGAAACATTAGAAAATATCTCGCAGAAACTGAAAGAGTTCAACGACTTGCAGAAAGAAGCCAAAGGCCAACTGGAGGGTACCAGGAAACAGCTCGATTCGCACTCTTCCTTGGGTGTCCAGGCCTACAGCAACAAGAACCTGACCAACATGAAGGCTCAGCAGAACAGCTTAGAGGGTGTCCACAACCAGATTGAGCATCTCAAAAGTCTTGCACAAAGTCTTGTAGTAGATGCCTCTGAGGTTGAAGGTGTGACAGACCTTCTTCTTCAGGCAGATAGCTTGGAAAAAGACCACATGTCAATTACCAAAAAGGTAGAGGATGCTTGCTCCACCCTGGAGAACAAGCTCCAGGGCATTGGACAATTCCAGAACAGCATCCGCGAAATGTTTGCAAACTTTGCAGACCTGGATGACGAGTTGGATGGTATGGCTTCAGTTGGCAGGGATCTTGACACCTTACGGGATCAGCAAAGCACTATCAAAGACTTTGTTGCTAAACTTCAGGATCTGATGACCAACACAGTCAATGGCAGAGACAGTTGCAAGAAGATGCTGGAATCAGAGGCCTCACCAGATCTCCTGGGTCTAAAGAGAGACTTGGAAGCCCTGGGCAAGCAATGTGGAAAGCTGATGGACAGAGCCACCGCTAGAAGAGAACTGGTGGAGGAGACCCTCAGTCATCTGGAGGAGTTCTGCAGCAAGGCGCAAGAGTTTACCCACAAACTAATCAGTGCCGAGAAGCAAGAGGAGTCCCAAGGGTCTGTTGGATTGGAAACAGAAGCCATTAACCAACAACTGGAGTCCTTCAAGGTAAAATTAAGATTCATTACCTTGTCTCACCTTGTTCTGTTCCCCTTCTATAGCAGTGCACTGACATTTTAAACAATTGATATACTGTGATGTCTTACACATTAAAGATCATGAGGTAAATGTGAGCTTTGCATTTTATAGTGACCAAGATCTATATCTACAGTGGACCCGAAAAGTATTTGAACAGGTGAAATGTGTCATTTATACACCACTAGTGGCACGAAAAAGAGTTTCAGAAATATTGACTGTCTTCAAACAAGTTTCAGTCAGTACTAGTGTTGTCAAAAAACTCGGTACTTCGGTACCAAGTCGGTACTAAAAAAAATTAACGGTTACGGTACCAGCTTTTCTAGGTACCGAGTAGGCTACCGGGTTGATCCGACCGGCGGCGCTGCTAATGCGTTGGCTCTGAATCCACTTGTTGACAAGAAAGGAGGAAAGAGCCACATATGGAAATATGATGAATTAGGCTAATGTCACGTTGCCATAAAGGGCCGTTCACACGTTCACATAGCACGTTTTTGCGCGTGCAAATTTCAAATGTATGCGCGCGAGAAGCGCGCTCATAATAGAAGCGACGTGCGAGCTTGTTTTTCCAGGCGCGTCACTGTTTATGGTTGCATAGCGGAGACACGCGAGAGCGAGCGCTTGAGGAGAGAAGGAGAAAGCGGTGCAAACTGCGCTCTTCGTGATGACGAGGAAGTATCAGCAAAGAATTAATTGATTTCTAGCCCTTGCATTAGAAATCAGCTACAGGGTTCTCAAGTTTTGAAGACAGGCAAGAGTGACATTTTTGGCAGTTTTGGATTTAATAAAAGTAGGCTACAGTTAAGTCAAATAAAACATGTTTTATCTCCTGTATAGTTTGGTAACACTATAATAAGATACCATTCATTAACATTACTTAATGTGTTAATATCAACACATTGAGTGAACAATATATTTTTACAACAATTTAATACAAACACTTGATTGTTCATGCTTGTTCACTTCATTCATTGTGCATTAAATAATGTTAACAGATAAAACTTTTGATTTTAAAAATGTATTAGTATATTTTTAAATGAACCCCAAGGAGAATAATTGCTATGTATATAACTATGGTTTAATGTTAGGTCATTTTATCTAATGTTATCTAACAAATAGAATCTTATTGTAAAGTGTTTTTAATACTACAGTTTCCATCTTTGTAACTGTGATATACAGTTTTATATATGTAAATTGTATCTAAATTAAGCTTTGGTACCGAAATTGGTACCGAGAACCGTGGATTTTCACTGGTATTGGTACCGAATACTGAAATTTTGGTACCGTGACAACACTAGTCAGTACCAGTGTTTCATTTTTTGGACAAACTCACACCATTGTTTGAGACAGTTGTTCCCAGTTAGGCCGCTCAATCAAACAGACTGCAATTCCTTTTGGTGCCATTAGTAGCACAGATATTACATTTCACCTTTATGTCACACTTAAAGGGTTTGTTCACCCAAAAATGAAAATGATCCCATAATTTACTCACCCTAGGTGTGTAAGACTTTCTTCTTTCAGCCAAACACAATCGTAGTTATATTAAAAAAGATCCTGCCTCTTCCAAGCTTTATAATGGTAGTGAATGGTACCTTAGATTTTGAAGCCCCAAATGCACATCCATCCATCATAAAAGTAATCCTTACGGCTCCAGGGGTTAATAAAGGCCTTCAGAAGCGAAGCCATGCGTTTTTGTAAGAAAAATATCCATATTTATAACTTTATAAACTGTAATCACTGGCTTCCAGTAACGGCCATACGTGAGTCTAGTTCCGGCGGAAGAGTGACCTCTGACCCCACACATGACGAGTGACCTCTGACCCGACGCATGACGTATGGAGGAACCATGGAAGCGCAGAGGATAGAGCAAAACAAAACACTGGTCACGAATTATAAGTCTAAAACAAGAATTTTTAATTAGAAAGTGAGAGGAGCTTGAGTTTGTTTGAACCGCGAGAGGCGTCTATTCTCACCTAAGCTTATGCTACTCCTACATCTTACGTCATGCGTCGGGTCAGAGGTCACTCTTCCACCAGAACTCGACTCGCATACGGCCGTTCCCGGAAGCCAGTAATTATAGTTTAATAAAGACCTTCAGAAGGCCTTTATCAACTCCCAGGATTACTTTTATGATTGATGGATGCACTTTTTTGGGCTTCAAAAAAAAAAAGGTACCATTCAATCCCATTATGAAGCTTGGAAGAGATTATATTTTAATATAACTCTGATTGTGTTCTTCTGAAACAAGAAAGTCACATACAGCTAGGATGGCTTGAGGGTGAGTAAATTATGGGATAATTTTCATTTTTGGATGAACTTAAGCAAATGCCACAGTTTGCAAAGCAAAACTTAAAAACGTAGTTTTTAAATAAAAAATACTGCGTTCATTTTTGCTTCCTCAGTTATGTAGCATGGTTTTGGTCTGTTAGCCATGTGTTAGATCTTTCTCTAGATAGTTCTGTGAGTCTGTGAGCATCTGGTGCTAACAAAAGCCCGTCAGCTGATGGGGCATTGTGGCGAAGGTGCAGCGGGCCAGCTGGGGGCCAGTGGGGTGCACGTAGTGGCCCAGTGAAAGCTAGCGGGCTCTGACTTCTGCTCCTTGACCTGTTAGCGAGTGCTAGGGCAGGCTTCTCCATTCACTGCAAACAATAGATGTTTTTAGCTGTCTTATTTTTAGCTGCTAGCTAATTCAGTTTTTTCTGCATTTTAACCTGCTATAGTTAAGGATTCTGTTGGTAAAACATTGATTATTCTTATATTTAAAAAATAATCTCAGCCTTTTTTTGGTATAGCATTTGGTTTTAATACATATTTATGAAATTGTTTCAAAGCATTAAAGGATGTTTCAGTGAAATACAACTTGATTGTCAGTGTTACATTACCAGAAAATATTTTTTTTTTGTAAAAAAAAAAAGACAGCATGTTGACAGTTACATGCTCACAGCAGAAGTATGTAACACACAACCATTTCTCTTTGTATGTTTGTACAGCGATTTTTGTTAATTTTTTACAAACTGAGGGGTGAGTCGAAAATGTTTTCTGTCCCACAGATGCAGTCGAAAAAGCTTAACTTGTACTTAACCAGGGGGTATTTTTAGAGAAGTTGACTTCATTCCTCAAAAATTACATATTTGTTTTGGCCTGTCAGTTTAGATTCCTGGATGTTTTTTGACTCCATATTTCAAGTGGTACATCATTTGGAAAAGTATGCGGCTGCAGGGATTTTTGGGATTGTTCAGATCCTCAAAAAAGCCTTCTTTCTATTCTTTTGTTATGGCAACAGAGTGTGTTTTTTGAACAAAAGATGTAGATTTCTCAGGTTTTGTTACAGTTTATTTACTACTTGGAGAAATCATAGGAAATATTCGGATGGAGAATATTGTAATGTTATCACAACACTGTTTGAAAACCATCTGAACAAAACCATGTGATTTAAAATATCAGTCCAAAACCATTGTCAAGACTTAAAGTGGGATAAAACATTGTCCAGAAAGCCTTTAAATGCTTGAAGCTGAAAGAAGCTTAACCTATATTTGAATGTGCATATGACACCCATGCGCTGTGCTGAAGCATCAGCTGCCGCTGTTCAGCCGATCGTTCGGCCCCTTGTTGTTCGGGCTCCCCCATTCTTTTTGTTCTTTTCAATCTCTGGATGGATGATCACTGCTACATCAGCTGCTGCTGGAGAATCTGCTTTGTTCTCACTGATACGGCCATTAAACGCGGGGAAATTACCCAGATCATGATGCACAAAGAGAAAATCTGCTTTGTCATTTAAAAATATAAGAATAGGCATGTGTTGCTTGTTTATCCTTATTTCAATTCACTGGATTAATTTGGGACTAAACCCAATATGTAGGGAGCCGATCCATGTGTAAAGGACCAGAATATTATAGAGACCTTGAGATGGGTTCATTTGACTAAAGCCAGCAATAATCAACCCACAGCATAACAACTACCCAGAATACCTTAGCAAACACATAGCAACGCATGACATTGTGGCGGTGAGTTTTACAGGAGTTGTTTGGAAATTACGGAATTGTTTGTCGTCTTTTCCACTACTTACTTAGACATGACGGTAATGTCTCATGCAAACCTGTGGGAATTTCTGACTCTTGAATCATGGTGGCTATTCGTAATTCCATAGGTGATGATTGGAAAAGGGTCTTTGTGAACCCCCAGTGTTGGCTGAATCATCAGCCTGACTCACCGTACAGACGCCCAACCGGGAACCTGAAACCCTGCACCAGCACAGCACTAGAACTTATGCACATTGTTGCATTATGATGAAGTTGTTATTTCACTGTGATCATGTTGCATGGGACGGTAACAAAGAGGGAGAGAGATAACGTTTTTGGCCCAGCGGATCTCAGCCCTTGAGTGCTGGAGGAATGTATACTGTGAGATTTTTTTTTTTCTCAACCAAACCTTTGTTCTCGTCTAAATAATAGTTCTGCGTTTCAGTGCCTGTGGGTATTGTTCGTGTGAATGGTGAGAGATTCTGTTGACAGTTTTTTTTTTTCAGATGGGGAAACATCCCTGCCCTGTTTCTGTGCACAGACACGCATTGTTTCCCATCATGTCTGGTTTTAAATGAATGGTTTAATGCATGTAACATCAGGGCTTATAATTTGTTCATCCACATTTAAAAGGCTCACTGCAAAGTTGCAAGCTGGCTCCATTTGTACATTTTTGCCACCTGCAAATGGATGGTTAAAACTCCATTAAGGGTCACAAACTTCTGTGTAAAATGTTTGTAAAATCATTCATACGTGATTTATCACATTTTACATAAGAATGCATTTATAAAAGAATTGCACAGAAATTCCATAAATGAGGCCCTGAGATCAAACGGCTGTAAAGCACAGCAAATGGTCAAGTTCATCCAAATAAATGGCGTCATAGAAAGATAAATCCCTTTTATTTGCTTCATGAGACGTCTATGTGGCGTCAACAGCAGTAAACACGTCTCGGAGACATTAGAGACTTGGACTATGAAAACAAATGTCTTTCTTAATTCGCTGCCTGGATTATTTCAAAATATCCTTTCTTCAAATCCCAGACTTTATCTCTTTAACCTCTTCACCTCTGCCAGTTTCACAGTTTCCTCTTTTCGCTAGCACAGAGGCTGTGTACGCGCTGTTCATTTCCCCCCACACACTTAGCAAGGAAAGTATGTAATTTACTTGGAATACGCTGCAACGTCATCATACACAGGCAACACTTGAATCTCCAAGATTAGGGGTTTCACATATGATTACATCATGTTGTGCTAAGTTGGTGAGCGATGACTGATAGGTAAATTGATCCCCTCCCACTTCGCTTCCTTTTCACTACTATCCGAATAAAGGTGAAAAATACTTGTTCCCTTTAAATCTGAGCATATACTCTCCCTACAATTTGGAATCACCCTTGTGTAAAATGCACTGTGAAGATCACTACGGTATGCACTATCAGGCGATTAGAACTTATCCAGAGATTATCTTGCTGACGCAACGTTGACAAGTACCAGAAACAAAGCTGCATTCTTTATTCAGTCTAGCCTTTAATCCATTGCTTCTCCCACCTTGTCCACTTGCCATGAAAAAAGACCTGTCATGCACTTGGCAGAGGTTACGGTGTTTCATTACCCACGTCTAGTTCCTCCCTCAGCATTCCGCTGTAATTATGAGACACTACAGGCTCTTCTGTGGCTCCAAAACACCCGGCAGAAGCTAGAAGAGAAACAAGGGACGGAGAGGGCAAGAGAGCAGAGAGCATATCTATTTCTGCCTTGTGTGATGTCATCTGAAAGGGTGCCGACCGCTTTTGTAGCTTTGCTTTCTCTCTCTCTCTCTCTGCCCTACCCTGACAAGAGGAGGAGGGCTGCTGTCAGAGCAGAAGCACACTAAGAAGTTAAGTCAAATGGGACACGGAGACAGAAGGGGAGAATTAAAAGAGGGTCAAACGTCTACCAATCAGCATGAGCCGGCCACCGCACAAATGGAGCTGTGGCAGATGTTGGCTGAATAATGTGAAGGGGGCGGGGCTTTGAGTCCTGTGCCAGGAGGGTGTCTGTCATTGCCGGTTGGACCACAAGAGAGGCAGGAGCGGCTTTTTGTTCCTCCTGGAGCTTATGGCTTTGTTTTCCCAGATTTGAGGATTTGTATCAGGATATGCCACCATTATGTATACGGGATACCTCTGTGTGGATAACTGTATGGGAGATCTCAGGAAACTCTAAAAGTCCAGGCACTTTTCGGACTGCATGATGTCTGTGATGGAGTTATAAAGAACTAAGGAAACAAGCAACAATGACAAGTTGTGACAATGGGGAGAAATGGAAACCGGCAGGATTGTCATCTTGGAAAAGGATGTTTAAGAGGAAGAAGTGATGTATTAGAGAAATACCAAAAGTTTATTTTTTAAAAATACATATATATTTTTCCTTAACTTTATTTTCACCAATCTCTATAAAAGTAATTTAAATAAATTCATAGTATTTTTGGTGGTATTGTATTTTTGTTTTTGTTTTAAATTGTATATTCATAGCAAAAGTCTATAAGTCACTCTTACTGCTGTATTTGTTTACCTTTTCATTGGGGGTAAAGTGTATGCCTAGTGACTTGCAAAAGTAAAGACTCCCTTTTGGCTTATTTTTAAGTCTCTTTCATGTCTGTTAGGGATTGTTGCACTGAAAACCTTTACCTCATTGTTGTACGTCATTTGTAAGTTATTGTCATAATGGGGAAACCTCTGAGTAGACCAGACTGTCTGCGGCAGAACCCTTCTTGTGTGGGCAAAGGTGAGGAAGAGGACCTCAACATCGATGACTGTTACGTTCCCCAGAGGTCCATATATGACACCGTGCGTCTGAACGAGCAGATCGACTCGGGCTCAAAGGGCAGCCTGGCCTCAAGGCACTTCGTTGGGACTTTGCCATATAGCCATCGCACACTGGACATTAACGCACTCTGTGGGAACGGCGTCTTGGCCTCCTCCAGTGCCTTTGAGCTCCGCAGCAGGGAGGCGGTGCGTTTGGATGAGCGGGTTGCCTTCGACGGCTTGAAGCTTAATGGGGATATTATCCGGGGTGCAGACACCATGCTGTGTAAGCCCCGAGCAGTGGGAGAGAAAAGGGAGCCGCCTCAGCACCGGCGCTCCTGGCGGACCTTCGCTCCCACAAACCTCAGTGAGTTCGGCAGCTCCAGCGGAATGCTATGCGACGATGGATCGGGCCAACGTGGATTAGGTCGAGTGGGAAGAGGGCGCAGTATGACAAACTCTCTTACCTCAGAAGGCGACTCGGGCCTGTGTAGTCCCACTGTGGAAAGAGAACAACAAAACGCACAAGGTCAGAGGAGAACCGGGCCTGGTACAAGAAGCCTTTCCTCTGCTGAGGGAGTGCACGTATCTGGAGACCTAAAGCCAGGGCATTCCCTCAGCTCCGGTCAGGAAGACTTCCCCTTCTCGCCAAAAAAAGACAGGTTACCAACTCCGCTGTATTACACAGATGCATCAACGCTTGGAAGCCAACAACATAACAATACATACAACTCAGACCTCAGTGTGGGTCAGCACGCAGTTTCTAACAGCGATATAAATGTCAGGACGCCGGCAGAGTCGAGCAGTAAAACACACATGTCCACAACATTGTCAGGATATGAGGAATTACCCACAGCTGAACTTCTTGAAGACACTTGTTCACAGGATGACTGTGAGCTTCTCAGTGTTGTGGTGACGGAACCAAAGACTCTTTCACATTGCCTGCAGAATATAGAACAATATGCAACTAAGGATGAAAAGAGTTATGAATACGAGCAAAGAGCTACAGACTCCAAAATGGCAGATTTGGAGGATTTCTTGTTGTTAGTTGAAAGGGAGGCAGGTTTCACCAATGGAATAAAACGGATGGAGGATGAAGACATAGAGAGTCTATTAACATCCATAGCTGAATGTTCGCAGATGGACCTTGTGGCCTTGCCTTCCACCCAGGTACCCCAAAATAGCTGGTTAATGTTGATTGTTTGATTAGCGTTTCCTGGGAGGGAAACGCTTGGCCTTTATCAGATTAGGAGACAGCTGAATTGGGTTTATCGTTATTTGCTTGTCAGTGACTCAGATGTTGTGATGGTGCACAGCTGGTTATAACTGAGTAGAAGCCTCTCACAACAACCAGTTGACTGGTGCTGGAGCACATAGTGCCCATTTTAGTGGAAGAACATCACCTTATAAGGATGCTGGCTAAAACATATCTAGTTACCCTGCTGAAAAGACCAGCGTAACTGGCCACTAGCTTTTGTTTTGGATGCTGGTTCCCAAAATGTGATTGTAGTAGTTCATGTTCACATTCACGTAGTCTCTTTTTGTTTCAATGTTAAAATCTCCTAAGGAGTTTTAGAAGAAACATCAAAGATAAATTTGATTCTTAACATAGAACCACAACTGAGAACACCATGTAGTGCTTAAGTGTAACTTAAAATATTGGACTTTTATTAATGATTGAAGATTCATTGAACCTCATAATATTCAAGCAATCATTAATTCAAGTCCAATCTTTGAAGTCTTTCAAGATTCATTGAACTTCATAATATTCAAGCAAACACTGAATAGCGTACAGTTTTTCAGCTCAGAGAACTATATGTAGTGCCAAAAGTGTAACTTCAAAGATTGGATATTATCTGAAACACTAAATAGCTTACAGTTTTTTCTTTGGTTTTTAGTGTTCTTCAATATTTATCACTTACAGGTTTTCCAGAAAGACGTCATTGAGTCGCTGCAGAGCCAATTGCATGAGTTGAACACTCTGGGCCATTCATTGATCCAGAACGCCGGCAAAGGCACCAGCACCAAAAGCCTTGATCGTGATCTAGAAGAGGTCAACACCAGATGGAACACCCTCAACAAAAAAGTAAGACCCACTCTTCAGCTAGTTTCACAAAATGTTTACATTTCAATTGAAGAGGTGCAATAATATCATGTATGAATTGTTCAATTTCTTTATCTACTGCACTCTGGATTGCTCATAATTTTTTGATAGCAATCATAATGTTTGCCAGTGTTGGTGAGTAACTAACGAGTACTGACGCCACTACCTTAGCTGTAATCTTCAGTACTTTGAGAATAGACCATTTCAAGGATGTGAACAATAACAAATGCGCTGGAGTGCAACTGCACATGTCTGATTAATACATTTAATTTCCCACCGATGTTTTGAATGCGCTCGACAACTAACCGGAAAACGTCCAACGAACAAAGACGTCACTTCCTTAAGCCAACAAATAGCCGTTGAAATGGTCTATAGTCGAGTGTAGCCTTTCCAGTATCCATGGTTTAGAACAAGTAGCGATAGTGTTAGATGCTTCACCAACAAATTTAGTCATTTGTAGCATGCCAAGCTACAGTTTTAAGGTTGTTTCCTCAGCATTGCTGCATGTGTGATCTCCACAGGTTGCGGAGCGATCTGCACAGCTTCATGAAGCCCTGCTGCACTGTGGCAGGTTCCAGGATGCACTGGAGTCTCTTCTCAGCTGGCTCACGGACACAGAGGAGCTGGTGGCCAATCAGAAGCCTCCATCGGCAGAATTCAAAGTGGTCAAAGCACAGATACAAGAGCAGAAGGTGTGACGTCAGAACCCTTAGACCCTATCTCAATGAGAATCAGTTCGCTGATGTGAAATCTTTTGGTTTTACATATAGTGATATCAGTTTGCTTTTCCCATTGGCTCTGTGTAGCTCCTGCAGAGACTGCTGGATGACCGAAGAGCTACAGTGGAGCTGATTAAGACGGAGGGACGGAAGATGACGGGTTTGGCTGACACTGTTGATGAGGAGAAGATTGCGCGAGAGATTGAATGCCTGGGGCAAAGGTGGGATGCCCTACTTAAGAAAGCGGAGAACAGGTAAATCTATTAACACATCTTGAATTCTTGAAATAAAGTGCCCACAGTTGGCAAGTCAAATAGGTATTGGCTGAAATAAGGGAATCTACACTTTTTTTTTCTTCAAAACATTGAGTACTAAAAATACAATTCCAGTGTTTCTACAACAAATGTCATGTTTAATTTGGTAGCATTTTATTTTACAGTCCTGTTTCCCATGTAAATACTATGTACTTATTATAGTGATTACAATAACTGGGTAATGACTAGGTACTAACCCTGAACCTACCCTTAAACCTAACTTTAACCCGTGTAGTTACCTTATATTACCCAGTACTTTCTTAGGTAAGGACGCCGTATGTAAGTGCACGTACTTTAAAATAAAGTGCAACCTTTAATTTAATGTGTTTCTTTGCACTTCTTTGTGACATTACTAGCAATTTCTGTCATTAATAATTTATATCGTTATGTGTTTACCAGCATTTTACAATGGTTTTGAATGAGTTTAAACTTTGGTGGACCACTCTTAAGTTACAGCTTCTAAATAAGAATCAGTTCTCATTTTCCAGCTGTACTTATAAGGTATAATCACAATCACTACTTTTTTCATGGGTAAAGGACTGTGTATGTACAATATAATCAAACCCAGTCGTGTCCAGCAATAAAACTAACTGCAGCGTTCTTGGCAGACACAAGCAGCTGGAGAATATATTGGTGGTGGCACAGCAATTCCATGAGACCCTTGAGCCTTTGACGGAGTGGCTGACAGCTACCGAAAAAAGACTAGCCAACTCCGAGCCCATCGGCACCCAGACATCCAAGTTAGAGGAGCAAATCTCTCAGCATAAGGTACAGGACCGTCTGTAGAGACAGATAGTCCCGTGACCATTATTAGTTTGTTTTCCATTATGTTTTACTTTATCCATTCCCTGCATTTATGTTCTTCTCGCTTATGTTCTCATTTGATCCATTATTTTTCTTATTTTGGTTTCCGCTCCCTGGTTATGTGACATCCATGGTAAACAGGCCTTAGAGGAGGAGGTTTTGGGCCGTGGTAAGATCTTGTACCAGGCCATGAGTCTGGGCCAATCTCTTCGGGCGGTGGGCTGTGTGGATGACAAGGAGCTGGTTCAGGCAAAGCTGGACAACACGAACAGCAGATATATGGAGCTGCAGGAGCATTGCCGTCAGAAGGCCGAGCTACTGCGGCAGGCCCTGGCTAATGCACAGCTCTTTGGGGAGGACGAAGTGTCCCTAATGACCTGGCTCGATGAGGTGCACTGCAAACTGAGCGAAGTCTCGATCCAAGACTACACGGTGGCCGTGCTCGTGAAACAGCACGCTGAGCAGCTGGTACTTTACAAGCTCCTCCTCTTAAGGCTTCCTTCCCTTGTTTTCATCATTTCATTTCATTTTCTGTGGTGTGGAGTGATTTTGTGTCGCTCTGTTAGAAAATGCTGGTGACTGATGTATGTTTCAATGTCTAGACTCTTCATGAAGACATTGAGTTGAGGAAACAAAATATTGAACAGGCCATCCTAAATGGGATAGAACTGCTGAAACAGTCCACAGGTGAGATTAAAAAAGAAAAAAAAAACAGTGTCAATATTTGGAAGGTTTTCTGTTTGATGGGAAGCTTTTGATGCTCTGAAACTGTGAATCATGTGTGTTCACTTTCATTCAGGCGATGAGGTTGTCGTCATCCAAGGTAAACTGGATGGAATAAAGACGAGGTATTCAGAGATCAACACAATGAGCAACAATGTTTCAAAGACTCTGGACAAAGCCCTGTCTCTCGCCACAAAGCTGCAAAACACCCACGAGGAGCTCGACTCCTGGCTGGAGAAGGTTGAGTCTGAGCTGGCTTCATTTAAAGCTGAAGAACCAGTCGGAGAACAGCTTACTGGCTTGCAAGAGAGGCAGAAAGTAAGTGATGGTGCATTGCAGATGCATTTTAACCCTTAGGAAAGAGAATTTACAAAAGTATTACCGGTAAGTGTCAGCTCGAATACCAAACAAACTGAGTCTATTAAGGGGCTGTTTGCACAACAACGTTTTCAACTAAAAATGGGGAAAACGATTATTAGCCGTTCATTTACACGACAACAGCGTTTTGGGGGCCTGAAAATACAAACTTTTAAAAACGCGTTTCAAAGTCCAAGTTTTACTGTTATCGTCTCTTTGTAAAATACAAAAAACAGTGACGTCATGCGCATGTGTATTACATGTTATAGGCACGTGGTGTTTCACTGACCTGGCATGAATAATACAGCGTTTTAGTCGTTTTTGCGGATTTGTACATCATTTTTAGTTTTTAGTACATCATTGTTGTGTAAATGTATCCCAAGTTTCCCCCTCATTGGTTTCCTTTATAGACTCAGAAGAGATCTCAATAATATCTCAAACTGCTCAGATTTGCCAGACTAAATTATATGGTCTATGATGTCCAACTTTATTGCTCTGTTAAAATACATTTAGGAGAAACATTCAAGATGCTTTTGAATAAAATCTGTTACACTTAATTTTAAGGTCATTGTGACAGTGAAAAGACACAAATAAGTGACAACTAATAATTAATGTACTTACTATAGGTTTAGTTGCTTGTAAGTATGCATCATTTACTGTTATGGCTCTAGTAAGTGCAGGTAACCTGTATAACAAGGACACTGTAATATAAAGTGACACCAAAAAACTCTATTTCACACAGTAAAACCCAAAAGAAATATATTTACACAAAAATTCTTGAAAATGAAAAATGTATGTTTTCAAGTATAGTCAGAATTGGTGGATATATCAGGCTATCCTTTATTTGTCCCATTCAGACCCTGCTGAAGGAGGTTAAGGACCAGAAGCCACTGGTCGACTCTCTGAACGAAGTAACCAGCGCTCTGCTGGAACTGGTTCCTTGGCGAGCGAGAGAAGGGTTGGACAGGATGGTCACAGATTACAACGAGCGCTACCGATCGGCCAGCGATGCCATTACACAACACGTGGACCAGACTGGAGCTGCCATCTTAAAATCCCAGCAGGTACGGTGTTCTCAGCTGCTCGAGGAAATAACACCAGCCTTCATTAGGAGGATTCACAATGAAAGGCCCAAACAATGAAGCGCCTGTGATTGCTGCCAAGGGTGATCGGACTCATTGTGGTGTTAATTCTTAATGCTTTATAGTCGTCCAAACTTTATTTATTCTTTTGAGTCGCCTTGATGGTATTTACATAATATACTAATGGAGTGTGACCCAGATTGATTACATTTGCATCACATTAGTGTGTTTATATGGTTTATTGCTGATTAGTTTATGCATAGCTGACTCGCCTGCAAGGTAAAATACTACTACTAATAATATAGAACACATTTAAAATTATTATTGATGAATATATTGTTAATGTGGGTTATCTGGCTTTTATAAAGGGGAATGTTATGCATTTTATTATTTGAGTCCAATTATAATATCAGTCACTGTTTGTTGAACCAAAAGCTCTCTTGATTTAATTTTCCACTCTATGTCTGAAGCTGACACTTAAACATACTGTTTTTAGACTTATGACCTGATTGGCTTATCTCTTTCCTTGTAAAACAAGTAACAACCTGTCTTCATTTGCTGAATATTCACGGTGTTGTTATGTAAATGTGGAGGATCATGTTAATGAGCTCATGTGAATTTCTGAATGGCCTGATTTTGCAGCTTTGTTCCCAATAATGCTCAGGGTTGACTGGAGAAGAAGCTGTGCATTATGAACATATGCATATAGTACATCAAACTCAATTAATCTCGATTTAATTGAATATTAATGTTAATCAAATGTATGCATTCTGTCAGAAGCGCATGGAAATCTGACATGGACAGTCACATATCACTGTTTTCTTGTTTTCCCTCTGATGTGCAGTTCGATCAGGCGGCCGCCACTGAGCTGGAGTGGCTGTCCAAGGCAGAGAAGAAGTTGTCCTGTCTCGGAGACGTCAGGCTTGAACCGGAGCAGACCGCAGCTCAGCTACAGGCTCAGAAGGTCAGTCGGACGTTTGCGTGGTCGTCTCTAACACATACGTTATAATCAGGGCTTGACAGAAACGTTTTTGCTCACCAGCCACTGTGGATAGTGGTTTTCCAAAGTTATTTGGCTGCTGTCACTTTAAGAGCTAACGCACCAACTCGTTATACAGTTACACACGTGTTTTCTTTCTCCACTGTTTACATTCACTTAAAACACAACAGACTGTGTTTATGTGAAAACTCACCAAGACCAGCAACTTGACATTATTTTGTGTGTATTTGATTTGAACTCAATGTAGTACTGAGAGGCATCTTTATGTGCCGCACTTTGGGTTTGAGCTCAAAATCTGCCGGAATGAGTAAAATGATGCGCAATCCTACTCCGAAATTCAAGGCCTGTTACACCAACAATATTCATCCGGAGCGAATGAAACGAGTGAGTGAGTGGAGGCGGGTTTGTGTGGGAGAGAGAGAGAGAAAGAGAGCAGCTGGTCTCGTGTGTCTATTCTGAGGAAAATGAGTATCGAAAGCGTTTCAGATATTTCAGTATCGATATGTATCAGAAAAATCTATATTTTTTTAAAACACTACATTACACTTAGTTTATTATTTCAGTTTCCTTTTTAAAAGACTACAATTGGAAAAAGTATATATAAAATTATATATAGAATTCAAGTGTCTAGTAGCAGTGACTGCGTTACACGCCACTGCTGAAATACACACACATTTGGCAGGTTGGCGGGTGTTAATGTCAAGCCCTGGTAATAAAGCCCACATTTTCTACATCTATCTTTCTCCTCCAGAGCTTCTCCATGGACATTATGAGACATAAAGATGCTGTGGATGACATTGTAAAGACCGGCGAGGCCATTATGAACAGCAAAGATGAAGCAGAGAAGCAGGCGTTGAGGGTAAATAGAAGTACATGTATAAAGAACTGGAGCGTAAGCTGTGTCCAGCACAGGTGAAACCACTGTGGTCTCGTACAGGTGAAGCTCCAGGTGTTGTCGGAGAAGTACAGTGTGGTCAGCCAGCTGAACTCGGAGCGCTGTCTGCAGCTGGAAAGAGCTCATTCTCTAGCCTGCCAGTTCTGGGAGACACACGATGAGCTCTGGCCATGGCTTCAGGAGACCAGAACCAGCTTCACTCAGCTGTCCAAACCAGCCATTGAGTACGAAGCCCTTCGACAGCAACAAGAGGAGCTGAGGGTAAGACTAACAGCCATTAACACTCCTGCTGTTGGACACACGTGCACTAGATCCTTCCTATTATTAATGAAGCGCACACCTTCAGTCGATGGATGCTACTCATCATCTGTCTGAAATCAAATCATTTGGTTGCATTTTATTTTGATAGTCCACTTTAGACAAGTAATGTTGCACCTACATGTCACCTATACTCTCATTAGAGTTGTTAGTGGTTAGGGTCGGTAAAATAAGTAGTTGCAACGTTACTTATTGTCAACAGAATGTCTAAAGTGGGCCGTCAAAATAAAGTGTTACCAGTTTAATATATATAGTCAAGTCATCCTCATTTATATAGCGCTTTTAACAATGTAGGTTGTTTCAAAGCAGCTTTACAGAGATAAACTTAATATAATTTAAGGTAACAGAGATTGGTTTGGTTTTATAGCGGTTCTTGAATAATGTTATTTTCCAGCTAAAGTTAGTTTTGATTGATTCACTTCCAGTGAAATGATCATTTGTTATTAAATTAGGGGCCGCTAAGACGACACCGTTCTCTCTAAACAGACTTTAAACTGAACCTGTGATAAACAAAAAAATGTCGTTCACATGCGCATTAAGAATTGATTCTATAGTTATGTGCGTTTGAATATAAGTGCGCAGGTTTGTAATATATATCAGCCTGATCTCACGGCAATTCGTACGAATTTTACGAGGTGGCTAATTCGTACTAATTCAAACGACCTCACTCGTACAAATTCGTATGATTTTTGCTAATTCGTACATATTTTACGAGTTACCAAATTCGTATGAATTCGTACGAATGACCTACCCCTGACCCCGCCCCTACACCTACCCATCACGTGGGTTTAGACAAATCGTACGAATTCGTATGAGTGAGGTCGTATGAATTAGTACGAATTAGCCACCTTTTAATCACTCGTACGAATTCGTACGAATTGGACGTGAGATAGCGTTGTATATATATATATTAGGGCTGTCAGTTAAACGCGTTATTAACGGCGTTAACGCAAACCCATTTTAACGGCGTCAATTTTTTTATCGCGCAATTAACGGTCTTTTTGGCCTAGCAAACTTTGTAGTTTTTTTTCACATGCTTTTGCGACAGGACGCGGCGCTGCGCTATGAAACCCATTCATTTAAATGGCTTGCGCCCCGTGAGGACGTTTTGTTGCTTCGTCGACCAAAGAGCAAGCGGATCTAGCTATACCGGAAACAACAACAGGCACGCCGCCGCACACACTTGTTTGGGCTTGCGAGCCGGCCAAATAGTAGGTTAACGTTACGTTTTGAGTGGATGACGAGCGCGAGACGCCGAAATGGACGCCAATAAGATTCTGAATGGAAAGTTTACTTTTAAAAAGTTGCCAAATGGTTCCATTGACGAGACCAAAGTGATCTGTGTGTTTTGTCGTTGTGAACTGAGCAATCATCATCGCAGCACGTCCAGTCTGAAACACCACTTGATGATGGCCAAGCACACACACACACACACACACACACACACACAGCTGATGCGAATTCTCCGCACCCTCATCAATATCAGGACCTCGTCAGTATTTCTTTCACTCTTTTATTGATGGACAGTGTTACATTGTGTGAGAGATTATTTGCTCCAAGTGAGAATGTTAGTGTGAAATTGAACACAGTGTATGCCAATGTTGTTTTCAATAAAAAACATTTGCACAAAGCAAGCCGATCCCCTTTTCCATGTTGATAAGAGCATTAAAATGAGAAAAAATAATGGGACAAAAAGAAATCAAGAGTAGATTTAGAATAGATAAAAATGTGCGATTAATTGCGAGTTAACTATGACATTAATGCGATTAATCGCGATTCAATATCTTAATCGTTTGACAGCACTAATATATATATATATATATATATATATATGTGTGTGAACTAATAACTATCAATTGTACTGCTGCTGAAGTTTAGCATTGCGCTTACAGCTGATTGGTTTGTGTTAAATAACATTATCTACGTTTACATGCACCCAAATATTATTCCCAATATAATCAGATATATGATTAAAAAAAGCCTTCATGTAAATACCTCAATCTATCCTAATGGATTTGTGATCGACGGTAAAAAATCAAGCAAGCAACAATTGAATACGACTATTTTCTTAATTAAATGCAAAAATACCATAGCTTGCCCAGATGTGCAGTGCTGTAATGCGTATGATTACATATCATATGAACCTGCATACGTTTATTAATGTCTCATGTCTTATGAACTGGTCATAGGACACAACAGAGACAGTGCTCTTCTGACATAAATGTTAGCTTTCTTTTTAGATAATGACAATTATACTCACAGTAGCTCTGTTGGCGTTATTGCAGTGGCTTTCTCCGGTTCTGAACGTGTCGACTGGATTTTGGTTCAGAATACATGTAATGCATATATATAAATATATATTAATCAGATTGCAACCTTCATTTAAACAGAGCTTTCAGACGTTGGAATAAGAAATGAGTGCATGTAAACATACCTAATGTGTGGTGATGAGGTCATTCTTCCAGTGTAGAGATGATGAAAAAATGTCATACTGTGCAGTCGCTGGCATTTGATCAAAGCAATATGCAATTCGAGACTGATTTACCATGGTTTACTGTTTCGCCTTGTGCTTAACTGTCACAAAATCACTGTAATGCAGCGCCTTGGAGGGCTTAGTGCTTTATTAGAATGGATAAGAGGATAAAGTATTATGTACATTAGTGTCCTGACAGCTGCTAAATGAGATCTGTGTGAAATGTTGTCTAATTGTGTTTGATCTTTAACAGTTTTTTGTAGAGATGCACCGATTACAATTTTCTTGGCGGATTCCGATTTTCGATTTTTCAGAGTTTGACCTGCCGATACCGATTTTAGCCGATTCAGATTTCATTTTTTTCTAACCACTTTACAGCACACACAAATATTTATTTTCTCTCTTTTCTTTAGTAGAACATTTTGCATAGAACATTTTTGAACAGTAATCGCTATAAAACAGGACTATATAAATTACTCCTGGTGTGGGAAATTCACACACATCTAAAGTGCAGTGTTATGGAAGAACCATTTCCTTCTTTTCACATCCAATATCCAACTAAAAAAATGTGTTCATTTCAAAAAGAAAATTCATTTTCTTTTTTGACATATACTCCAGTTCTTGTTAAAACACACCAGACATGCAAATTCTGTGCATTTTGGGCACTTTTGTGTGAAATCATATTTATTTTGTCCATCAAAAGTGTGCTTTCACTTTAATTGAGCGTGAGCAGCTCAGCAGAAATAGACTTGCGCGCGGCTCCTGCTCACGCTTGCGGTGTGAAACGGCTGTAATTCACGAGGTTTCCTACATGTGCGTTCCGTGTGCACGTGCGATGCTGATGTTGCACGATGTTAATCATGCGCCGCCCGAGTGCATTTGACCGGCATAAAATCGGCATATGTCAGACTGACCGGCTGGTCACGTGAAAATCGGCCAATTCCGGTCACCAGCCGATCAATCGGTGCATCTCTAGTTTTTTGATGATAATGTTATAAACAACCCACTGCATTTTATTCTGATGATATTCAACGTTCCACCTTCAGCAAATGAGGGAGCTGATAGCAGAGCACAAGCCACACATTGACAAGATGAATAAAACTGGACCTCAGCTGGTGGAGTTGAGTCCCACAGAAGCCACGGCCATCAGAGAGAAGTACCAGACCACCGACAGCCTGTACGGCCAGCTCAAAGTGGACGTGAAGGTCAGAGCCGCTGTCCTGGACGAGGCCATCTCCAAATCCACTCAGGTACGGCTTCACTTCATTCTGTCCTTTTGAAGCATACTCATTTTTTTTAGTAAATGAACAGCATTTTGTGTTAAAGGGATACTTCACCTCTGGAAAGATGAATGTGTATTTAAAATGGGTCATTTATGTAGAAGAAATGTGAAATTATTTTTGAATTTGCTCCCTCATTTGCCAAAATGTCCGGGATTCGGCTTTTGCGTTCTACAGTCGTCATTCATCATGTTAACTGTGGCGAGCAGGACGAGTGAGGGCCACGGGAGGACGGCGCGAGGCCGGTGGCGTGATTACCGATGAGCGGCCAACACCTGTGAGACGCACCGGTCTCGTATCTCTCACGGAGGAGCGGGAATTTTCTTAACGCACATCAACCGATCACTTGTTTAGCGTTCATGTAAACACTACATTCAGATTCACCAATCGGAATTAATTCAGTTAGACTGAAACAAAAGGTGTGCATGTAAACAATGAATGGCGACTGCAGAAAGCAAAAGCTGAATCCCGGACACCGATGGCCGGACATGTCCAGGAAAAAGAGGATGGTAACCCCTACTACTCAGCTTTCTCCACAGAACAAGAGCCTGCTAGCTTAGCTTCCAAACAAAGATGGCTGACACTATGTGTACATTCTGTGAGTGAGATCCCAGCCTCTATGGGCGGGTTGAGGACATGCGGGACAGCCCCTACTACTGACTGTAGTCTTTAGCCTCTGGCCCAAAAATCCTCCGATGACGCAAAATGACGATTTTTGCGTCATCGGAGGATTTTTTCCAGACAAAAAATACATAAATCTCTCGTCTCAGGGGGATATGAGGGTGGAAAGCACGGTATAATACTACAGGTTCCTACTAATACAAAGCTTAATGCTAAATCCTGAAGTATCCCTTTAACCATAAATCTTTTGTAATATTATGAATATCTTTCACTTTTGATCAATTTAATGCATACTTGCTTAAACTGTACTGTCCCCAACTTTTGAATAGTAGTGCATCATGGTTTCCACAAAAAAATATTAAGTAGCAAAAATGTTTCTTGAGTAGCAAATCATCATATTAGAATGTTTTCTGAAGGAAATTCAGCTTTAATCACAGGATTAAATTACACTTTACCAGGGGCGTCATGCAAGCCAAAATTCTGGGGGGGCACAATCTGAGACGTTGCAATTGTTTTCTGACGGGTGATATGGATCATGTTAGGAGGGGTCAGGGGGTTTCTCCCCCTGAAATTTTTTTAATTCTGGCTGCGAAACATACTATTTCAATGCAGTTTGGGAGGGACAGAAATACCTTAACGGAGCTAGCAGCAACCCTCCTCTATCTGACGACTAAGTTAAAGTATATGTGTATCTTATATGTGCATTATAAGATGTTTTGAAGGCCAAAAAAACTCCTAAAGTTGAGCTTTGACTGATAGGCTTTTCATTTTTGTCTGTCAGTGAAGAAAGTAAACATAGGGTCAACTGATAGGTTGATTTATGAATCATTTTCTCAGACGAATTTATTTACTGAAAGCTACTAGGAAAGCTAGGTAGCCTAACTAAGTTTATTAAATTCATTCACAGTACACATTCATTATTGATCTTATGCCTAATACAGGGCCGTAGACAGGGCTTTATAATCACAGAGGTCCTAAATTTGAGGTGGGTCGGGGGTTCAAATTTTTTATTTCTCTGATATGTGCATTTCAAGACGTTTGAAGGCCAAAAAAAGGATAAGAAATAGCTTTAAAACCATGTCAGTGGGCAGATTATTTGTCAATACCTGCTCTCACTTCTTATCCATCACTCTTTCTTTTTCTCTCAGTCTCCTGATCTTGCCTTCCCCTCCTAAAGCTGAGCTTTTTTAATTTACTTAAGGCTACAAATTGTACTATATTAATTCTCAATATGTACACATTCATTATTAATCTTGTGCCTAACAATGAAAACGTCTTTTCCCCTCACAATGACAGTAAACTAATTATTAGCCTACAACCAGTCATGTTACATAGGCCTATTTTCAGCTCAAAATGGCGAAATTAGACAAAAGTATATTCGTGTGCCTGATTATTTTTGTCATTCGTTTAACATTTATGAACTAAAAAAACTGTCAAATATGAAATGTTTAGTTTAGCTACTTACATCTCGCACTTGACTGTACACTGAAGCGTCGAGTCTCACTGCTAAAATTCGCGCTCAGCTTCTGTGAACATAAAGCCCGCCTACTTTGATTTGATTGGTCATCTCAAATATTCTGACATTGACGAGCAGTGACAGACCAATGAGGCTCAGATGAACACGCACGCACGCACGCACCCTGTCCTCTGTTTCTGACGTGCGCTCTGCGCTGAATCTGATTATAACAAGACTGAAGAAATAAAAAATTAGCAGGGAGGAAAAATCTGAGGGGGCACGTGCCCCCTCACTTTGAATGGGCATGACGCCACTGCACTTTACTATATAATCACATACAAAACAGTCATTTTAAATGAATATAATACAAATATAATATAAACAGAAATGATTGATAAATACTGCCTTAGTGAGCAGCATAAAGAGGCGTCCTTCAAAAACATAAAAAAGCCTGATTATTCCAAGCTTCTGAGCGGCAGTGTAAGTGTGTAATGAACGCTCTCCACAGTTCCACGATAAGATCGAGCCGATGCTGGAGTCTCTGGAGCGCATCTCTGAACGCCTGCGCCAGCCTCCGTCCATCTCCGTGGAGGTGGAGAAGATCCGAGAGCAGATCTCCGAGAACCGAGCGGTGACTGTAGACCTGGAGAAGCTCCAGCCCTCGTATGAGACGCTCCGAGAGCGCGGAGAGGAGATGATCGCGCGCTCAGAAGGAGCAGACAAGGACCTCTCCGCCAAAGGTAACTATGTGCGGTAGCTTCATTTATTTTTTATACGTTTCATTCAGGGGCGTAGCCATCATTTCAAAAGTGAGGGGGACAGAATGTCAAGTGTAATACCATTTTTTTCAGACTTTTGTTGACAGGTTAATTGGCTTAATATGCTATTTATTTTAAAAACAATAAAACAGAAAGAAAGAAATGCAGATGTTCAGTACTTTATATTGCACATGCAGGGTTTTTCCTGGCTTAAAACGAGGTGGAGGTGGTATAATCTTGATCATGTATTTGAATTAGATTATAACATTTTTATTTTTCGTAGACCATCATATAGCCTACTGTGTTTCCCACAGTATTTTTGTAGGTGGATCTCTGTACTTCTAGGGGGGTCCGGAGGCATGCCCCCCCGGAGGAAAATTTTGTACATTTTAAAGATAAATTCATCAATCTGGTGCACTTTGAGTCCCCCGAATCCACTGTTAAAAATAAATAATCCACCCGTCAACCGCCCAAACATATGATATTCTCTGATTTAGATATCTGATCATCGCATTACAATTATTCAAATTATCAGTGTTACTGTTAAGCATGATAATATGGTTAAATATCACACTAAAGTAGGCTGATTTAGAAATAACATTTACTTAAAATAAAAGTTCTTCTTTTGGCAAAATAACATTTCCTTAATAGCCTAAAGTCTGTCTTACTAAACTAAAACTTTCCAATTGAAAACCTTCAAACGTCAAGCTTTTAAAAATACTTCAAACTTTCTAGTTAGGCTTTTTCAAGAGAACTTAAAGTTTGTCTACAAACTTTTTTTTATCTAATTGTAAAGTGTTATCGAATTATGGTAAATATCATAGTCTACACATGTTACTGCCTGATTCAAGCAGATCGTGGCTGTTAATGCATGAACATACAAATTCAGCATTAACAATCACCATGTTTATTCTAATTTGAAGGGCTTTGATAACATATCTGTGAAAATAAAAGACATTACGAATAAAAAAAATTGAAAATAGTGCACGTTTGTGCGGGTATAGTGAATATTTTCAATTTACAACAAAACTTGTTAATTATTCAACATGAGAAATAGGCAGAGTTATTCATCATTGTGCAACCCAATTCGGATACCACATGACAACTGACTTACAGTGCTTGACTTTTTCGTGAAAAAGGAGTGAAGAGTTTTTTTTGCCGTTTTGAACTCTATGAAACTGATGGATTCGGCGCGGGTGCGAGCATGGGCGTGTCGTAAGCTAATGCACGAGTGACTGATTACCATGGAAGCGTGAAAGTCACAGATAGACTATCCTTGACTCTTTGGATTTTAAATCTCGATGTAGGGCAGGCTATACACACCTGCGAAAACCTCACCTTGTCATAGACACATTTGCCCTATGAAAAAGTGCGGGGGACGAATTTACATTTTATAAAAAGTGGGGGGGACACGTCCCCCCCGTCCCCCGCGTAATCTACGCCCATGGTTTCATTTAAAATTTAGATAAAGTTTTAGTAATTTTTATTTCAGTTTTAGTTATTTTAGTTACTGATGCACCGGATCCTTGACCAAAATAGTGATATTTAAGTAGTGCTTTTCCAATGGTGTATCGCAATCGTAATCCAATCGCGATGTCAAGCCTATGCGATTATATTACGCAAAATACTGCGATTTTATATGAAATAAACAAATTAGGGCTGTTAACGCAGCATCTGTTATTTTTTGTCATCCTTTGGCTAGTGTTACATGATGCCGCTCTTATTCATGTGAATGCTTTAAACCATTCAGCGAGACACGTCAAAAGAGCGCGCTGCCTGTGTGTGTCCTGACTGAAAGACGCGCGCCAGTATCATGCGCGTGCACAGACCGCGCGCCAGAATACAGATCTCTTTTCGCTTGAAGTGAACGAACAATAACACACACAATTATGCCAAGATATCATTTGTCGAGTGTCTTCATAACATAAGAGCAGTCTTTTGATGGTCGTAAAGAGTTGTGAGAGAATAAGGCGCGTGTGAGATCCGCGTCTCTGTCAGCAACTCTTAAAGGGCCAGCATCCAATAATGCTTTCTGTCAGTAAAGTTAATCAAAGAACAAAGGGAACAGAGAAAAACACTCACTGCTCTTGACCAAAGAACTTGTGTAGCTTTAAATAGGATTTTAGTCCATATAATTTATGCAGCACAGACTGTTTGATAACTTTATTCCATTTCTGTATATGTCCTACCTGTAGACAGGAAGAGCACAGGTAAATATGACATTTATTATGGGTTTATGTGAGGATTGTTTGAAGTTCACTTAAATTAAAATTAAATTATTTTTTATCCAGATATCAATGGCTTATTGATCATTATAGGTGTTATCAATCATTTAGTTGTTGTTGCTAGTTTGAGTTGAGAAATACACATTTCAGAATTATCACTAATCTGTGTGTGCATTTTGCTTTAGAACCAAGCAAGTTGACTCATGAAACCATTTGTTTATTATATCGCAATCGCATATCGCAATATTGACCTCAATAATCGCAATATTATGACATTTTCCCCAAATCGTGCAGCCCATTTGTGACTGTTCTAGGGCTGGGTTGACACAATCGTTTCCTTGTTTTTATTTGACACTGAAATGGACTCTTAAATCTCAAGATCTGTCTTTTAGTCGATACTAATTTCTGTTGATGCGTAAACAAATCTTTACTAAACATTTGTAGCGCGACTGCCATCCTGTAAGCGTTGTTACTTTTGAAATTAAACAGTTTTTTTATGACATTATACCAGCCATCGTTTAAATGTTTATATTAACAGAAAATGGCAATAAAAAATTATTTCGGTGCATCACAAAAATGTATGAAATTAAATAAAATGTGTAATATTAGTAAAATTATACAAAAAACTAGTTTTCGATTTTTTTTTTTTTCAGCCCAGAATTTTCTTTTCGGTGCTTCACTAATTTTAGCACATCAAGTTAAACTGAATTAAAATGCTTTTATTTATTTTTTTACATGCTGATGCCTCTCTTCTGTTGTTTCATCTGAAGCCGTTCAAGATAAGCTGGACCAGATGGTGTTTCTGTGGAATGACATCCAAGCTCTTCTGGAGGAGAGAGAGGCCAAGCTCCTGGATGTCATGGACTTAGCGGAGAAGTTCTGGTGTGATCACTGCGCGCTCATCGTCACCATCAAGGACTCGCATGATCTTCTGAGAGAGCTGGAGGAGCCTGGAGTGGACCCGTCAGTGGTCAAGCAGCAGCAGGAGTCTGTGGAGGTCTGGAGGACTCACGACAGAGCTCATATTATAGAGGCTGGTAGTCATTCAACATCTTCACACTCATGTTTTGCTCCACAGAGCTTCAGGGAAGAGATTGACGGGCTGCAGGAGGAACTGAACGTGGTCCAGAATCTGGGGGCCGAGCTCATGACGGCGTGTGGAGAACCTGATAAACCAGTGATCAAGAAAAGTATAGATGAGGTAATGATGCTCTGGAGAACAATAGCGTACGAAAGTAGAGGTCTGTGCGCAGTGGTGTAACGAGCCAACACCGGGCCCTTATGCAGGATTATCAAGGCGGGGCCCCTACTACAGCAGGTGATGACGCAATGTCCACGAGACGGCTAACGTGAATAATAGGATCAGGATTTGATCATAGAGACACAGCATATAAGAGATAAAATGGCTGACAAAATCAGGAGTAGCCTACGCGCACCAAAAAAAAAAAACACTGGTGACGGCGCACCATAACACATTGTTACTCACTGCTATGACTACACACACATAGGCCTAGGTCCAAATACATAAAAAAGATGCTCACTTACATTATAGCTGCATTTTTCGGGCTTTCCTCTGTGAGAATATGCATGTTCACTTATCGACCCGAGGATTCCCCAGTCCCAATTCGAAACAAATTACACCAAAATACATCATTGTTTGTTTCCCACATGTATTCAATGACCAGTAAAATATGTTGTTGTCATTATTTATTCAAAATAAATTCGCGATAAAGTAAAATGGGATCAGACTAAAAGTAGTAAAATGCGATAGGGGGCCCCGGCTGTCAATCAATATCTTCCAGTCACGCGGGCCCCTGATTGGTCCGGGCCCGTAAGCAACCGCGTACCCTGCTTACCGATGGTTACGCCTGTGTCTGTGCGGGATTGAGAGATCTTGTGAAAGTCCCTTTTTTTCCCATTCCTGCCCGCAAAAGCTTATAGGAAGGGGTCTATGCTGATTTTTTTACACTTAATTTTTATGTAACTTTTCAGAACAGAGACAAACGGTAACAAACAGTCAACTTAGCTTCATGGGTATTTACATGGAAATTATTTCAAAATGTAACATGAAAAAAAAAAGAAAAAAAAAAACTTTTTCCATACTCACCTAGTACAAGAGATCCTTGAGTAAAAAAAAAAGTCATGAGGTTATCATGTAAACATAAATACATATATGCACTTATAGAAACACATACATACAAACAAATATTCTCATGTCCATAGCCATACTTTCATGCAGCTTGAAGTAATATTCTCTCATGGTGGTTACATGTGTGATAGAAATATGAATATGCATACATTTTTCTGTCTTCTCTCTGTTTTGATATATGTGTTGTTGTCCATTCCCCCAGTGTTTTTCAAAAGTCTTGTAGTCTTAACTTGAATGTCAGTCTTCCCATTTTTTACGTTTCTGTGACATTTGTTCCCTGAGTTCTGGTTGGGAAAAGATGTTGATGCCTTTAACGCCAAGTAATCAGCTGCTGCTAGTAGTATCCTCAGTAAATATGTATTCCAATTTTTAACTGAATCTGGTATATTACCAAGATAGAGAATATAATCTGTTTCCCCCAATCTCAATCTCTAAGATATACTCTATACTTGAGTGTATTTTACACTGATGTTTCAGTCCCGGTCCGGTTAGATTCTGTCTCGTTATGGGCGTCTATAGGCTATTTTCTCAATTTTTCCACACACACACACACACACACACACACACACACACACACACACACACACACACACACGCGCGCACGCGATGCTTCAGATCTCCAGTTACAGACTTCTGCGTGCTGTTATTATTAGATAATTATATTTTGCGGGAGGACACGAGTCATTTCTTTCTCCCGCTTTCAGTGTCTTCCCTCCAGGATCCGCGCTCAGCAAATCACAAGCTGTCCTGCGGGATTGCAGACGTCTTTACCAAAGTATTCATAGTTTCTGCCAAAACACCATGGTTAATTGTTACTATTGTAAAATCATAATGTATTTATCTACGCTCTCAGAATCTTTATTTATTTATATTAGCTAAAAATAAGTTATCAAGAGTTTATTATAGTAAAAACTGTAGTAACTATGGTTTTTAAATTATGGTTACCATGGTAAATATTTGTAAGCTTTCATTTTACATGTTTTAAAAGTGTTTTTGGTAACACTTTACAAAAATGTTTCATTAGTTAACTACATTAGTTAACATGAACATAATGAACTGCACTTCTACAGCATTTATTAATCTTAGTTAATGTTAATTTCAACATTTACTAATACATTATTAAAATCAAAGGTTGTATTTGTTAGCATTAGTTAATGCACTACGAACTAACATGAACAAACAATGAACAGCATTTATATTAACTAACATAAACAAAGATTAACTAATATAGTAACAAATGTATTGATCATTGTTAGTTAATACATTAATGTTAACTAATGAACCTTATTGTAAAGTGTTACCATGTTTTTTAATTCGTTTAAAAATTAGCAAGTCTATCCAGCATCAAATGTGTAAGCAGGGTTAACCCTAATTATGTTTATATTATATTTATATTATATTATTATAAACATAATAAAGAGTGAACAAACATTAGTCTCTCTGTGACACTCCACTCACACAAAACGTAAGAAATGTTCTTTACTTTTGTTTTGGTGGATTTTTCCATGGAGTTTATCAATGAATAGATAACATCATAATAAGGATGGTTAATTTTTGCTGTTACTGGAGAGCTGGACGAGTCAGAGCTGGCGTCACACTGTCTGACCACATCTCGTTCGGCCCACAGGTGAACTCGGCCTGGGAAACCCTGAATAAGACATGGAAGGAGAGAGTCGAGACTCTAGAAGAAGCCATGCAGGCTGCGGTTCAGTTCCAGGACAGCCTCCAGGTTAATATCACACACACACACACACACACACGACTCTCACCACACATCTGTCGGAAACTTCTCGAGTCAGCACTGTCTGATCGCCTGTCATGCTGAATATGTTCCTAAAGGAAAATCAAATGTTACATGAATGGTCACACTTTATTACAGTGTAATTAACAACATGTACTTACTATAGCGTTAGAGTTTAGTTTGGAGTTAATTGCTTATAATTATGCATAATTAACTGTTATTACTATAGTGACCACATGTAACTACGTCGCCTTAAAATAAAGGGTAACACTTTATTTTACAGTGTCCTTCTTACATATGTTACTATAGTAATAACAGTAAATTATGCATAATTACATGCAACTAACCCTCAACCTAACCCTATAGTAAGTACATGTTGTTAGATAATATTACACAGTACTTAAATATATAATTACACTGTAACAATGACACCTTAAAATAAAGTGTAACGCATGAATTAATCATGTGATGTGGTTTAGCCCTGGCGAGTGCCAAGAGGGTACATGGACAATTTGAAAGGGAAAAATATGTTTATATTTATAATATAAGCCGTCAACTCATTATCTCAAATTGAATGCTCTTTTATTTATTTTTTCATCAGCATTAAAAGTGAAACTAATGGGAATTTGAAAAGGAAATATACTTAATTGTCATGGGAAATTAAGAATGCAAAAAATGACTTTCTCATAACCATGATGACTTTTTTTTTTTTTTTTTGCTTTTTTGTCACTGGCATGTTGTATCCAGATCAAGAACATGCCCTACATTAATCATGTTAAAGGGATAGTTCACTTTGAAATTAATTTTTGGTATGTTTTAGCTTACCTCAAGGGCATCCAAGATGTAGGTGTCTTTGTTTCCGCAGTAGTTTCAATTTTGATATTTTTAGGTCAAACCGTTCTTGTCTGTCAGTCATATAATGCAGGTCTATGGTCACCACCTCAAAGAGCATGCACAGAGAAGTCCAAATTAAACATGATTTAATGACTCGTAAATGTAAGTACACATTGATGGCCTAAGACACGAAACGAGCGGTTCGTGTGAGAAAACGAACAGTATTTATATCGTTTTTACCTCTTGTAACCACAGCCACGTCCAAGTGATCTGAGGGCGCCGGCGCTTCGGTCTGCGCAAGCGCCGGAAGTGATCTCTCTCTCGCGTGTGTACGTTACTCATTGTTTACACAGATTTCGGAAGTGTTACCTTTCACTGTGAAGATCTAAACATATTTAGATATACAGGAAATCGCAATGGAAGACGATTTCGATATTTCAACAGACAATATATATTTTTCAGAGAGATCCCTTCCGGCACTTGAATATAAAGTATATTTGAGACTTTAGACTATATTGATCTGCCTATGTGAGACTATAGTTTGAATTAAACCCTTTTCTTTGCATGACACTTTGATATTACAGTACAGAATAGTTCTCTCTGTATTATCCTGAACATTGTATAAGCATTCATATCGTGTGTCATTGAACGGAAGAGCTCGTGAACATCTCTGAATTTTCCCAGTGAAACCGACCCGAGTCCTTCATATAAAAATCAGTCTTGAGGCTTTCATAGATAACTTATAAAGTCGGTGAAGTTCTGTTACAAGCTGTTCACACAGTGGCAACACAAGAAGTGATTAAAACATGACAGTTATATACATATAGCCCTTTAAGCGAATGATTAGTTCAAGTGCTGATTAATTGATGTTTTATCTCTTATAAAGGAATCAAAGTGAATATCAACCAGTGGTACTTGTTTTCCCAAAACTGTTGGTTTAGGTGTGACTTTTGTTCATATTCTCTGTCATCTGAGCCACATTTGTATTGGGGCTATGAGTGAAACTCGACTCGATGTAAAGCTCGGATGTTGTGACAATAGTTTGCCCTTCTCTGCAGAACATGTTCGACTCGGTGGATATTATGGAAAGCAAACTGGATTCGATGTCGCCCGTGGGCACAGACCTGGAGACTGTGAAACAGCAGATCGAGGAGCTGAAGGTATCGATGTATTGTTCGTGTGTGGGAGATTTTCTCAGACCCATGACACGTTGCTTTATGTTAGTCATAGTGCATCCAGATCAAAGTTTACAGCTATTTATCTCCAGTCCCTTTCATTTGGGATATAATAGAGCTGACAGACCACACACAGCAGCTGTGTTTACACGGAGACATTCATCCGCTGCTTCTTAAACTGTGGGTTTAAGCCTAAACAATTGAAAATGTTTAACCATTAATGTTTACAGGTGAACCAACATGCTTTTAGTCCAAGATTTCATTTGTATGCAGTTCCTAAGAATTCACTAGACGGTTCACAGTAGTGTGTTATTGTAGATTGCAGGACAAAAATCAGAAACACGGCACAGTGTGACAGTGATCTCATCATGTATTGTGTGTGTGAAGGAGTTCAAAGGCGACGCATACCAGCTTCAGATCGAGATGGAGAGACTGAACCATCAGGCCGGGCTCCTGCTAAAGAAGGTGTGTGAGGAAGCCGACCGAACTTCTATCCTGGAGCCGATGAACGAGCTGAAAATGCTCTGGGAAAACCTGGATAAGAAGATCATCAACAGACAGGTCAGACACTGGGACGGGTCTACACTTCAGTCAGTGCGACGTGCTGTTCGCAACCCATGTTGTGTCTGTTAATGTGATGCATCTCAGCGCACAGCAGGATAGACAAAAAGGAACAGATTTTATCCGTTGGGAATTGATTGGATTGTAATTATGAAAGCAAATCATTTATTGATTAATCGTCTGATCATGGTTGTTTAATCGAATCGCAATTATTTGAGATAACTGCAATAATTGTGACGTTTTAATCAATCACATTCTCCCTTTCACATAAAATACATTTAAGCTTTTAAAGAAAAGTCATCAAATGCATGAGTAGAAAAGAATAAAGAATAAAAAAAACACGGTTATAAAGTACACAAAGATCTAAGGTCAAAGGGTCTTTATATGAATGATATTATTATATTATATAAACATCAATTTGTACAGCATTGAAGTGAATCATATGGGATTATTTATAATATTTTTTATTATTGTATTTTATAGGATTCCAAGTAAAACAAAAATAATTTGATCGAAATTTAACATTTTAGTATTAATCTCGCGCTGTAAGTGACACGAACAGAACAGAATCATTAATCACAATTTTGTTTGTATGACAATTAACAGTCAGCACAAGATTCATGGCGGCAGGCCTGTTCATGTCGACTTAAAACTAGTATTTTTGAATATCTGGTTGCATGTTTTCTTGCAATATTAAAGACATTGCAAAGCAACATTGAAACACATTTTCTGTAATGTTGCACATGTTCAAATGTTGACTTTTCAGCCCCAAATTCACGCCACTGACTGGTTGTGCCGACGCTGTCATGTCAATACTCTGTTTCACTACACATTCATGATGTTGTGTGTCCTGATCTCTCGTAGCACAAGCTGGAGGGAGCGCTGTTGGCTCTCGGGCAGTTCCAGCACGCTCTGGATGAACTTCTGGCTTGGCTCACTCATACTGAAGAGCTGCTCAGTGAACAGAAGAAGAGCTGTGGCGACCCCAAAGCCATCGAGATCGAGCTCGCAAAGCACCACGTACGTCCCGGCCAAAACAGCGCACCGATGCCACACTTTCCAAATGTCATAATCATTTGTTAACAAACTAGTTAAATGAGCTCGATGTTTCTGCATTCAATTATCACATTGTTTAAATGAATTCTGAAATACATAACTAATCTCTGATAACAGATCACTGTTAATTCTAACGTGGACTCATGCATCTTCTGAAACGATGTGCATTGTGAAAAGCGCTATACAAATAAATGTGAATTGTATAATGCGGTCAGATGTCCACAAGCATTGTGGATCTCACGATTTGTCGTGTGTTTGCGTTCTCTAGGTGTTGCAGAACGATGTGCTGGCCCATAAGACCACGGTGGAGGCTGTGAATAAGGCGGGCCGGGAGCTCGTGGACTCCAGCGCTGGAGAGGAGGCCAGTGGTCTTCAGATCAAGCTGGAGAACCTCAACCAGCGCTGGAAGACTGTCCTGGAGAAGACTGAGCAGAGATGGCAGCTTCTGGACAGTGCTTTACTGCAGGTCAGGAGAGAATACCAGCCAGACGGAGGCCTGGAAACCCTCTGCAATCTCACAGGCACAGCGCTTCCTAAAATGGAGATATGATTGATGATGTTCTCAACATGAGGCCAAAAATGTCCTCTCTTAATCTTAAAGAATGTGAACGAGAAGCAGTAAAGAGTTCGATGTCCACATGCTCTCGCTCAAAGAGTTTGCTTTAATGTGTGAACGCCTGAATGTCGAACAAACTAAATTACAAAGAACATAAAGTTCCAAATTTTTACTTAAATGTCCAGATGAATTCGTGGCATGTGCAATTAATAATGACTAAATGGCAACTTTGTTTTAATTAGTGCTGTCAATTGATACATTTTTTTTGTGGTATTTTTCTGTAATGTTAGTTGCGATTAATTAAAAGTTTTTAATATAATTTCGCATTTAATCTCCAAATTCATGTAGAAACCACATAAAGACAGTAGCCTATATTTTAAATATTTGTTTAATGGCATCTTCATTTAACTGTGCTTGCGAGGATTCTCGCCAAAACAGGCATTTTGGCATAATTGTGTGTGTTTTTGTCCGTTTAAGCGCTGTCTTAAGCTGTGTGTGTCACAGACAGGAGATCCACAGACGCGCACTGCGTTCTCTTTTATGTCTTATCGCGCGTGAATTGCATGAATAAGAGTGTGATCATACAGTATAATGTAACGCTTGCCAAAGGGTATAACACGTCAAATTGAAAAAATGAATCGCATGCGTTTAGGGGTGGGCGATATGGCAAAAATATCATATCACGATTTTTTTCAGGAAAATCACGATTAACGATTTTATCACGATTCTTTTTCATGTTGGTTTTACTATTTTGCAAGTGACTGAGCATTACAGCCAAACTAATGTCCCTATTTAAAAAAAAAGCCTTATAGGTAACAAAAGAAAAAAGAATGGCAGACATTTAGGCCAAAGTGGTGAAGATAAAAATCTTTATCATTATTTTCTTTGTTATTAAGAATTAGGAACAAAGATACACATTAAGCATACACAACTTAATATACAAATGAAATAAACAGTGCTTTATTTTTTCAGCTACAGTAGGGGTATTTAACGTAGCATTGAAGAAAGTAATTAGGCTAAATGAACAAATACGAAAATAAAACACAACATAGACTTCACTGTATAAATTATACATTGATTATTATTAAAGCTACTACTAAAGTTCTCAGTCAAGAGCAGTGAGTGATTTCCTCTTTGTGTTTTGTTGTTTTATTAACATTAAAGGGATAGTTTTCCCAAACATTTTAATTGTCATCATTTACTCTCTCAAGTTGTTTTAAACCCGAATAAGTTTCTTTCTTCTGTTGAAAATAAGTTATTTGGACGAATGTGGCTAACCAAACAGTTGCTGTACTCCAGTGACTTCCATAGTATATGTTTTCCTACTATGGAAGTCAATGGGGACCAGCAACTGTTTGGTAAGCCACATTCTTCCAAATAACTTTAATTTTTAACAGAAGAAAGAAATTAATACAGGTTTGGAACACATTAGAGTGAGTAAATAATGACAGAATTTTTTTTATTTTTGGGTGAACTATCTCTTTAAGGACAAGAGGCAGCTTGTTTACTAACTGGCTACTGTCGCTTTAAGAGCTGCACGCGACGCGTCTAATATACACGCATTTGACAAGCAGATTTTCTCTCATTTTTTTCCTGTTTGCTTTCACTTTAGACATAACCAACTTTGTTTATGTAAACCTTGTGTGTATTTGACAATATTAGCGCAATAAGACTCGAAAGATAACTTATAACGTAGTCCAGTAAACAGACGCTGTTAGACAGGCTTTTAGTGCCCGTGTGCTTCGGGTGTATGCGCTCAGAAAGCACGCGTCAGAACAGCGCATCAGCACGTGAATTACATGTTTAACCAGCAAGGCTTTAAAGCACATGCAAATAATGAACTTCTGTGAACTGCAGTGTCCCGTTCCTCTGCGTTAACATTTGTTGTATGTTGAGACGGAGTTCGGCGCCAGAACTGCAACTGATAAAATGCACGATACTACGATATTTCTTCAAAAGCAGATCGTGGAGACATTTTAATCGTCCACGATCAAAAACCGTCATATCGCACACCCCTACATGCGTTAACACGTTAATTTTGACAGCCCTAGTTTTAATAAATTGCAAAAAAATTGTGTTAAAGGTGCTCTATGTAACTTTTCTACTAAAATGAATCCTTTTTTATTGCCTGTGTGTGAAGGGGTTGTAATCACACATTAAAATGATCCACTTGTCGAGTTTTGCTATTACCTCTGAAGGCCAGTATTCCTATTTCTATGTGAAGTCTCCGGGTCGGATTTACCGCGAAATCTAACGGATGTGACGTGCATGCGCGCTCCCGAGCCTCTCTCCTTATATACAGTCTATTGTAGACGGTCAGGGAGTTACGTCCGGTTAAAGGCGCACGTACGTTTTTCGGCTTATATCTCAGTCAATCTTTGATCAATATTCCCAAGACTCTAATCGTTCGTAGTGCTGGACGGGGCCTTTCGAACGAGCCCACCCCCGAGGTCCAACTCGCCCGGCTCCCCGAGTTATAGCTGTTCGAAATCGGGGGTCCCAGCGAACGGCGATCCGGTAGGGGGCATCCCCGAGGCCTGCCACTCTAGCGTTCGGGCAAGGGTTCCCCTGGGACCTCCTCCCCCGAATTTGAGCTCTCTGGGTCTTTGGGTTCCAGAGATACGAGCGATTTTCTTCAAAGATCGTGACGTCACCGGCGTCCGCAATTTTGCAGCGCGCCCGATGGTTTTCTGCTAATATCTCCGCGAAAACACCACCAAAAACTATGGAACTTATATGGTTCTTTTCAGCTCGACTAGATGGTCCCAACGAGCTCGGTGCTCGCCGAATCCGTCTAGTATTCGCCGAGGTATTTGCGTAATAGACGGTATTGTCTATGAGTTCGAGCACGAGCGCTCTTGTAAAATTTGGTTGCAATCTGAAACATCACCACTAGAGGCCGCTAAAAGTTACATAGAGCACCTTTAACACTTTATTTCGATAGTCCACTTTAGACATTCTACTAACTATAAGTAACTTTGCAACTACATGTCAACTAGCAGTCATTAGAGTATTAGTAGTAGACTGTCTTAATATCTGCTAACTCTTTATTGTGTTGGTCCTCCAACAGACATTCCACTGACTATTGGCAACTACACGTCAACCTATTCTACTAACCCGAACCCTAACACCTAACCATAACCAGACAGTCTACTAATACTCTAATGAGAGTTAGTTGACATGTAGTTGAAAAGTTACTTATATTAGTAGAATGTCTAAAGTGGACTATCGAAATAAAGTGTAACTAACTTTTTTGCTTACAATTTATATTTTTGCACTCCTGCTCCATTGATTTCCACCCGAAACATTCTGTTAAAGGATTGATTGTGTTGAGTCTTTCTCTCCAGACACCATTGTTCTTGTTTCAGAATTCCTACAAACTGGCCATTTTTAAGGCTAATAATCTGCGCTCATTAATCTGCGCCTCGGCTCTTCCAGTGGTGGTAATGAATGTGTGAACTCTATTGTTGTGACGCTGGCTGATCTGCTTTCTAGGCTCAAGGTTTCCATGGTGAGATTGAAGACATGCAGCAGTGGCTGAAAGTCACGGAGCGTCAGCTGTTAGCATCAAAAGCCCTGGGAGGATTACCAGACACGGCCCGAGAGCAGCTCAACACCCATCTGGTATGAGTTTAACTCTACAACAGATCTGCACACGCATGGCAAGCTTGGAACAGATAACGGACTCAATGTTTCTTTTATAATTCATAGATTGATGGATTTGTTATTGAAAACAGTTTGCTATTAGATAATGTTTATCATAAAAGCCTTGTTTAGAGGAATCATTCTCCCCAAATTGAACATTTTATCATCATTTACTCATGCTCATGACAATACAAACCAACATGACTTGATGTTTTTCTTAATACAGCATGTATAATGCACAGAAGCATATAGTGACCAGAATTGAGCTCTAACAATAACAAAAGCAATATATGAATATTGAAATATAGAGTGTGAGTTTTATGAAATGTATGATTCTTTTTGGAGCTGGACTGGTCAATGATTTCTTTGTATGGAAAAGAACCGCTAGGAGATTCTGTGAAATCTCCAAAATCTCATTTTGTGTTGCATAGAAGAAAAAAAGTCTTAAAGGGATAGTTCACTTTGAAATTAATTTTTGGTATGTTTTAGCTTACCTCAAGGGCATCCAAGATGTAGGTGTCTTTGTTTCCGCAGTAGTTTCAATTTTGATATTTTTAGGTCAAACCGTTCTTGTCTGTCAGTCATATAATGCAGGTCTATGGTCACCACCTCAAAGAGCATGCACAGAGAAGTCCAAATTAAACATGATTTAATGACTCGTAAATGTAAGTACACATTGATGGCCTAAGACACGAAACGAGCGGTTTGTGTGAGAAAACGAACAGTATTTATATAGTTTTTACCTCTTGTAACGCACAGACCGAAGCGCCGGCGCCCTCAGATCACTTGGACGTGGCTGTGTTTACAAGAGATAAAAACGATATAAATACTGTTCGTTTTCTCACACAAACCGCTCGTTTCGTGTCTTAGGCCATCAATGTGTACTTACATTTACGAGTCATTAAATCATGTTTAATTTGGACTTCTCTGTGCATGCTCTTTGAGGAGGTGACCATAGACCTGCATTATATGACTGACAGACAAGAACGCTTTGACCTAAAAATATCAAAATTGAAACTACTGCGGAAACAAAGACACCTACATCTTGGATGCCCTTGAGGTAAGCTAAAACATACCAAAAATTAATTTTAAAGTGAACTATCCCTTTAAATAGTTTTAGTCTAACATGGGGATGAAAACACAACTTGAAAAAAAAAGGAATGTTTTAATGGGATTTTTAGATTTCCCACACTCTTATTTCTGCTGATATATAAAGAATATATGTATAGTACACTCTTTGAATAGTGATCTTATGTCAGGTTATCTGTGAACACGATGTCTCTGTGTGTTTGTAGGAGCTCTGCAGTACATTGGAAGTGAAGGAGGAAATATACAAGCAACTTCTTCAGCGAGGACAGCAGATTTTGGCCTTGACCCCTGAGGGTCAGGACAGCACCACTGAACTGGACCTACGCAACCTGCAGGACAAGTGGGAGTGTGTTCAGGCCAAAGTGATGGAGAGGAAGGTGAGAAGAGTCTGATTTACTCACTGTACTCTGTGTTCTTCCTGTCAGTTTGACTCATCTTCATCATCATCATCAGTGGGCTATTGGTTTAAAGTATAGCTGTGATATCAGATCTGTGAGCTGTTGTGCTTTGATGTGTTTTCACTTGAGCGCATGCCCAAAGTGAGTTATAAATCAGTGCAGAACAAAGTCGAGTTGTCTGTGGTCTGAAAAAAAAGGTGGAATAAGAGAATGGTTGAGCCAAAAAAAATTCTGTCATCATTTGCTCACCATTGTCGTCGTTCCAAACCTGCATGATTTGTTTTTTTTTCTTCTGTGCCACTCAAAAGTATTAAAGAATATTCACTCTTTTCCATACAATAAAGACATGTTATAAAATAGACCAAAAACACCATAAACACAGCTTTAAAAAAGTAAGGTACAGTAAAAATAAGACTTGTGTCAAGTCAAGTCATCTTCATTTATATAGCGCTTTTAACAATGGAGATTGTTTCAAAGCAGCTTTACAGAGATAAACATACAATTTACGGTAACAGAGATTGTTTTGGCTTTATAGCGATTTTTGAGTAATGTTATTTCCGGCTAAAGTTGGTTTTGATTGATTCACTTCCAGCAAAATTATCATTTATTACATTAGAGGCCACTAAGACGACGGCGTTCTCTCTAAACATACTTTAAACGCGAACCTGTGACCTGATGGCGTTCACATGCGCATTAAAAATTGATTCCATAGTTATATTCGTTTGAATATGTGTGCGCAGGTTTGTAATTTCCCTACAAACCATGCCTAAACAAACTACTTTTCTTGCCTATACATTTGATAAAGAATTTTGTTTTATTTTATCACTTCGGGGTACGCGAGCCGGATTTTCAACAACGCTTTATCTGTAGAGTGGGAAAGGGATCCTCCATAGGGAGAGGATAGTTGACACTTCAGCACTGCATTGTCATCGGGTCCAGGCGAATCTCCTTCGTCAGATCTGGACACGGCCTGGATCCGGCAGGCTGCAGGAAAACCTCGGGATAAACAAAGACACTAAAGTTAGCGTAGATGCCATTCTTCTTATGATGTAATGAGTACATCTGGATTTAAGGGAAGTGTTCTCAGTTCCGGCTGACCTAATCTATGCAGCCTAACATTGAATTATAGAAGTCTATAATGTATTATGTGTATGCTAGGTCAAAGAGATGTGTTTTTAGTCTAGCTTTGAACTGACAGAGTGTGTCTGCTTCCCGGACAATGGTAGGAAGACTGTTCCAAAGTGTTGGTGCTAAATAGGAAAAGGATCTCCCGCCTGCAGTCGATTTAGATATTCTAGGTTTTATCAACTGGCCGGAGTTTTGAGATCGCAATAGACGTGAAGGACTATAATGCGTTAAGAGCTCGCTCAAGCACAGCGGAGCTAAACCATTTAGTGCTTTGTAGGTAATCAACAATATTTTAAAATTTATACGATGTTTAATAGGGAGCCAATGCAGTGTTGACAGAACCGGGCTAATATGGTCATACTCCCTGGTTCTGGTAAGAACTCGAGCTGCTGCGTTTTGAACTAGCTGGAGTTTGTTTATTAAGCGTGCAGGGCAACCACCCAGTAGAGCATTACAATAATCTAGCCTTGAGGTCATGAACGCATGAACTAATATTATAACATACAGGCGAGTAAATGCTAAATAATATAGCATGGGTGAGTAAGTGATGAGCACATGTTCAGTTTTTGGGTGTACTATTTCTCAAAGTTCAAAATTAGCATATATTCGATGGAAAACAAAAGGCTTCTAAAATATCCAAATCAGATCTGGCTGTTCACGGACTGATTAATGTAAATTTTAATTTGGGTCATTTTGCTGTGTTGAATCTTGGGATTGGCAAAGACGTCTGTTTACAACAGGAATTTGACCACACAAGTTCTTGTCATCTGTAACATAGTGATGTCATCCTTTAAAGTTTGCAGCTTTCACCAAAATACCCCCTGACATGTGATGCTAACCAGACATCACATTACACACGCTGAGTCACATGCTGTTGGTGTTGATGAGATCATTGCAGTTCCTGTCTCGTATCCTCCTCTGCCTATCAGTGACACGAGGATAATGGAGGGAAATGCTCCAATAGTTAACATCATATTTCACAAAATTTCAAGAGGTGTCTTGCTATATCTTGTTACTAACTTGCCTTAGTAAGCATTGCTTTTCAAACACGTTTCCCAAACAGTCCTCCACCCTCATCCTCTATTGTAAAACCGGTCTATTCTCTACAAAAAGCCTAACAAGGGTTATTGTCAGGCCGCTTAAACAAACACTAATGCTGTGAAAGAGCTCAAGGATGTCAACCTACGAATGACTTATAGTTCTCCCTGTACATTAAAACTGAAATACAAGGATTTGTTTTAAGTCTTGGTGTTGTTTTCAGGCTCTACTAGAACAGGTTTTCCTGCTTGAATGTTGATTATTTCCCTCATATTCTCCATTGTTGCGGCTCCTCTCTTCCCAGTCTGTCAGTAACGCTCTGTTTACTTCCTGTCTCTATGAAGCCCCTCCTTCTGAAAAGCATGCTGTGCTCTGATTGGTCGGCTGGAGCAGTGTGTTGTGATTGGTTAAGCTCTTTGAGTGTGTTTGGGAAATGTCCCGCCCCTTACCATAACCACCAGTTTAACACACTACTAACTAACTCAACCAGGCCCCGCCCCTTTATTCTGTGTATGAATTATTATAATGAGGAATATTGTGACGTGTTCGTTCCCGGAAGAAACTCAAGACTACAATGGAGGCGTTTCAGGAGTTCAGAAACACTGACACTGATATAGAGGAGAACTGGAGGTTTTTCATGCTCAAACAGCAACATTACAAACTGTAGAAAGATGAACATGGAAACAAGCACAATAGTTCCTCTTTAATGTGTGTGTGTGTTTGATTGCCCATAGGTGAAACTGGAGGAAGCTCTGGCGATGGCCACAGACTTCCATAACTCACTGCAGGATTTCATCAACTGGCTGACCCAGGCCGAACAGACGCTCACTATGATATCTCCTGCCTCTCTCATCCTCGAGACCATCATGTTCCAGATAGACGAGCATAAGGTCAGTGCTCTCTGACATATTACACTTGATGTCAATACACAAATCTATTTTCTAAATGCATGTTATCGACCATGCATACGTTTCATTTAAAAAATGTTTTGACCTTAAATGATTTTAAATAGAAATTTGATAACTGGATCTTCTAGTGAAATGACAGACTTCTCTTTCTCTCTGATGACGAATGCAAGACTCTATAATGATTTAGGGCCCGTTTACACAAAACCATTTTCAACTAAAAATGGACTTTTTATGCATTTTGGCCGTTTATTTAACTGTATTTTGGGGGCCTTAAAACAAAATCTTTTGAAAACAGGTTTCAAAGTGCAACTTGAATTTGTGGAAACGGTGACGTAACGCGTTTTACGTGTTTTGTCTTTAGGCACGTAGTTTTTCTTTACAAAGTGACATCGCCAACTACTGGCTTAAAAGCAGAACACAGCGATTTTACTGATTTTCGCTGATCCGTGTGAATCTCGTCTGTAGCCGGAAAACACAACGAAGTACATCGTTGTCGTGTAATCGTACCCTTAGGCGTTGTCCACACGGACATGGGTATTTTTATAACCGTGACTTTTGTTACGCGGTTCGGCCGTTCGTCCACACGAAAACGCACTGAAACCGAACATTTTTGAAAACCCCTGCCTGGGTGAGGATTTTCAGAAACGCCGGTTACTGTGTTGTCGTGTAGACAGTAAAACCGGGGGTTTTGCCTTGCGACGTCAGAGTGTGCGCCGTTATCCGCTGTGTTTGACGTCAGTGTGCGCCGTTATCCGCTGTGTTTGACGTCAGATTGCGCCGTTATCCGCTGTGTTTGACGTCAGTGTGCGCCGTTATCCGCTGTGTTTGACGTCAGAGTGCGCCGTTATCCGCTGTGTTTGACGTCAGTGTGCGCCGTTATCCGCTGTGTTTGACGTCAGTGTGCGCCGTTATCCGCTGTGTTTGACGTCAGTGTGCGCCGTTATCCGCTGTGTTTGACGTCAGTGTGCGCCGTTATCCGCTGTGTTTGACGTCAGTGTGCGCCGTTATCCGCTGTGTTTGACGTCAGTGTGCGCCGTTATCCGCTGTGTTTGACGTCAGAGTGCGCCGTTATCCGCTGTGTTTGACGTCAGAGTGCGCCGTTATCCGCTGTGTTTGACGTCAGTGTGCGCCGTTATCCGCTGTGTTTGACGTCAGAGTGCGCCGTTATCCGCTGTGTTTGACGTCAGTGTGCGCCGTTATCCGCTGTGTTTGACGTCAGTGTGCGCCGTTATCCGCTGTGTTTGACGTCAGTGTGCGCCGTTATCCGCTGTGTTTGACGTCAGAGTGCGCCGTTATCCGCTGTGTTTGACGTCAGTGTGCGCCGTTATCCGCTGTGTTTGACGTCAGTGTGCGCCGTTATCCGCTGTGTTTGACGTCAGAGTGCGCCGTTATCCGCTGTGTTTGACGTCAGAGTGCGCCGTTATCCGCTGTGTTTTACGTCAGTGTGCGCCGTTATCCGCTGTGTTTGACGTCAGTGTGCGCCGTTATCCGCTGTGTTTGACGTCAGAGTGCGCTGTTATCCGCTGTGTTTGACGTCAGTGTGCGCCGTTATCCGCTGTGTTTGACGTCAGTGTGCGCCGTTATCCGCTGTGTTTGACGTCAGTGTGCGCCGTTATCCGCTGTGTTTGACGTCAGTGTGCGCCGTTATCCGCTGTGTTTGACGTCAGTGTGCGCCGTTATCCGCTGTGTTTGACGTCAGTGTGCGCCGTTATCCGCTGTGTTTGACGTCAGAGTGCGCCGTTATCCGCTGTGTTTGACGTCAGAGTGCGCCGTTATCCGCTGTGTTTGACGTCAGATTGCGCCGTTATCCGCTGTGTTTGACGTCAGATTGCGCCGTTATCCGCTGTGTTTGACGTCAGAGTGCGCCGTTATCCGCTGTGTTTGACGTCAGAGTGCGCCGTTATCCGCTGTGTTTGACGTCAGATTGCGCCGTTATCCGCTGTGTTTGACGTCAGATTGCGCCGTTATCCGCTGTGTTTGACGTCAGATTGCGCCGTTATCCGCTGTGTTTGACGTCAGTGTGCGCCGTTATCCGCTGTGTTTGACGTCAGTGTGCGCCGTTATCCGCTGTGTTTGACGTCAGATTGCGCCGTTATCCGCTGTGTTTGACGTCAGATTGCGCCGTTATCCGCTGTGTTTGACGTCAGAGTGCGCCGTTATCCGCTGTGTTTGACGTCAGTGTGCGCCGTTATCCGCTGTGTTTGACGTCAGTGTGCGCCGTTATCCGCTGTGTTTGACGTCAGATTGCGCCGTTATCCGCTGTGTTTGACGTCAGATTGCGCCGTTATCCGCTGTGTTTGACGTCAGTGTGCGCCGTTATCCGCTGTGTTTGACGTCAGTGTGCGCCGTTATCCGCTGTGTTTGACGTCAGAGTGCGCCGTTATCCGCTGTGTTTGACGTCAGATTGTGCGTCATTATCCGCCTACCGGAAACCAGTAATAACTTTTTGTTAGGCTTCTGATTGGCCAACGTGGCTTTACGGTTAGGGTTATATCGCCACCTTCTGGTGTGGCATGCGCTTGATAGCGTGTTTTTGCATTTTCGTGTGGACAGGATTTTTTTTTTAAACGCAGGAGGAAAAACTCCGGTTATTAAAATACCCGTGTCCGTGTGGACAAGGCCTAAGTGTGCTCAAACTCCGCCCATGCAGACTCACGCTCATCTGCATACACTGATGAGTGCCACATCCAATCAACAACCGGTCCCCGCCTTACTTTTTTTACAGTTAAACAGATGTACATCATAACATAGAAAAGATCTGTCGCTTCGGTTTCATTGTGACTTATGAGCCATGTTGTTGCATTTGATAGAAATAGTCCATTTCCATAATTATGTCTCCTTAAATGGATCTGCTGGATTTCTGCAGGTGTTTGTGATTGAGGTGAACTCTCATCGGGATCAAATCATCGAGCTGGATAAGACCGGAACACACCTGAAGTACTTCAGTCAGAAACAAGATGTGGTGTTGATCAAGAACCTCCTGCTGAGCGTTCAGGGCCGCTGGGAGAAGGTGGTTCAGCGCTCGGTGGAGAGAGGACGCCAGCTGGACGACGCCAGGAAACGGGCCAAACAGGTGCGCTGAATCCCCCGTGTAACTCGTGCAGAAGAGCATGCCGTCACTAGAGTAGAGGCTGAATCACGGTGGACTTAACTGGACTTTTTTTCCCCACTGATCGTCAAAGCGAGTCTCTTTAATGTTAAAGTTAAAACAGATCTCTACAAAGTGCTTTTAAACAATTATTATTTTTAATTTATTTTTACCATTTCATATCTTTTTTTAATACTATTTTACAACATTACACACATTATATACAGTACTGTGCAAAAGTCTCAGGCACGTTAATATACCATCTCCCGCCCCCATAAAAATGGTTTTGAGTCATTTATTCATATCTTTTGCTGTAGTGTGTCAGTAAGAAATATCATTTTACATTTCCAAACATTCATGTAATAATCCAGTGAGATTTTTGCATGCACAAGGAGTCTGACAACAGCCAATGCTCCACATGGGAGATCTGATCTCACCATCATGGTGATATTACATGAAGAAACTGAAAAGGCAAAACCGAGACAGACTAAATCCAGAAGAACTGCAGAAATGTCTCCAAGACGCTTGAAGAAACCTATCAGCAAAGCTACAGTACTGTGAAACGTTGTAGGCACTTTCTGTAAAGTGAGGAATAGGATGCATTAAAAAATACAATCATAAATCATTAACTTCTATTAACTAAATCAAATCAGTATTTGGTGTGAGCACCCTTTGTGTTTGAAACAGCTTTTGTCCAGGTACACTTGCACAGAGGTTTTCAGGTAGCTTTGCAGGAAGTTTTCTTCAAGCATCTCGGAGACGTTCCCGCAGTTCTTCTGGATTTAGTCTGTCTCAGTTTGTTCTGTTTCTTCATGTAAACACTCACAGTCTCGATGATGGTGAGATCAGATCATACCGGCTGTTGTCAGACTCCTTGTGCATACAGAAATCTCAATGGATTATTATGATTAATGGCAAGAAATGTAAACTGATATTTCCTAGTGACACACTACAGCAAAAGACATAAATAACTGACTTAAAGGGATACTCCACTTTTTTTGGAAATAGGCTAATTTTACAACTCCCCCAGAGTTAAACTGTTGAGTTTTACCGTTTTTGAATCCATTCAGCCGATCTCCGGTTCTGGCGGTACCACTTTTAGCATAGCTTAGCATACATCATTGAAGTGGACAAGACCATTAGCATTTCTAAAAAAAAAAATGACCAAAGAGTTTCGATATTTTTCCTATTTAAAACTTGACTCTTCTGTAGTTACATCGTGCACTAAGACCGACGGAAAATGTAAAGTTGCGATTTTCTAGGCTGATATGGCTAGGAACTATACTCTCATTCCTGCGTAATAATCAAGAAACGTCACTGCCGTACCATGAGTGCAGCAGGCGTAATGATATGACGCAGCGCCTGAAAATAGTTCCGTTGTGTTGACGGAAGGTAGCCTATTTTCAGGCGCTGCGTCATATCATTACGCCTGCTGCACTCATGGTACGGCAGTGAAGTTTCTTGATTATTACGCAGGAATGAGAGTATAGTTCCTAGCCATATCAGCCTAGAAAATCGCAACTTTACATTTTCCGTCGGTCTTAGTGCACGATGATACTACAGAAGAGTCAAGTATTAAATAGGAAAAATATCGAAACTCTTTGGTCATTTTTTTTTTTTAGAAATGCTAATGGTCTTGTCCACTCCAATGATGTATGCTAAGCTATGCTAAAAGTGGTACCGCCAGAACCGGAGATCGGCTGAATGGATTCAAAAACGGTAAAACTCAAGAGTTTAACTCTGGGGGAGTTGTAAAATTAGCCTATTTCCAAAAAAAGTGGAGTATCCCTTTAATACCATTTTTTGGAGAAAATACTAACGTGCCTAAGAGTTTTGCACAGTACTGTACATTTAATACTACTTTATTTATTTATCATTTTTATTATTATTTATACACTTTAATATAACACACCTAAATGGTCACTGGTGCAGATAATGGCAGTGATCCCTCATGCTATGGGATTCTTCTCTGCAGCAGATTGTGAAAAGGCTTGTGAGGGTACAGGATGAAATACATGTAGGAAAACACAGGGAAATCCCTGCATGGTCCATGTAAGACATGCAACAATAAAGCCAGAGCTTTATAGGAATGGCTTAACAAAAATACTGTTGATGTCCTGCTGGAGTAGCCAAGTCAAAGTCCAGATCTCAGTCCAATTGAGAATTTATGAGGGGACTTGAAAAAGATCACTCTCACAAATAAGAACGAGGAACAAGTCCTACAGTATCAACACAGACACATCTGGAAATGCTGCCAAAGGCACATCTAATAAAAAAAATGTCCTGGGGCGAGGGGGTGAATATATATGCAAACAACTGTAATTGATTCTGAGCAAACTTGTTGGACACGAAAGAATATTTAGTTGTTTAGTAGGAAAAAAAAAGCCTCTGTGGTTCAGTGGTGTAAAGCAACTGTATGGCATTAGGCTGGGAAAAGAAAATGCTATGATATACGGCTAACTACACAAATGGATTATCGTGCTCTTGTCTTTTGCAGTTCCATGAGACCTGGAACAAACTGATGGAGTGGCTGGAAGAGTCCGAGAGATCGCTGGACTCTGAGTTGGAGATCGCGAATGATCCAGACAGGATCAAGACACAGTTAACCCAGCACAAGGTGACTGGCCCCAGTCCACTACCCAGTGTTTACTCCTTGTGTTTTCAGTCAGACAAACACAACTGTTCAGTCTAGACGCATTACCGTTTCCACCTGAACTAGTCTAGCCAACTAGCTTCAGATTAGAGCAATCTATGTTTTTATGTAACTGACTTAAAATGTATGACTAGTCTTAAAAATACTTTACTAGTAAACTTGTAAGACTGGACTAAGCAGTTTATGCAGTGGTTGCTGCAAGTAAAGGGTTAGTTCATCTAAAAATGTACTCATCCTCATATCGGTACAAATCAATAAGACTTTCATTCATCTCCGGGAACACAAATGAAGATATTTTGAATGAAATCCGAGAGATTTCTGTCCCTCCTATGAAAGCATGCATGAGCTTCTGTTTGCCATATTTGATGTGCTCTATCTACGTTCGCTGACCATAGTTTATATACAGTATGAATAAAAGCCTAAATAAAATCTGCTCTTCGTATAAAGTGACCGTGTCTCTTCAGAAGAGTTTTGGGTGAATAGACTTACAATGGAGGGACAGAAATATCTGATTTCATTAAAAATATCTTCATTTGTGTTTAGAAAGTAAGTCTTGTGGGTTTGGAACGACATGAGATTGAGTAAATGATGACAGCATTTTCTTTTTTGGGTGAACTAACCCTTTAACATGCTTTCCAAATCCGTCTCCTGTGAAAGCTTTCTGGTTTAATATGATCTTGTCACACTTTACATCACTTTCATGGGAGCAAACATTGAATGAACAAACCCATTTTATGCAGCTCACGACTGAGAAAGGAATCAAATAAAACCCCCTGTTTTTACACCTATGTTTAGCGCTGACCGCTTGTGCTTCAGTCACAAAAAAGAAAAGAAAATGGATATTAATGCCAGGTGTAAAGGGGGTCATATAGACTTCCTGTTCACACCGTTAGCTACTCTGATTTTATCCCCCATCTGTGTGTGTGTGGAGCGTCTGACGTGCTGGTTAACGGAGAGTGTGAATCACAATACCAGGTGTTTTTTCACTCACTGAATGTGGGTCATAAGTGTCATCCTGTTATGCTCCTGTATAATTCAATCCCCCACTCTTTGGAAATAACCATGATATTTTACATGATATTTTTTTAGAGGTTTAAAGAGGTCCACCTTTCCATGGCACACAATGCCAAATAATGGAAGTAAATGTTTCTCAAATTGCTTTAAAACTGAAGTCGAGCTCCTCAGTCTCCAGCATCAGTGTGTTTAAAGCAGGACACGAGTGGGCGGAGGAGTGTGTGACCGTAGTGCTTCATATCGGTGTGTAATTAACAGCTCAGCAGTGTCTCAGATGTTCAGATGAGTCAGTCACATATATATCTGGCAGGATCTGATGACCTCAGGCGTCCCGGAAGGCCTCACAGGATGACGTGTGCCCTTGAGCTGCATGTGAATGACCTCACGCCTGTGTTTGTCTTGTGTAGGACTTCCAGAAAGCACTGGGCAGCAAGCATTCAGTGTACGACACCACCAGTCGCACGGGCCGAGCTTTGAAGGACAAGACTTCTTTGAAAGATGACAACCAGAAACTGGACGACATGCTCAGTGAGCTCAGGGACAAATGGGACACAGTCTGCGGGAAATCTGTGGAGAGGTACGTGAATTTCAGGCAAACGTGTTCTGGTTACTTTTATCCCCCGTCCACTTTTAAAAAGCCTGTATTATGCTCTTTTACAGTCTTGTTGTGTTTGGGCTCTACTAGAACTATTATACCAGGATTTATAAAGATTATTTTCCCCATATTCTCCGTTGTTGCGGCTCCTCTCTTCCCAGTCTGTCAGTAACGCTCTGTTTACTTCCTGTCTCTATGAAGCCCCTCCTTCTGAAAAGCACACTGTGCTCTGATTGGTCGGCTGGATCAGTGTGTTGTGATTGGTCGAGCGCTTCGAGTGTGTTTGGGAAATGTCCCGCCCCTTACCATAACCACCAGTTACCACACTACTAGCTAACTCAACCAGGCCCCGCCCCTTTATTCTGCATATGAATGATTAAAATGAGGAATATTGTGACGTGTTCGTGACTCAAGACTACAATGGAGGCGTTTCAGGAGTTCAGAAACACTGACACTGATATAGAGAAGAACTCAGAGATTGTTCATGCTCAAACAGCAACATTACACACTAAAGAGAGATGAACATGGGAAAAAGCATAATAGGTCCATGCATCAAAAAATGGAAGTGTATATTTTGCAATTTCAAAATCAAGCCTGTTTTAGATTCATTTGGGGTGTTTATTTTATGACAATAATGCACATTTGCACCAAACTATAATGTGTTACTATATTCGAATAATTTCATTATTCTCAATAGTGATTCACTTTACTGCCAAGCATTTGTCAGCACAAAGTGCTATTTTACAGTAAAACACATATTTTTCTTTATGCATTTCAATTGAAACCTAAAATCTTAATGTTTTCGAGTAAACAGTAGTTAATGTCCTTGTCAGCTGTGCATTATTCGTGATCAGACTGAAGGATATGTGTATGTGACATCATATGGGCTGTGTTGTGTACAGGCAGAACAAGCTTGAGGAGGCTCTGCTGTTCTCAGGTCAGTTCACAGACGCCCTGCAGGCTCTCATCGACTGGCTGTATAGAGTGGAACCACAGCTAGCAGAAGATCAGCCGGTTCACGGGGACATAGACCTCGTCCTGAACCTCATCGACAGCCATAAGGTAGTTTACACTGATTTTTTTATTTTTTTATTTTACCATGAAGGTCCATAGATACAATATCTCTTCTACCAGGGAGTCCAGGTCAAGATAGGCCGCACAAACAAAAAGTACAAAGTAGTGTACATAACACAACATAGTAAACAAACGAAAGTACCCATATCTGAGAAACAATACAAATCCTAATCAGCTGTTAAAACATTTACACCGTTCTATAAAAACAGACTTTAAGATGTTTTTAAACAAAGCGAGAGATTGTTCATATGAAGCTCATTCCATACATAAGGAGCATAATTAGAAAAGGCTGATCTACCTATTTCTGTATGGAAAATTGGATTCTTGAGAAAAAGTTTGACTGTTGATCTAGTATTATAGTATTATATTTACACAACCTGCTTCTTCATAACTGAACTGCAGTATGTGATATTAAGTAATGAATTAATAATTAAATCAAATAGATACAAAGATCTAACGTAATGATATATATATTATTATATGATTAGGCTGTATTAAAGAGCATGTCATTAGACTCATTTTATAATCCTTCCTTGTCCAAATATGAAAGCTTTAAATGCTTTATTCAGACAAAAATGTAAATGTTATATGATGAACATATTAACATTGAATAATATTTACAAACGTATATTGATCAATCCATATAGAGCTCATCAAATATACTGTAACGTGACACAGCAGAACAAACCTAACCTAAAATACAGTACAAATCTAGATAAAAGATATAATATTACAATACAATGATGACAAAAATGAATAAGTTGTACCCAAGGATATAGCTTGGTGGGTACAGCACATGATCATGACACAAAAGAGCAGAGCGTGTCTAACCCAATCTAACCCATGGTGTGTGTGCGTGTGTGTGTGTGTGTGTGTGTGTGTGTGCATTTTTCAAGCATTGAGCAACTTTCTTAAAATATCAGTCCCTGTGTTTTCAGCCTCTTGGTTCTGTATTTGGAGTTTATGGCAAGAATAAAATATAATTATGCTGTAGTTTCATCAGAGGGAGTGTGATATGACAGAACCCACTGGTTTCAATTAGGGGTGAAGGGAGTCCTGGCGAGTCCAAACTCAAGATCAGAGCACACTCGAGCTGATGAGGCTACCGATGACCTCATTCATGATCATAATTTGAGCCTTGGCCTGAGAAAATGGTCACCAGCAGTCTTTGACTATGTTTGGTGCTGTTAACGCCTGATTTCTGTCGATGTAATCTAGAGCTGAAAAAAATCCAGCTTTTTGACAACATTCTATAAATATCTCAACATTTATGTAGTCTTGAGACACGAAAGGATCACTTCAGTGATTCATATTTCATACACCACATCATAAAAACACACAGAGCCAACATATTCAGTTACACTTAGCGCTGACGTGACTGCTGTTGTGTGCAAATGTCCTAAAGTCTGGCTGTTGATAAGAGTGTGTTCGATGACAGATGACCTTTTAAGACAGTGATGACATCAGAGACATGCTCTCAGTGCAAAAGCTGCTAGTACAGCATCTCATGTATCCTGTGCTGTGAATGTAATCCCAGAATGCAGTGCTGCCAGCTCTGTAAAACAATCCACACGACATGTGGCCAGAAAGTTGATCATAAATATGATTCAATAATTGTGAAAAGTGTTAATATAGTTCTTATATAGAATGATGTTTTATTTCAATCGAATTACGTTTTACACTTAGCAGTAGAGTATCATATTTGCATGAGGAGTGTTATTTGTTTGATGAATATGTTGAATAAAAAATGTATTTTTTATATGAAACACCAAAACAGAAATTAAAGTATTAATTTAGCCGAACAGCAAAAATTAATTAATCAAATTTATTCCATAATCTACACTGAAATAAACACTAAGGTGTATAGAAACATCTAAAATTGCAGTTTTTCTATAAACGTTTTAATAATATTTGGCTACGTTTACTCTGTCAGTTTTGAGGATTGGCAACCGCATTTACTTACAGGTGTGAGTCTGGAAATGTCCCGTTCAAACAGCGGCGTACAGTAGCATCTCAAATACTGTCTAACACACAACGGGAGTCACACACACTCACACGACTGTGACCAAAGTAATATCAAAGATCGCGACGTCCATAAAACTAAAGAAATCTCCCAATCCGTCAAATCTTCATTAACCGACTGCAGCTTTTATACCTGGGTGAGAAGAGGAGCATTTGAGTCACGTATTGAACACAAAACTGGAGCAGAACAGTGACTGGATCTAAAAGCTTCAGACGACACACAGCTCATATCTCCATGTCTGTAATATATAAAAAAAAACATGGAACACACAGACAGTATACACCAGAATGCGGTTGTCAGTCCTGAAAATAACTGTGTTGTGTGTGAAAGCTAGGGTACGTAGGTAACACTTTTTGTTACACTGGTTGACTATGGCACCGTGATTTGATCAAACGTGTGTCCGGTGAACCACAGGTGTTCCAGAAAGAGTTGGGCAAGAGGACCGGCAGCGTGCAGGCTTTGAAGCGTTCGGCCCGAGAGCTGATCGAGAACACCCACGATGACTCTTCCTGGGTCAAAGTTCAGATGCAAGAGTTGAGCACTCGCTGGGAGACGGTGTGTAGCCTCTCTGTGTCCAAACAGACTCGGCTTGAGCAGGCACTGTGTCAGGTACGACCACATCTCACACTGAAACACGTCATTTAGTCTTTCTGACCCTTAGATTTAAACCAGCTACTGGACCTTCTATGTAAATGTCTTTCCATTTAAAGTCCCCCTGTGGTGAAAATCAAGCTTTTAATGTTGTTTATAAGTAGTGTTTTTAATACGCTTTAAGACAAACCATGTGTAAATTCACAAGTCGACAGCATTGCTGAGTATTTTCTTGCTTAAAACTGCAGTGAACCAAAGACATACTGTTCCTTTAAATGGGAAACTGATATCAGGGAATTTTAAATGCTGATTATCAGGCATGGGAAAACAATCGGTCACACTTTAGATTAGATTAGGGTCCAAATCACTATGATTAACTACCACTTTTGCCTCAAACTCCTAATGACTGCTTATTAATAGTTAATACGGAAGTTATTAAGTTTAGGTATTGGGTGGATTGAGGGATGTAGAATATGATCATGCAGAATAAGGCATTAATATGTGCTTTATAAGTACTAAAAAATTCTAGAAATATGTGGTAACGCTTCCTTTTGCAGTCCTGTTACCCATGTACTTACTATGTACTTACTATAGTAATTATAATTACTGGGTAATAACTAGGTACTAACCCTGAACCTACCCCTAACCCATGTACTTACCTTATATTAGCCAGTACTTTCTAGGTAAGTACACGTAAGTACTGTACTGTAAAAGGAAGCGTTACCAAATATGCATGCTGATAAAAGCAACTAGTTAATACAGTGAGAATTGGACCCTAAACGTTACCCAAAAAATCTTTAAAACATTTTTTTTTTAAACAATAACTATTGGCACCTATAATTTGTTGTTTATGAATGCACGTTTGTACTGTGTTCCTCAGGCTGAGGAGTTTCACTCCACCGTTCATATTTTACTGGAGTGGCTCGCAGAAGCGGAGCAGAGTCTTCGGTTTCACGGTGCGCTGCCTGAGGATGAAGAAGCCCTCCGCGCGCTCATCGAGCAGCACAAGGCAGGTTTCCCACAACCCCACAAACAAATCACATGAGCCGATTTAACCAGGGCGATGTTTACCTTTCAAAGACCTCAATGACATTCGGATATCAGCATTTACTGGCAACAGTACACACAAAAAAATGCACTTTTTTATCTGTTCTGCATTACAGCATTGCGTTTGCCAGAGGGATCATAATCTTTCCAAGACAGAACGTGTGTCTGTGTTTTCCACAACCTTGACATTCTTTTTTTATTAGCTCTAATAATGTGAAGCCAGGTTCATTTTGACAGTCTCTCTCCATGTCCAACTGAGTAACAAAAGCCATACATGGCTTCAAATCTTTATTAACTTCTGCTTGCCAGGAAAGAGTGCAACCCTTATTCCCTTGTAGTGTAATCTCATATTCACGATCGGAAATAGTTCCCCGAGACATTATTCACGCCCACAGTCGAGGAAGCAAACACCCTGGGTGATGATGGGGTTTAAAACCATCAGTTACTAACGAACAGTGCTTGATGGCAACATTTTACTGAATATATATATCGGTTTTTTAAATAACAAGTAAATCAATATCTGAGATGAGTAATGCATGCAGTCAAATTTTTGTGTGTTGATTTTTTCCCCCTTGGTAGTTATTTTCACATGATAAAATAATCGTAATATTTCATGCAATTTTTATTTCATTTGGTGAGTAGCCGTGTAATAAGCGGAATAATAATGTACAGTCAGTAAAATGAATATTCTGCTTTGCTTCGGGATCCTAATAATCTCCTCTAGGTTTATTTTGACTGGGGTTTATAATAGCTTTACATTAGCCTTTACTTTTTGTTTTACTGACTATTTCGATTGAATTTCCCATAACGTAGTCTTGTAGGCATCACTTGCAGTGTTGACAGTTTTGTTGAATTATGTAATTAGATTATAATGGAAGCACAATTTCATTGTGGACAACATCTGAACTTTCACTGATCATGGCGAGCGAGAACTGAGAACTGCGCCCAACATTCGTCCTGAGGAATTACTCATGTCCTCAGATTGTGAAGCAATAGTGGTGGTGAAGGGCTTCTCTGTGTGTAACCATGACCACTTACTAATGGAATAACTTTTGATACATGCAGGACTTTATGAAGAATCTGGAAGAGAAGAGACTGGGCCTGAATAAAGCCACCAGCTTGGGAGAGGCGATCCTGTCCATCTGCCACCCAGACTCCATCACCACCATCAAACACTGGAACACCATCATTAAAGCGCGCTTTGAGGAGGTTGGTCTATTTCTACTAGTTTCTGATACATTTGATGAGAACACATTCGTCCAGATGAGCATTTACACTAGGAAAGCAATCCGGTCGAAAGCGTTTTCCACTACCTCTGGAAGTGGTGGATAAGCTCAAAGCGTTTTAGACCCTGTTTACACCTGTATTTAGTGTCGTCCACTTGTGATCCGATCGGCCAAAACGCATCTTTACCCTTTATGGTATGGCGTTGCCATACCGCAACAATTCATTTCTACTAGTTTCCTTCTTATTCAGAAAAAATACAATGTATTGCTTTATGGGAATTAAAAGGGCAGGCCTTAAGGTAGCCAACGATGTGCTGTTTTTAAGTCACATGACATTTGAATGTCCCTCCAAAACTATCTTTCCCACTGTCACCCTCACACGAAGACACCTATTGTAGTTCCAGAAAATGCTCTATTAACCTCATTTCTAAACATCTCTTCTCTAAGGGGATTGTTTTGCAGCAACTTTGATAAGTAAATTAGATATTTTTCTATATTTCAGAAACTGAATACAGCAATATTTTACGGAAAGAGCAATAGGAAGAGTGCAGAGTTAGCTCTTCCATGTGATGAGAGTGAGGATGAGTTAGCCGAATAATAGGGATCTACTTATTTTTGGTTTGCATGAGTTCCAAGTATATACATCTATCAATTTCTAAAAGAAATGTGCAACAAAATGGACAAGAAAATCATAATTGTATAGAATTTTTTTTTAACCATTTTCTATTGTGGTACAGCATTCCCCTAAGTACCCCCAAAAAATCTTTTTATTTTATTTGTATGATTGAAGCTATTTCATGTAATTAAAACTTATTTGAAAAAAATATTTCATGGTTAGAACATAATGCATACCATAGAGGGTTAATACCAGGTGCAAACAGTGTGTGTAGGCTTATCAGATCTCTGTGTCCATGTCAGGTGACGGCTTGGGCTCGACAGCACCAGCAGAGACTCTCCAGTGCTCTGGCCGATCTGCTGGCCACTCAAGAACTGCTGGAGAACCTCCTGAACTGGCTCCAATGGGCCGAGACCACACTCGGAGAGAAAGACAAGGAACCTCTTCCTCAGGAGTTAGAGCAAGTCAAGTCTCTCATTGCTGAGCACCAGGTACCATCAAGAGCTCAGTATAACGTCATTACATAAAAAGTCAAAGGTTTATTAGTGTGAATTGTAGAAACAAACTGTTTGTGTCTTTGCTATGTACAAGACATTCATGGAAGAGATGACCAGAAAACAGCCGGATGTGGACAAAATCACCAAAACTCATAAAAGAAAAGCCACAGCAGACCCCCCGGGGCAGTCTCAAATCCCTGTTCTACACAAAGGACGATCAGTCAGTGAGTACCAGCAGCAATCAGTCCAGTGTTTCAATTCAATTTGGCACAGGCATCACATGGTCTTCACAATACTCATTACTATGAGTGTGCATGCAGCTAAGCTGGCCTTCCCTGAACAATGCCATTGTTTTAGCATGATTTGAGCAGGGTTTGATATTTAGGTTGAGGGGTCAGCGTTGGGGTAAGGGTTGATGTTTGAAAATATGGAGTTGCGTTAAGAGTTTGGGATAGGGTTTGTGAATACAAAGACCTAGCCTGACTTCATCATACTCATATTCTAGTCAGAATGAGAGTCTGATACTGCTCCATAGGGCTTTGATTATGAGGCGTGTCTTAACCGAACCAGGAAAAAAAAGACTCTGCACTCAATTGGATAGACCTACAACCAATCAGAGCAACGCAGTAAGTGACGTATGTTGAGCTACGCATAGTTGTCAACAGAACTCAACTACACGCACGCTGGAAGAAGTAGTAAAATAATGAGTGTTCTTCTTTTACTTGGTCCTCCATGAGTGCGACCAAAGGAGAAACCACAACGACCACAGGGTTTTCATTGCGTCCCATCTTCTTAGCGACCATCTGAGCCAGCTGATAAAATACACTTTTGCCGAATCCCGTAGGAAGGACGGCAAACACATCTTTCCGATCGACAAATGCCTTGATTGCAGTTCTCTGTTCGTCTTTTAAAATGAATGCGCTGTCGATTTCTTCTACAACAGACGCGATGCAGAATCTCTACATCTCAGTTCTCCAGCGGCAGTCATCTCTGAGGGAAACCAGTTCAACCCAAGCGCTCTTTGATAACGTGATGATTACGTAACTGCAGATCATCTGTCCATCATCGTATAAAGCCCGCCCTGGCAATTTGATTGCCCCGACGATTTCTGAACCGATCATAATTACTCCTCAATGGATCGAGTCCAGACCGAACTTCCCGACCAAAAAATTTTGTGGGCGGGGTTCGGGCCGGCATCCAGGCTAACAAAGACCTAGGCTGTGTCAAAATCACATACTCTCTCAGGATTGTTTGTTTAAGTCCTTTGTTTTTGGTCATCAGGAAAGAGATCTCCTACACAAATCATGTACGCCGCAGCATCACAGGCACAGATCGAGACGAAGAACCCCAGAGTGAACCTGCTGGTCAGTAAGTGGCAGCAGGTGTGGCTTCTGGCTCTGGACAGGAGAAGGAAGCTCAACGATGCTCTGGACAGACTAGAGGAGGTCAGTCGTACATGCACACCTGACCTCAGATCTGAGCCATATCAAATGTAGTCACCCTGTGGGTCCTTAAAAAGTCTTAAATCTGACTTAAATTTGTGGACAGTAGGGGTGTAACGATACACGTATTCGTATTGAACCGTTCGGTACGAGGCTTTCGGTTCGGTTTTCGGTACGCATTTTTAAACCGAATGGTTGGACCATTTTTCCTGCCGAACAAAATTTCGTTATTTCAAATGTAGGCGCGTCACGCGTGGCAAGCGCGCTCATGATGTAAGAGACGCCGGCGTGACCACAACATTGCCCAACATCAAATGGCAAATGTAATGTAAGCGGAACGAAACTGAGCTTCTCGTTATTGTGTGTTTGACGGACCGTTTATCAGTTTGGACCAATGCAGCGCGAGCCGATCTTCATCATCAGCACTGTCACTACACAGCCAAATCCAGTAAAGAAAAAAATTTAATTCTCCACTGAAGTAATAACATCGCTGCGAGATCTAGAGAGAAACATTCACATTTCTCCGTTATTAACGGATCAAACAGCGCTGACGTGGAAACCAGGAGAAACATTGTGCCATGAATGAACTATCCAGTGTCCACAGATCAGCAGCATTCACCATGGGTTTACTGTAGTAACACTACTAACTGTAACCATGGGAGTGTGGCAGGAATAGTAGCCTAGGCTATAATGCTTTCAAGTAACATCACGTCGGTTTTATTTTGACATTATGAATACAATTACTGCCCTCAAATGTTAATCTGAACTAAAATAAACCTTTGTTTATAACTACTACAATATTACATTTCATTTTGTCCAAGGAGCTGTTTAGTATAGCTCCATCATTGCTCAAAGTAAAAAAATATCATACTTTATGATGTTAACTTTAATAAAAATATAATTAAAAAAATTAAATCATGGAAATTTCTCTGGCATTTCTTTCTTTTTGCTGTATCGAAAATGTACCGAACCTTGACACAAGTGCATCGTATCGAACCGAACCGTGAATTTTGTGAACCGTTACACCCCTAGTGGACAGAAAACAGGAATGGTGATGTGGCCTTGATGAATTATGACAATGTTTACATTAAGGTGTCTTTATCATGTCTGCAAACTCGTCACATTTCAGCACAGCTGCGTTGTGTACAGTGTTTACCAGGATAACTGCCACTTTTCATTCAGCAAGTGGATTAAAAAGAAACTAGTGTGCAATTGTAAAAATCCAAACAATTATATATATTGTATTTAAAAACCCTGGAGATTCGCTGAGTAACAGTTATGTCAATCTTCTGCTCTAAGCTGAAAGAGTTTGCCAACTTTGACTTTGACGTATGGAGGAAACGCTACATGCGCTGGATGAACCACAAGAAATCACGCGTCATGGATTTCTTCCGTCGTATTGATAAAGACCAGGACGGCAAAGTCACAAGGCAGGAATTCATCGATGGCATCCTGTCCTCAAGTAAGGAACGACTTCAAACAGTGTCTTCTTTAAGTCTTTCGGGCTTTACCCTCAATCTTCCCTGTTCCTGTAGAGTTTCCCACCAGTCGTCTGGAGATGAGCGCCGTGGCAGACATCTTTGATCGGGACGGCGATGGTTACATTGACTACTATGAGTTTGTGGCTGCTTTACATCCCAACAAAGACGCTTACAAACCCTTAACCGATGCTGACAAAATTGAAGATGAGGTAAACATTACCAGCTTACTTTCTGGAAACTCCACCTAGTAACTGGAAGTGTTACAAATGACCTTTCATGAAGTCGTTTACACTCTGATTTATGACTTTGTGTGTTTAGGTGACTCGCCAAGTTGCAAAGTGCAAGTGTCCTAAGCGGTTCCAAGTAGAGCAGATTGGCGCCAACAAATATCGGGTAAGTGACCGGTTTCTCATGCTTTGGAGATGAGTCAAGAAAAAGCTTTATATTTATGAAACTTGATTCAGTATGGAACCCTAGGCCAATACAAATGTAGAAACCTGTTCATTGTGTCAGTCAAGTTGGTCTTTCAAAATAATATTCACAAGACCCCCAAAACGTTCACTGGACTATGGCTGTGAAAATAAGTTAGTGAATGAAATATATTGATTGTTAATTAACTTAACTATAATTTTACAACAAAGTGATCTAGTTTTCGTGAAAAACTAGAAGTCAAAACAGCAGTTACCCCAATGCTAGAAAAAATCCTATAATAATTGGATGTAAACATTATAGTGAAGCTCAGTCGTACATTGGCTGTATTCAAATGAAAAGGCCTATTCCTTGTATGAAAGCCGATATAAGGAATGTTTTGATGGAAAAATGAATACTGGAAAGTTGGCAGTGTTCCTCAGGCCCGCGTTAAAACTAGTCCCCAAGACAAACCTCTTTGTCCCGACGCTGTTGATGCCAAAGAGAATGACTTCATGACATTTTTATGTGCCGTTGCATTTCTCAGTCTCTCAAGTGTGAGGGTTTTCCCCCGGTCCACTTCTCTCCGACACTCTTAATAAACAGATCCCATACCGTTTGGTCACGGTCAGCCGTTCTATTACTGCCCATAATCTGAGGGAATAATAAAGGTGTTCATAAAAACGCAGTTCTTCTGACTGGCTAGAAGCCTGTAACTGTGCCACTCTGGAGACAAGCTGGATAGGACCTTTTGGGGATTTTTTCTTCTTCTTTTGATTTCAAAAGAATTCATTGTTAAGTGAACTGATATTTACTAATGTTTGTCTTTTCATTGTTTTTTCTCCACATCAGTTCTACCTTGGAAACCAGGTATACATGCATTGAGCTTTTTAAAGATTTGCTGTGCTGCCCTTTTTCTTTTATCTGATCCCTAATATTTAAGGCCGTCTTAAACTCACAAGCGGATAAGCATATTTAAGCTAGTTTTCAACCCTCTTCCCAAAGCCAGCCACTGGGATTCAGGCACAGTGGAATGGGAAAGTAACCAGTGCAGGTGAAGCTATAAATAGAGAGTGAAAAGATCTACTTCCCTGGTAATAAATGACACCAAAAATGGTGTCTAGTTCAGATATGTCCTTAATGTCCTTTGTGTTGTGAGCAATTATTAGACCGATTAATTTAAGCCAGAAGAAAAGCAAGTTAAGCAAGCAGAAATGTTTGGGAATAGTTTCAAGTGTAATTTGAGTGTAATTCAAAAAACACAGTGTTATTCATCTTACATGTACTTACAGTACCATAGTAATAGTAGATTATGCATAATTGCAAGCAACTAACCCTAACCATGTAGTAAGTACATGTAGTTAATTAATATCTCAGTGATTAAATGTATAATTACAATAACACCTTAAAGGGATTGGACAAAAAATTGTCATCAATTACTCACCCTCATGTCGTCCCAAACCCGTAAGACTCTAGTTTATCTTTTGAAAACAAATGAAGATATTTTAATGAAATCTGAGATATTTCTGATGAACTTTTTGAAGCATCAAGGTGGTAGTTACATAGACTGTCAATGGAGGGACAAAAATCTCTCAGATTTCATTAAAATATCTTCATTTGTGTTTCGGAGATGAACTTAAGTCTTACGGCTTTGGAATGACATGAGGGCGAGTATTTGATGACAGAATTTTCATTTTTGGGTGAACCAAAAATTAACCCTTTAAAATTAAAATGAACAACCAAACCTTTTTCAAAGCAAATAAAGCGATACGCCATGAGAGGCCTTTCAATAATAGTGATTTTTGCATTGCATGGATAAGACCAATAACAGTATGGTAAATTACATTAATAATTGCAGCTGTTTATAGTTTACAGTCAACATGCTGTAGGAACGTGGCACATTGAAACAGAACATGTGGTCACAGGTGTGTGTTTATTAGCATATTCGGGCCTTATTGTTTAGGTAACTGTATAGGTAGTGCAGTCATTTTAAAATCGTGCCAGTAGTTAATACAGAAAGGAAAAGGTTGCTAATGTTGTTTCATGTTGACGGTTCTACAAACACCCAAGGTGGTTTATAGTCACCTATCACCTATCTGCTTCTGAGTTGAAATGCATTTCTCCCCGCAGCGCTGCATTCTGCTTCTGATTATTATTTGCAAGAGCTTTGCAACACAACACAGTTTGCTTGCCTTCTGCTACCTGCCTAATTCCCTTATTTTAGTTCTGCTTTACAGGAGCTTCACTCAACGCCAGTGAACTTACTCTTTTGCTTTTAACCACATTTTGTGGCTGATGTTCAAACAAGCCAAAGCTTCAAGAAAAATGTTGAGCTGAAAGATGCATGGTTTTCCCTACATAAATCACATAAAATCATGAGCTACATGCTTTCTCAGGGCCGTGTTTTAGGAAGATACGTGACTCTTAGCTGGTGAAGGGCTTTTATCGGGCAGGCCATGCAAACCTCATGTTTTTCTTCCTTTGTATTGAGAACTTTATATCACATCAACTGAAACCATTCTTTTGACAGTTTGGTCTCGTTCACTGCTTACATGATCCCTTAATCGCCGATGAGACTATAACAAACAGGGACAATCAAAATCTTACCCCTCATCTACACGTTGCGGTTTTGGAAAGCTGTATCCTGGTAAATGGTCATTCTTAAAGCCGTTTGTTGTGATTCTCTTGATTATTTCTCTTGATCATGCTTCAAAAATTCATCTTCCCAATCACCAAATTCACCAATGGTATCGATTCATTCTGGGTATCACTTAAAGAACAGCGGGCTTTCAGGCCAGAGAGACGCTCAGCAGGGCGCCATCATGTGTTGGTCATGTCGAGTCTCAGAGAGTCGATTTCAGCCATTACTCCATATTGTGTGTCGTTGGAGTCGAGCATCAGTGTAAACACGCATCCTCTATGAGAATGTTAGTTTGTAGTTCTAGACAGTGCAACTTCTGTATGTATTGTTGGTTTGTGGAAAAAGTTCTCATATGGTATGGTTTCTTTCTTCTTCTTTTTTTTTGTTTTTACAGAAAGCATGAGGCCATAATTTTCTGTGCTGTGAAATCTGTATGCCGTGGCCAAATCCAACTGGCAACAATCATTTGCAATCAAATGATTTGGCTGGGTGTTTTCTTTAGCTCCTATCTCTGGCATGTAGGATTCAGTCGAGCTACACCTTAGTGTTCCCCTACGGTCCAGTGCCCTTATTTGTATGAAAACAGATCCTGGGCCAGAGGTGTAGAGTGCACCTGTAGCACACCCTAGTGGACACACTGATCACTGTACTGTCTACCTTGTCTTAAATGTGCACTAAGTCACTTTTTATATCGTAGTAAAGTTTCAGACAGAAAGAAATTGACAATATGTCTGACAAACTTTTAACATGATGTTCACTCGCATGCAGTGTTGGGGGCAACTCGTTATTAAGTAATTAATTACTTTTCTCTTGAAAATGTAAAGGGATTACTCTTAATGTTCTGTAATTTAATTACAGTTACTTCTGATGTAATTTAATTAAATACTGTATAGACTATGGGACAAATAAAATATAAAACAATAGTGGATTTAACATCAAACTTTAACGTCTAATGTAAAAATGTATGTTTTTAATGTAAACTTCTCCCTTTAAATACTTTGTTCAGTTCAGGAATAATTTATGCAATTTAATATTATTTATCTGAAAGAATTAGAAGAGCAATTTCATGTCTATCCTTGTATTGTTTAACTGGTCGAGGTTGATATGGAACAGTAATTAGAGTTGTAATGCAATACTTTTTAGAGAGAGTAATTTGTACAGTAATCTAGTTACACTGTTGGAGATGTAATTAGTAGCTAGTAATTAATTACTTTTTTAGATTAACTTACCCAACATTGCTCATATGAGATGAAGACTCATCAGTATAAAATCAGTAATACCCACTTAATTTTAAAATAAATAAATATATATATATTTTTTATATAATGTTGCTAAGAGTAAAATATTTGTTTATGCTAAAAAACTAGAGAGAGATAGAGAGAAATGTGATAAAGACATAGGACACTTTTGAATTTAGAATTAATCACAGGTGACAAATATACCTACAAATCAAGTATTTCTATTATAGTGAATATTAGTGTTTATTATGGAAATCTTTTGCATCATGCTTCCTCCACGCCCGCAGCTGGCAGTATATGGTCTAGAACTACCATAGTATGGGCCAACAAAACAAAGTAAGACTGACTTTGTGCACCTTTAATCATAGATATCCATAATAAAGGCTAGATGTCTCGTCCGCGCTGCTGGCCAATGGAGGTCGACGTCCGCACCTGGCGGCCATCTTGTCACAGGCAGCTCGCTCACTCTTAACATTGTGTTTTAATGGTGCATGTACTTTTTAAATAACCATAACTTGCTCAATTTCTAACCGATTTTCAAACGGTTTGGTTTGTTATAAACGTCAGAGATGTAGTTATGACACTGCATACTTATGAATAATAAGTGTATTAAATAAATAATCATCCAGAATTATAGCCACGTTAATAACGTTTGTAAGAAACCAAACCGTTTGTAAATCCGTCAAGATTTCAACGAGATGAGAGTATTTGTGTTCGTGCTGATCACTCATCTTACATCAGGCACCACAGAGCCCGCCAGAAAGCTTGCCTGTGACAAGATGGCCGCCGGTGATGACGATAGAGACTCCGCCGTAAGACATCTAGCCTTCACTATGGATATCTATGCCTTTAATGACATACAGTGAACAGCACCACCACACTCAATATTCTCTCATGATGAGGCTTAAATTAGCACAAAGCCACAAATGAAACCAGTTGGATTGACCATTCATTTCACATCTTCTGGAATGAAACCAATGTTGTGTCTCAATCAAAAATGGTTGTGTCTAAATCAAATCGCTCAGCAGGGCAACAAAGGAAACTAGGCGATAAACCGAACAGAAGTATAGTCTAACTGGACTGTGACAATATTGAGATTTGACTCACTACTTCCACCACACATTTAATGGCTATCTTTTGCTCTTTGAAACCGGTGTTACAGTGCTGAGGTTTCTGATGTTGCTCTGCTGTGTGTGTGTCACTGATAAACATGACCGTATCACAGAGGAATGACTGTGCTCTCTGTCCGTGTCCAGTTTGGAGATTCCCAGCAGCTCCGGCTGGTGCGGATCCTGCGCAGTACGGTGATGGTGCGGGTCGGTGGGGGTTGGATGGCCCTGGATGAGTTCCTGGTGAAAAATGACCCGTGCAGAGGTAACGTCCAGCCACTTTATGTTGTACTCAACTTTAGCCCATGGTGTTCAGGCGGGTGATTTAATTGCATTGACATCGTGAATAACTAAATTCTTTAATTTATTTGTAAAGTGTTTTGCTCCAACAGTTCTGTTCCAAAACCTAGTTGAGTTTCCTATGTATGTATGCAGCATTTTAAGACATCATAGACGCATTCCCAATGTGAAGGCAGTTTTATTATCAATACTGCCAAGATACCTTGTTTTAACCAAATTCAAAAGCAGAATCACATGTCCTTCATGGAAAAGGCAATCCCATATAGCATTGCGACAAGCTACAGAAAAGTATAAAAGATAAAAATAGTTCAGTCTTATTCATAAATGGACACTTGTGAGGTTTATTTCAGTCAAGACACCTGCCAGTGTAGACCGTAGAAAGCATTGCAGCTCACTAGGTTTTGGAACAGAATCTACCCAGACACCAACGTAGTGTCGGCCCAGATCCGGGCCACATCTGGTACATGTGGATTCAACGCTTACCAGATGTGGGCCGCATCTGGGCCGACACTATGTTGCTGTCTGGGTATGCATAGTAAATCCAGAGTTTAGTGTCCAATAATTAAGGAATTTTAATATTTACAAAGAAAACATGCTGAAGGATATTTTTATATAGACTGTAATAATTTGTTGTGGCTGAATCTTTTCTTCCTGCACTCTGATTGGCTGTTTCTGAGATTCTTAAAGCTTGCCAGTTTCTTCCCATGAAGCTTTTCTTTCAGAATTTCCTTTTTCCTGCTGCTTTGTTAGTGAACCCAATTATCGTTTCTTCTAGTTCACCACCACGGGAGTAAAATGTTGCGCTCGGAATCAAATTCTTCAATTACTCAGTCTCCTATAGGTTGGCAACTCTCACACTTTCTCTCCTTGCTCAATCCCAGTGGTATGTGTTCATCCCTGTGTGTGTGTGTGTGTGTGTGTGCTGCAGTGATCCTTGAATGGTATTCTCATTAACATTAATCTCACGCTTCCCTTTCCATCGTGCTGTCTGGGACTGTTTAGCATGAGGTTTTGTCTTGCGTCATGTGTCCTCTCTCGCCCTCTCTGCATGTGTTTACTGTAGCTCTGTTTCAGTGCTGTGAAACTTGCTTGACAATCTCATCTATGCAAGATATGAATAACTCATCACATTGAAGTGAAAAATCCATGATAAACTTGAAGTTTTTTCTAAAATGCATTGTCTAGGACTTAATCCTATTCTAGAATACAATAATATATTTGTATGTAGCATTAATGTTTTTCATCATCATTATTATTATTATTTTGCCAGTGATGTGAAATGCATGCAAGTCATTCCCTACATCAAACCAAAGCGCAAAACTCTGAAGTGTGTTTTGCTCATTTGAGTGAGTGCTCATCAATCCCCAACCCGGTCAATGATACCTTCATAAGACCTTCAACTAAGATCAGAACCTTTAAAATGGCTTTGAGAAATAAGTTCCTGAAACTTGAAACTAAAGTTCAGTTAAAATTAAAGTTGATTTAGAGCTCTATGAACAACATATATGGCTTGCCGATTGTTGATTACAAATAATAATAATAATTTTGACTTGAATAATTTCAAACAAACCAAAATTTGTTCACAGTAATTATGGTAGGGTGATTAAATTGATATAATTTTTATATTTTTACTAAATTGACAATATGACTAAATGTAATCGACGATACACTCTTAAAAATTAAGGTTCTTTATTGGCATCTATGGTTCTTTGAGGAACCTTCAACATCAATGGGATCTTTCCATTGCACAAAAGGTTCTTTATAGTGGAAAAAGGTTCTTCAGATTTTTAAAAATGTTATTTGGGGAAACAAAAAAGCTCTTCTGTAGCATCGATGCCAAAACATCCTTTAGGAACCTTTCATTTTTAAGAGTGTACCACATATGTTGTACATAGACCTTAAGTTGGACTGAACCCCAAATGTTCAAATTAAGAGCTTGTTTCTTTAAACTCACGCTGAAGGTTTTGGTGTGGTCATGCGTCTCTGCTCACTACACTGTGTGCTTTTCCTCCAGCAAAGGGCAGAACCAACGTGGAGCTGCGCGAGAAGTTTATTCTCCCAGAAGGCACCACCCAGGTGATGGCCAGTTTCCGCTATAGAGGTCGAAGGTCACGGCCTTCCTCAAGAGGCCCCTCCCCTAACAGATCCAACTCCAGCCACAGCTGCCCCGCACAACCCAACCCATCCGGCGCCAGCACACCCAAGGTATGCTTATCGTTCAAAGGGTTGCAGAGAAATCCGTAACTGCTCCATGTTTTTTTGTCACATTTTCCTGTCGCCAATCATTAAGCTTGGTTCCAAAACCTAGTGAGCTGCCTTGCTGTCAAATCTTGGTGATTGGTTTGGAACGCTCTACAATGATTAAAAAAAAAACCCTCAGAGACAGTTCATTTCAAGTGAGTTTTGTCAAATACCAAGATGATTAACTCAAACTCTCAGGAGAAAGTACAACATACATTATTACAGAATAAAGGCCCGTTCACACCATGGACAATAACTATAACCATAAATATATAGTCCTAAAAAGCATTCTTAAAGGATAATTCCGGTATTTAACACTTTGAGTCTATTTTCTAGTTTGTTTTGGATGAACTAGAGTGGTGGACTTAGACGTGTTGACGATGGGTCCTGTCTCGACTTTTTGACTGTTTTAGGATCGCCTCTGAGCGCTTCAGAGTGGCTGTCGACCGGCATGCTCAAACATGTCCTTAAAACAACCCTTAACGTTCGTTTTCAAAACTGTGCAACTCACCGAGTGGTTAGTGGTGTTCGTTGATGATTAAAAACAAATATATCGGCGCAATGTATGCTTTCAATCTGTGTTATATGCTATAGTGGAACTATTTTTTCAGATACCTCACAACCGCGTATAAACTTCCGCTCGGTATTTGAGTCTGAAGCGTTAGCACACTCCCGACCACTTGATGGCGACAACCACTTTGCCGCAGTTGCTCAGCTCACGCTAGCCTTCTGAGAGACGGAGAACCGAACGAAAAGACTACAACCAAATGTAAACAGACCCCTTTCCGTTTCCGGTAGCGCAGTAATATCAACGAGCACTGAGTCCTCCAGCAGACATCAATGCGATTTAAAAAAAAAAAGGCAAATAAAACACGACAGAAACTGTATTTCGCTACGCTACTTGTTTTGGAACATCAACGAACACCACTAACCACTCGGTGAGCTGCACAGTTTTGAAAACGAACGTTAAGGGTTGTTTTAAGGACATGTTTGAGCATGCCCATAGACAGCCACTCTGAAGCGCTCAGAGGCGATCCTAAAATAGTCAAAGTCGAGACAGGACCCATCGTCAACATGTGTCCACCACTCTAGTTCATCCAAAGCAAACTAGAAAATAGACTCAAAGTGTTAAATACCGGAATTATCCTTTAATATAAAAGAATATGATAACAACACAGAGGAACGATATCGTTGGAATCACTTTCAGAATATTTTTTTCTAGCTGATAAACGCTAAAAACATTGACAGCCAATCAGAATCCATCCTGCTTTAATGAGCTCGAGCATTTAAAGTGGCAGACGACAAAACTGCAGCACGCTTAGAATAAACAGAATGATATCATGCGTTGGTGTGGACGCTAATATAGTTATCTTTATAGTTATCATTCTTGGTGTGAACAGGCCTCAAATCTCGCCTTGTAAATAAAAAAGCCGATCGCCAATTGCTAAAGTTTTTGAGATTTTTCCCTACTGGAGTAAATAAGAGGTCTTGCATGACTGAAATGCAGGTTATGCACATCAGACTTCTCTATTCTGTAATTTTTTTTCCGGTTCCAGTCTTTTGTACATGCTACGTTAAATTTGGAGTTGTTGTACCCAAGACACCTTAAAAGAAGCCACCAAAGATGAGCATAAGCAATGTCCATCGCATATGCTGGTTGATATAAACGTTCTTCATTTAGTCTTCTGGCGAGTGAACTGACTTTCCTTGAAAGGCACTTTAGTTTGGTGTTAGTATTTTTCTAAGCTTTTAAGATAAAATACATAGCACACACAAAAATGTTGTAAAAAAAAAGTAAGTTTAGACTATTTTTATTTCCGAAGTGAATGAATTTAGACTTTTTATCTATTTTTTCCAGAAGTGAATGAATCGTTTATAATCGATATTTATCTCACTTGATTGTTGATATGGAATATAGAATTTGGCCGAAAGACAATATTTTGGAAAGGCAGCATAAACATCTGTATCTGACATCATTAAGTCCTGCCTACAAAGGGAGCTCACTAGGATTTGGAACAGAGCCATTGACTATCCCATCATCATTTGTTGATATATAATTTTTTCCTGTATTGTCTTTCTTTTCTTTTTTTCTATTGCTACCCTTTGTATGTGGTTTATCCACGATTGTTTCTCACAGACTCCCCAACAATTAATCCGAAATTATGATAAACCCTGGCTGACAAACAGCAAATCAGCTACGCCCCTTAAATCATCTGACTCCTTTGACAGCCAAGGGTCGTCCAATGAGGTATAGTGCTTAAGAAATGAGTGGCAAACCCCCATCTAATCTCCGTCTCCTGCTGACCTCTGTTTCTGCCCTGTTACTGATCTAATCACTTCCTGTGTGGATTTGTAATTGAGTTCAGTCTCGATGATGCATGGAAGGGACTCTGCTGGTCCGCTATTAAGGCGGTTGTGTTTGCTTAAGTCCTATAATTCTAATCTTTAAATCTGCCGCAAAGAGGATGGTGTGATTGTCTTAAATTAAATCAGCTTGATCTACAAAGACAAACTGGGCCTTCTCTAAACAACTTTCTTCTCTAACTGTTGCCACTAAAACTTGATGCTTGTGAGACCTTTTCTACATCCAGAACTCACTCTCAACTGTTTCCTCTCTTTCTTCTGGTGTGTATGGCTTAATTTGAGTCAGTGTAAGCAGTAAACTTTAATGTTTTGTGTCTTTCATGCATTAATTCCATCATTCTGGCCATGTAATGTACACACTGCAAAGTTTTGGAATTAACAAATTCAGAAGTGATTCCCTAAATGATTGTGATGTGTATGTTTGTGTAATACGGGGATCACTCCTAAAACCGTCTGTCCAGTTAAATGTTTCAGTCAGGATTTCTGTTATGTCAAATGTAGATTTTGTGTTTTTCAGTGCAGTTTTATTAGGGACTTTTGCACTAGGTAGTTCTAGGAACTCAGTTCTAGGAACTTGCCACCAGGACGGTTCCACGAGAACTACATTTCCCCTTCTGGGACATTTTCCTGGTTGCATTCGCACCGCCAGAAGGAACTCTGAAGTGATTTAAACATTTAAGTGATCACATCTGTGTTTGTTACTTAACAGGAGAAAGTACAACATGCAATATTGCAGAATAAAGGCCCATTCACACCAAGGACAATGACTATAACCATAAAGATATAGTTCTAAAAAATCATTCTAAATATAAAAGAATAGCAGAGTTCATGATAACGCCACAGAGGAACGATATCGTTTGAATCACTTTCAGAATTATTTATTTTTTTCAGCTGATGAACGATAAAAACATTGACAGCCAATCAGAATCAATTCTGCTTTAAAGAGTTTGAGCATGTAAAGTGACAGACAACAAAACGGCAGCATGCTTAAAATAAACAGAATGATATCATGCGTTGGTGTGGATGCTAATATAGCACTTTATACTTAGAGGATGCTAACTCTATAGTAGTTAACTCTAGGAGCTAATTTAGTCGAAAATCATTCCCAGTCCCTGCGGTGTGAACACGCCAAAAAGTGGGTACTTTCAGCAATAATTGTAGGAACTATGAAAACGTTCCTGTGGTGCAAAAGTCCTTACATGTTAGGTATAGACATCTTAGGTCAATTACCAATTACATCCTCATTGTCCTGTTCTAAATGGCCCATTTGTTTCTTTCAGAACACCCCCATTCAGGGAAGCAAGCTTCGTCTTCCAGGATATTTGTCAGGAAAAGGCTTTCAGTCGGGAGAGGATGGAACCCTGATTAATGCTGCAGTCATGAAGGCCAGAGGTCAAGCCATGGGTGAGGCAGACAAACCTTTTCTTGCTGCTGTGATATATTAAATATTCACTTGATATTGACAGACTGAAAAAACAGTCCCGCGGAAACCTATCCTCTACACCAGGGTTCCTCAAACTCGGTAGGCTAGAGGATAGGTTTATGCGGGACTGTTTTTTGCACGGTTCACCATCTTAAAATCATCCTGACTAGGGATGTCAACGATTAATCGATGATCGATTAATTGTCGATAACACGTTTAATCGATAAACCTTATCGATCATCGATTAAGCAGGTTCATGCGCGTGCATGCTGCTCAACAGCGAAACATGTAAGCGAGCGCGCCGGAGTTATGTTTGGGACTATTTTACACCTTCATCATGACTATAAGTTTGCGTGTGCATTCGCTGCCTTTTGTTTTGTGCAAATGTAAGTTGTAATAGTTTATTTTGTGTGTGCCTATCTATATCTGATTTATCTCATATTGGATGCATTTGGTTAAGAATTGACGCAGCGTGATCTTTAGCGCGCGCAGCTCAAATGGCAATGCACGACTAATAACGACTATTGGGACTGTCATATTATATAACATTATAAAGAGAACAATATTGTAATAAAACATTGTGAATTATTTGGGTTTACAGGTGCTGGTCAACGAATTAGAATTATTTTAAATAGTGCAATCATGAAATTCTTTGAATGCATTTTTTGTGCAGAAAGCAAATCAGGTGTTCACCGCACCTGTCCTACTCGTTAGACTAATCACAGAACTCGTTATCTGGAAAAAAATTTGCTCAGCTGAGCTTTCCAAAAGGCCCATTTAGGCCATTTAACTGTGACACTGTTGTTTTATTGAATTAGAATAATGGTGAAAGCGTTTCATTGAATTAGAATAAATGCTCAAATTTTTGTTTTCTGTGAAGAGTGTTCACTGTGCAGTATAAAGTCAGGGTTGAGTAGAATTTCTAAGTTGTAAAATCAATCATGGGTAAGCAGCGCGACCTCTCAACCGGAATAGTGGCTCAAATTCAAGCCCTTCGCCAACAAGGCTTGACCCAAACTAAAATTGCTGAGCAGCTCGGCATCAGCCAGTCTTCCGTCTGCAAAGCTCTCAAGAAAAACTGCAGCAAGCGCACCAACTGTTCCGGCGTCCGAAAAACTTCTGCTCGCGACAACAAGCAGCTGAGAAAGATCGCAGTCAGCAACCGGTTCAAGTCCACTTCCGAGCTCACCGACTTGTGGAACAAGCAGACCGGCGCTGACGTCTCCAGATCAACCACTTACCGTCGTCTGCGCGAACTCGGCTTCAAATCTCGCGTTCCAGCAGTAAAACCGATGCTGAACAAGAAACAAATGGTGAAACGGCTGAAGTGGGCCAAAGAACACGGCGAGTGGACTGCTGAAGACTGGCAGAAAGTGGTCTTCAGTGACGAATCACGCTTCTGCATCTCCTTCGGTGACCAAGGTCCTCGTGTCTGGCGTCGTGGTGGCGAAACCTACAACCACGAGTGCGTGAAAAGATCCGTCAAGTTTCCCCAGAGCGTTATGGTCTGGGGATGCATGTCCGCTCGAGGTGTAGGGAAACTCTGCTTCCTCAAGAAGACTGTCAATGCTGCCGTATATCAAGATGTTCTGGAAACGTTCCTGATTCCGACTGTTGAGGAACAGTTCGGCGAAGAAGACTTCATATTTCAACAGGATCTTGCACCGGCTCATGCGGCAAAGTCGACCAAAGATTGGTTCACTAAAAAACAGCTTGAAGTTTTGGCATGGCCGGCCAACTCGCCTGACCTCAATGTCATTGAAAGCCTTTGGGCCATCGTCAAGCGGAAAATTCGCGACAGAAAGCCTACTACGCTGGACCAACTGAAGCAGAACATCGCCACTGCCTGGGAAGCTGTGAGTGCGGAAACTTGCGACAAGCTGGTCAAATCGATGCCGCGGAGACTTCAGGCAGTCATACAAGCCAAAGGGGCAGCCACAAAATACTGAGAAAGTGATGATTGTAATTATAATAAAAATTATTGCAATTCAATGAAACGCTTTCACCATTATTCTAATTCAATAAAACAACAGTGTCACAGTTAAATGGCCTAAATGGGCCTTTTGGAAAGCTCAGCTGAGCAAATTTTTTTCCAGATAACGAGTTCTGTGATTAGTCTAACGAGTAGGACAGGTGCGGTGAACACCTGATTTGCTTTCTGCACAAAAAATGCATTCAAAGAATTTCATGATTGCACTATTTAAAATAATTCTAATTCGTTGACCAGCACCTGTAGTTGCCGTGTCGCGTTGTTCCAGGAAGAGCGCGTCCACAACATGAGTCATTCTGAATGGCACGTAACTTAGTTCAAGTTCACTTGTGCATTCACGTCATTTTGTGCAGATATTATTTGTAATATTATGTTTATTTTGTATATATCTGATTAATCTCATAGGATGCGTTTCTTTGAGTTAAATAACGTGCTAGCAAAGTGCTCAACGGTTAAGTTATTCATTCAGCGCGCGCCGCTCAAGCAGAATGCACGACTAATAACGAGGATTAATTTGGGACTGTCATATTACATAACATGAGAACACTATTTTATTAAATCGGTGTGAATTCATTGGGTTTAGTTGCCGTTTTAAGTGCGTTGTTCCAGGAAGACCACGCGTCCACAAGTCACATTCTGACAAGCGCATCTGAGGCGGCGTTGGTGACACGTTGTATTAGTCGTTATATTTGATTATTAAATATTTAATTTAATTCAGGGCCTGAATTTCGTTTTGGAAAATGGGGGGGGAAATCCCCCCTTAGATGATTCTCATGGGGGGGATTTATTTTTTTTGAGGGGGAGAAGGGCGGGGGGCATTTTTTCCAAACAACAATTACATTTATCTTGCCTAAATGTTTGCGCTCATTGCATTTTTACAATGGGGTAATATTGTTGTTAAGAGTTTACACAACACAAGGAAGCTTGATTTAAACTGTTTAATTAAATTGAAAAAAGTAGCACAAATAAATACAATAGAATAAAGATACAAATAAAGACAAATAAAGAGAAAAGTTTTTCAATGGGTCTAACTTCATATAGGCCTACAGAAACTGAATAAAGTAATCAAATGGAAAATAACACTGATTCCTTTAACTTAAAGCTATATTTTGTTGTTTTGACAACTAAATTAATGAGCTAGTGCACGGATCCTGTGTTCATTATACTGGCATGCGTTTTATGCTTATTAAAAGACAAAACCGACTATGTTTAGAGTATACTCACGAAGACCGAAATTGACCAAATTTTGCGTGTTAAAGCAATATAATCCACGAAAAATAACTTTTGTTACTGGCCAGCTGTTTTTGAGGCGGATTTTCTATGAATGTGCGCATAGAAAATCATCTCAGAGAGCGTGCGAGCACTGATTAGTTTAAAATCGCTTGAATGTTTAAACTGGTAAGACTTAAAAAGACGTGCAAATGGTAAACTTCAGTCACGATGCACTGCTGGCCCGATTGTGCAAGTGAATATTCCGTCATGTCCCGACTCCTAAACGCGAGTGTGTATTATCGCCGCAGCGCTTGATGCCTGCCTTGCACAACACATTTTGAGAGAAGAGATAAGACGCGGCACCGCTGAACACTCACGCTGTTTGTGAAATTGCGCCTGGCAGATAGTTGTTAAAAGAATGATTTAATTTTATAATCTGTGTGGATTACGATTGCGGGAATTTCCTGCATTATAAATGGGAGACCTGTGGGAATTATTAGAATTATGCGCAATACCCGCAATCCCGCGCCGAGATTCGAGCCCTGAAATTTAATTATCAATCACATCGAAACATTTTACAATCCTACTAGCCCTTTATTTAGATTAAAACCATTCTCATTAATTTGGTGAGGAACATAGCGGTTTGAGCAGCATTTGCAGACGCTGTCATGCTGTTGGCCATATGCACTGCAGCAGACGCATATTGCAGTATAAGGCTAACGATTAATCGATTAATTGATCGTTAATTTAAACGACCATTCGATCATGGGAATTTGTGAAAATTGACATCCCTAATCCTGACCCCGACCGATACCGCTAAATCCTACTAATCACACATTTAAAGAAAACGAGAGAGTGATTGGGGATAACAAATATAAAATGTTGGCTATACAAGAATTGTATTGTTATTTTTGTCTTATTGTGATGCTGTCAACACAGTATAAGAAAAATAGGCTAAATTAAATACATCTGTCACTCAAAATTCTAAGACAAAAATATGAATAAATGAAAACTGTTGACTTACTTTTAAAAAAAAACATCCATGCGAGAACAGAATGTCGCTGACTGATGACGGTTTCAGTAGCCTACATCTCTCCTTCAGAATCCGAGCACAAAGGCTGAATGTTCTCCCTGAACTAGTGCTGTCAAAAGTACCGACTTCGGTACCAAGTCAGTACTGAAATTTAAAAAATGTGACGTTTTGAGCGGAATCGTTAACGCCTCTGATTGGCCATTGTGTTTACATGCTCATCGGATGTGACTGTGATTGGCTACAATGATTAACACATGGGAGCGTTTGAGAGTGTTTTACAAAAACAGAAGCAGGTGTCTTATCTGTGTAAGCGATCGGTGAAGTGTGTCACTGATGTATATTTACTACATGTTTTTGAAGCGCTGATCATTGTAGCCAATCACAGACACATTTGATGAGCGCGTGAACATAATGGCCAATCAGAGGTGTTTACGAGGTGTTACCGCTACCGCCTTTCACTGGGAAAATGAATCCTGCGCCGCAAGAAATTGGATCGGACGGGAATGCATACCTCTAGTGTAGAGTTGAGTTCCTTTGATCTGCCAGTTCAATTATTCAACTATTCTCTTTTTAAAAATTACCACAGAATAATGCTCTTTGCAGTTGCACTACATGAATAATATTTTAATGATATTTAGCTTAATTATTCACAAAACAATACATGGTAATATTTAATCAATATATTTATTTTTTGTGAACAGCAGTGTTGAAAACATGATTTTGAATCTACATTTTGTCAACAGTGGTAGTTTGGATGAAATGATTCTGGTTCCTTTGGGGATGGGGTCAACATCTTAATAGCTCATCTTTAGTCATGAGCCGTTGTGTTAATGTCAGTATCATAGCGCTGATCTGCAACTTTCTCCTCAGGGTTGAGTAAGATCTCAAGCAGGCCTGGCAGTAAAGCAGGAAGCCGAGGGAGCAGTCGCCGCGGCAGCGACGCCTCAGACTTCGATATTTCGGACATCCAGTCAGTTTGCTCGGACGTGTCGGAGAACGTGACAGACTCAGGGAGGCCACGCTCATCCTCTCGCCAACACGGGGGGAAGCCCTCCAAGATCCCAACTCCCAAAAGGAGGAGCACCCCTACTAGCAAACTGGCCAAGACCAGCAAGAGATAGTCAAGAGTCCAGTCCACAGAAGGGGTCACGTTACAAGCCCCCGTTCTGGCAGCACTGGTTAGCGCACACCAAACCCAGACTGGACACACGTAGACTCACACTAAAGACTGCAAAGTGTTCTCATTTTTAAAAAAAACGTAGCGAGATGTAAATTATTCTGTTGTGAACGTGAAAAAGGAAGTTAATGTGGAGTGTGTGTGTGGAATGCAATGGCTTTGTGTATTTGTCCTGTACTCTATGTGAACGTCATTAATATTTTGTTTGATCGCTGGGAAAGATCAGCGAACACAAGAAGACTGTATGTTGTTAGGCTACCTAACACTTTTCCACATGTTCGTGTCGAGGGAGAAGCTGAATGTACAGTCATTTCCTCAAGCGCACATGCTTGTTGGTGATAATATGCCCCTGTATTCTGCCAGGACACCACCGTTATTTATTCATCTATTTAAAGTGCAATGACAAGCTGCTGTTATGCATTTAAAGGGCAATACAATACTTCCAACTGTAACCACTGCAATCATACACTACAACTAATCCAGATCATGGCCTTTAAACTTATAACACTCGTCTGTAGCGTCCGCTGTATTGTTCGTTTCATCAAATCACAGATTGTGTGCCACCGAACTGTGACTACAACTTTCTGACTAAAAAACATTCATTAAGTGCAATCATGCCTGTGTATTCTATGGTTTCTTTTTGCCTGAGTGATGCAAATTACTCAACTTTTTGTAATAAATATGCTTGCAGAAAGCTCAACAATATACACAACAATCACAGACTTGCTTGTTTCCATTCACCCCAAACCATCTGACTTCTGAACATTTACAAAATAATGTCTCGGGCCTGAGATTAACAAGTCTTAAGAAGAAAATAAAATGTTTTATTAGGATAAAATGCCATGTCAGCCTTGTAGCCTCTGGCAGTCCCTGTGCCAGTGAATAGAACCAAAGAAATCTTGTGTAGATGCCAGATGGCCTTTAATGTTGGTTGGATTAATGTTAGCATGTCAGAGTGTAATCAGATGAGCTAAAGTGAGGGAAGTGTTGCTGTGGTGTTAATCCTCGACATAGGATATGGACAACCTAGCCTTGCAGAAGGAAAAAAAGTTAGCTCTGCACCAATCACTAGCCGTTTGATCAGCTAATTCTTGTCAACATGTATATTCTCTCAGAAATGTGTTATTTATCTCCAGAGAATCTTCTCAAGTAAGTCATGATAACATGATAATGTTTCCGCATGGATCCAGTGTGTTGCGTCATAAACATGGGAACGAAAGTAAAGACTAAACTTTTCCCCCCATGAATGCCATTTTTATCACCGCTTATAAATGCTTAGAGAGTGTCTCCATTTATTTTCACCACTATTTACTGTACAGTTTATTTCATAAATAATTTCAGTAGCCACTCAGGGTCATCTGTTACTGTGATTTTTACCATGGCAAATGGCTAATTGTGGTTAAATCACTGTTAGAGAAGGTTTTGAGTGGTTTATAACTTTAATATAACGACAAGAAAGATTCAATAATTAGTATAATTGGAATAATCAGTTCTTACACCCAGTGATAGATGGATAAAATCTATTCTATTTTGAGTGGCTATGCAAAAAGTTCTTGATTTGTTGGCTTCTTTTGCCATTTCCAACGGCTGAAGTGAAAGACATCAGGTTGATATATAACGAGTGCTCAAGGGAAGAGTGAATCACTGGATTTGGTAAAGTTGGCCAAGTTAGTGGCTTCACTGGCAGTAGTCTTTGTTTTAGGTTCGCAGTGGACCACTAAAGCCTCCAAAAATGACAATGAGGCCCATAATGACTCAACACATGCATCAAGGCCCATGTTCCATCTGAAACGATCCACGTTCAAAAGAAGACCCAGTGCTACACATGGTGATTCATTATGGGGAATACAGGCTGGCCTAATTATGTCACCAATGTCCCAGAAAGCATTAACAGCTGTTTCTCAAGTACAGTAAAGATGTTCACACCACATCCGGTAGTTTTGACTTATGTTGATTGCACAAGTCCTAGGGGATGAACTGATAGGATCCGCAACGATTGCCATGAGCATCCCGGCAGAGTGGCTGGCGGCTTGAATGGGGTAATTCAAAAGGGTTGAATCTTTAAAGACTGTCAATTGATAAATCCATCACAAGTGGACCCTGGGAGAAAAATAAATAAATACTGCCGTCGCTTGACAGAATGTGCAAAGGAGATGGAAATGCATAGCAGGACAAAAAGTGGGTTTTGTGGACGACTTTGTCAATAGACAGACAGTATTTTAGAAATGACGACAGTTGAGAAAATGTCTAGGGAAATGAAGTTAAATGGTTTTATTAAGGTAAAGAAGGATGTGTTTAGGTGGAGGAACCACATACTGTACATAAATAAAAATAAAGCTGAGATGTTAGGTCATCCCAAGAAGCAGGTGTCATGCCCAATGGAAACCTTTAGCCATTTTACTTTTTAGAGTCGATTTGCATCCCAATTCATTCATGTGAATAATGTATAATTACTTGTAAAGTGAAGATCATGGTAACCCACTTGTAATGACTCAAGTGTTACCAAATCCATCAGAAGGAAATACTATTCAAAACCTTACAAAAACCTTAAAAGCTTCAGTAGTTACTAGAGTCATCATTCTGTCAGGACCACTATCGTCAAATACGATAAATGGTCAAGAACTCCCTAGCCTAGCATGGATAAGAGCAGGGACAGGAGCAACAGAACACAACCAGACCGCCGATCCAAACCGTATGCTAATTGTCAATCGTATTTGATGATAGTGGTCCTGACAGAAACAGAACAGAACCAACAAGAATGTATTGCAGATATCATTAATGTCAATATTTTAATGTACAACATCATTCGAGGGGAATCAGAAAGCCAAATCCTGACTGAGACAGGAGGAGCTGGGGAGGGAGGAGGGTAATCGCTCCTGAGAAACGCGATCGCTGCTGATAATACTGAAGGAGTGATATATGAATACAGTGATAGAGTCGTATTCCTATAGTAGAGGATCAGCTGATAATACTGAAGGAGTTATATATGAATACAGTGATAGAGTCGTATTCCTATAGTAGAGGATCAGCTGATAATACTGAAGGAGTGATATATGAATACAGTGATAGAGTCGTATTCCTATAGTAGAGGATCAGCTGATAATACTGAAGGAGTGATATATGAATACAGTGATAGAGTCGTATTCCTATAGTAGAGGATCAGCTGATAATACTGAAGGAGTTATATATGAATACAGTGATAGAGTCGTATTCCTATAGTAGAGGATCAGCTGATAATACTGAAGGAGTGATATATGAATACAGTGATAGAGTCGTATTCCTATAGTAGAGGATCAGCTGATAATACTGAAGGAGTGATATATGAATACAGTGATAGAGTCGTATTCCTATAGTAGAGGATCAGCTGATAATACTGAAGGAGTGATATATGAATACAGTGATAGAGTCGTATTCCTATAGTAGAGGATCAGCTGATAATACTGAAGGAGTGATATATGAATACAGTGATAGAGTCGTATTCCTATAGTAGAGGATCTGCTGATAATACTGAAGGAGTGATATATGAATACAGTGATAGAGTCGTATTCCTATAGTAGAGGATCAGCTGATAATACTGAAGGAGTGATATATGAATACAGTGATAGAGTCGTATTCCTATAGTAGAGGATCAGCTGATAATACTGAAGGAGTGATATATGAATACAGTGATAGAGTCGTATTCCTATAGTAGAGGATCAGCTGATAATACTGAAGGAGTGATATATGAATACAGTGATAGAGTCGTATTCCTATAGTAGAGGATCAGCTGATAATACTGAAGGAGTTATATATGAATACAGTGATAGAGTCGTATTCCTATAGTAGAGGATCAGCTGATAATACTGAAGGAGTTATATATGAATACAGTGATAGAGTCGTATTCCTATAGTAGAGGATCAGCTGATAATACTGAAGGAGTGATATATGAATACAGTGATAGAGTCGTATTCCTATAGTAGAGGATCTGCTGATAATACTGAAGGAGTGATATATGAATACAGTGATAGAGTCGTATTCCTATAGTAGAGGATCAGCTGATAATACTGAAGGAGTTATATATGAATACAGTGATAGTCGTATTCCTATAGTAGAGGATCAGCTGAGAGTCACTGATGCGAGCCTGACTAACGTGACCTGCCTGATTTGATTTTAAAATACATCAAGTAAAAGGCAAAACAACACTGAAAGTAATTCTATGGGGTTTAGGAAATGCTATTTGTACAGTAGCCTTCTTGGATTTAAAATGTAAAAAAGAGGCTTGACCTAATCCCTTAGTGTTTTCTGTTGCTGTTATATAGAATATCTCTTATGAAACATACTGAGGCCTGGTTAATAGTTTAGGAGAGTAGGTCAGTTTGTGGCCTAGAGAATGTTTGCAGAGCTCTGCTAGTGCCTATCTGCGACATACTACATCCATCTCCTAGTGCACTATCTACACAGTGATCCACTGTCTGCCCAAAACTTAACAGAGATACAGTTTGACTTTTCTTGTTTTCGGTGTCTATCCTATCTGAAAGTTCAGCTAGCAGAGTTAGTTCAAATTAATGCTGAAATGCTATTTTTTAATAATGATTTTATCGGTCTGCCCAAAGTGGAAGAAAATAAATATAATCTACTTGTTATGAAAACAATCTGTGTAAAAACCTAGTTGTCATTTTTGGGGCAGAATAAGTGCCAAACTGCATGAAGGCTCTATGATGCAGCTGACACACATCACGATCACCTGAAATGTGCATAAACGCACCAGCATGGATAAAAACGTCCCCAAATGCAACGTTTGACTGCAGAATGGTTGTGTGAAGAATGTGGAGGTCAGTGTTTGCATAGGATAATGTGCTGGAGGGATGAAGGCCTCGTGGGCCCGAGGGTGGAGTGGAGCTCACGGATCAGGTTCTTCTCAGCAGGTTTAGGCTGAAGTCACATTGGGACCAGAGATGCTTCTTTAAAATTGCCTTTATGATCACTGCTGGAACAGCCCAGGACCAATCTGCAGTGAACAGCTTCACAGGAATATGTAAGTACAGTATGTGTTTTATAGCTAATTTATAAGCAACTGCTCTTTAGTTCATTTAAAATGTGAGCTGCAATTCCTGAAGATGGCAGATCACAGTCTGTGTTAAACCATTATTATTCAGCAGTTAAAGTCTTTATACTGTAAAGTTGATAGCGAATTTACTGTACTGTTATTGCATCAATTAGTGTGTTTTTTGTATTGATTGTCCTAGTATTTTTAACTCACTAAAATAGTAATAGAAAAATCTGAAATATTTACCTTAAAAATAAATTGTTGTTTTCACAAAATAGTAATTCGTGTGATTAGGTACAAGCAATTTATGCAAATGTTTGTGAAGTGTATCTTTTACGGCAGTGACCTCCTTCCCATTTCAAATGCATTTGTAATTTCAACATCTTTATGTTAATTCTATTGTTTATAGAAGCATTCAGCTAGTGTTATGTACCATTTTCCATTTTGTGAAATTTTTAGTTTCAATGGACATTTACTGTATGTTATATACTTTTCTGTAGTTGAATTATACAGGGTCTACATGTCAATGCTATTAAGTTTTCACAGTTGTTTGTTCCATCTTATCTTTCTCCCTTTTGCAGGCACATTTAAATCCTGACCGTCTTGATTTCCAAACTTCCAGCTTTGAACAAAATGCTGGTTTTCACAATCCTCCTGGCTGTCTTTGGCCTGGTCAGATGTCAGGAATTACTAAGTAAGAATCTAACTGACCACAAAATGCAGTATCATATGAGGATTATTGTTTCAATGTAAATTAAATGGCCATCAGATTTTAAGATTATGAGCAGGCAGCCAGATATCAGGTGAAGTCAATCTAGCTATGAAAGCGTACATTTGCTCCTCTTATTGACCAGTAGAGGGAAGCACGGACCACTTTAAATGATTTCTGGCCAGTATGTCATCATCTGTGCCGTAGGGTTGCTTGATGAAGATTGAACTCTGTCATGGCCTTTTTTCTTTCTTTTTTTCTTTTTTTTTGGAAACTCATCTGTCAGCTTAATACAATATCCAGATTCCGTATTCAAATGTTTCTATTAGCTTTTTCTTTCATTTTCTCTACTAATGAATAAAACATGACAGACCTAATTTATACTGCGAATCTTGAAGCCTAAATCCATAAAATCTTGCATTTACTCAGAAACCGGGCTTGACTTTCCCCCTTCTGATCGCTCCATTTGCTCTCATCTTTAGCTTATGACCTGTTGGAAGAGTTCGGCTTGTCCGAGTCAAGAGGGGTGAGAAGGGTCAATGGGTCTGAACCCGATGCGGTGGCGTACCGCGTTAACCCGTCCCTCCACCTCAAGAAGAGCACGAGGTATTTATATCGTCCTTCTGACATAATACTTTTCCACTCTTTCTGCTTTTCCACTGAGTGTAATCATGCTCGCCTCCAAACAATATCTCTCATTTCCTGCTCCTGCTTTTCAGAATCTTCCACTGCTATAATCTGGGTTTGTATTCTGATTTGATCAAATATATGCTCTCACATCATCTCTGTTCGGGATGTATAGCACAGATACACAGAGCCGTCTGTCCTTAAACAGCACAGTCATCATCCTGAAATGCTGCTATTATATTCTCATGTTTTTCTCAAGCCTCAGCAGCTGTTTGTTCGTGTCAGCTGTGGTTATGGCATATGCTGGGTCTTTCCTTTTGTGTGCGTGGGCCAACAATGCTGTCCACAACCACCTCCCACTAACATCCCCTGCTTGAGTGAAGAGTCCTGAGAAGTACATGACTGTAAAACAACCACCAAATGTGATCAACAACATCAAAATAGAAAACAAGAGAGAGCTGTGCTACCACACAGTGCGTAAATGAACATTGTTCTTGGAAACATTAGCTGCTAATTTCAACAAAATGGCCCTCTTAAAAAAACAAACAGGAGCATAAATGGGAATTGGAAACCATTGGAGACCATTTGGGTTAGATTAATGCAAAACTTCACGTAAGGTCACTGTGAAAGACCAATGTAGAGCAAAAACATAAGCATGTTTTTGGAAATGGTAACCCTTCAGTACCACAGTATACTGTATCAGTTACACTGTAACCCATAGCTTAAAGGGATAGTTCACTTCAAAAGGAAAATTCTGTCATCATTTATTCACCCTCAAGTTGTTTCAAACCTGTATGAGTTTCTTTCTTCTGCTGAACGCAAAGGAAGATATTTTGAAGAATGTCAGTAACCAAACAGTTATCTGAACCCATTGACTTACTTAGGCCTAATTTCCCCCCCTACTATGTTAGTCAATGGGTCCAGCCAGTTAACTGTTTGGTTACTGACATTCTACAAAATATCTTCCTTTGCATTCAGCAGAAGAAAGAAACTCATACAGGTTTGAAGCAACGTGAGGGTGAGTAAATGATGACAGAATTTTCATTTTGAAGTGAACTATCCCTTTAAACCATAGGAAATATTACTAATATTGTCATCATATTTATACTTGTAATCAGGGCTTGACATTGACTTCTTTGCTCACCAGCCACTGTGGCTAGTGGTTTTCCAAAGTTACCAGCCTCTCAGCATTTTCACTGGCCATAATTTTGACATCGATACCATGAGGGAAAACTGCCATATGGATATTTTTTATATTATTATTATTAAAGGTGCTCTATGTATTTTTTAGCGGCCTCTAGCGGTGATGTTTCAGATTGCAACAAGAGCGCTCGTGCTCGTGTGCGTGTGCATCTCAAGAGCGAGTATTCAGTGCCGGCCACATGGAGACTTTCAACGCAACGGCGAAAGCATCACACAACATGCTGGAAACTCATGTAAACTCCCACTGCAACGTTACAATAATAGGCTACTTTTATCAGCTTGACGTTGAACTAATGCCTCATGCTCGTACCATGATAACCTTACATTGACTGCATTTAGCCGACATGTGGTGTTATCTAGCATTAAGCATTTCACTAACTATTCGTGTATCTTTCACAATCAGCAATGTCAACATAGGTGAATGTATAATATGATAACGAAAACGGTGAACTAGACTGAACAATTTCAGTGTAACAGTAAGACAGTAGGAAGTAACATTACTGTACTGAATGTGTCTAGAAATGTTTATAATAAACAATATGATAGTAGTGGGATGAGTAACGTTAGACAGTAGATCTAGTACATAAAATAAGTTACATCCTAAAGCTCCTACTTTTTGTTATCCTGGAACAGTTTTTTGTATTCATTTCATGTCTCATGTAGTTTACCTTGCTATTTCATTAGAGTTTACTTATTCAAAAGCTCTGCCGATGTTGATCCGTGTTTTCGTCCTGAGTCGATCAGAATCACGTTTGGCCTGACGAGCTTTAGCAGATAAAACTTTTTTTTGTTTTTTATATTTTTGTGGAGTTAGTGTTGGAGTGTGTGTTGTGCTGGAGGCAGGGGTTTTGGGGTGTTATCAGACTCCATGTCGTCAGCTGCAGTGCCGTCGCATAGACTGTATATAAAAAGGAGAGAGGCTCGGGAGCGCGCGTGCACGTCACATCCGATGGATTTCGCAGTAAATCCGACCCGGAGACTTCACATAGAAATATGAATATTGGCCTTCAGAGGTAATAGCAAAACCCGACAAGTGGATCATTGTAATGTGTGATTACAACCTCTTCACACACAGGCAATAAAAAAAGGATTCATTTTAGAAGAAAAGCTACATAGAGCACCTTTAATATCATAATTTGCAAGTATTTAAGTCTGCTGTCGCTTTAAGACCTGATGCACGGATCCGTTATACTGTTACAGATGCATTTTCTTTCTCCACTGTTTACGTTCACTTAAAACAGAACTGACTGTGTTTACGTGAATACTCACTAAGTCCGTCATTTTGACATTGTTTTGTGTGTATTTGACCGTTTAAGCGCAATAAGCAATAAAAAAAGAAGAGGCGGCTTCATGTGTGTGGACTTTGGGTCTGAGCCCAAATTTGCAGGAATGAGTAAAATTACACGCTATATGCGCAATCCCACGCCGAAATTCAAGCCCTGTAGCACCAACAATATTCATCCGGAGCGAATTAAACGAGTGAGTGGAGGCGGGTTTGTGTGTAACTCGCTGTCGGAGAGATGAGAGAGAGAAAGAGCAGCTGATCTTGTGTGTCTAATCTGAGGAAAATGAGTATTGGAAGCATTTCGGATATTTCAGTATCGACGTATCGAAAAATCTGTATTTTTGACAACACTACATTGCACTTATTATTATTTCAGATACCTTTTTAAGACTACAATAGAAAAATATATACATTCAACCCGCCAAAGTGGAAAGTAGTAACAGTGACTGCGTTACACACCACTGCTGAAATACACACACATGTGGTGGGTCGATGAGTGTTAATGTCAAGCCCTGCTTGTAATACATATTCATTTAATCTCCATAAGAAAATCTCCAACGTTCCAAGAGTGCTGATACAAGCCCAATTTTCTTCAATCGTCTCGTCTGTGTTTGGACGTTTTAGACATACCGGTACTGACATGTCTCCGCATTAGTGCTGGGGACTTTTAGCAGGTTTTAGCAGGTAGGCAAGTTTAAATGGGAGACATTCACTCAGCCAATTCTTTCAACAACACCGATTCATTCAGGAACAAAACACCAGCACTTTGTGTAGCTTGGAGCTGCGCACAGGTTGATCCTGATTTGGCCTTGTCTGCACTGAAATTTTCTTCCTTTCTCTTTTCCCTGTGAACTGCACATTCGCCCATCCCTCCATCCAGCGACATCTACCCAGGAGGTCTACCGTCAGACTACTCTATCATCGCCACCTTCAAAGTAACCAAGGACACTGCTAAAACATCCTGGAATCTGTGGCAAGTCAGTGACCCTGAAGGACGGGACCAGGTGGGCCTTCGTTTTCAGGGCGACACCAAAACCCTGGACTTCTTCTACACCAGCCCACAAGGCACACAGATGCTGCGGACCTTCCAGAGGGTGGAGAAAGTCTTTGACGGCGAGTGGCACAAGCTGGCACTGAGTGTGAAAGGAGAGCAGGTGAAGCTCCTGGTGGACTGTGAGGAGGTCAGCGTGGAGCCTCTGGACGAGCCGCGGCCGCTGATCCGGCATGGCTTTACCTCCATCGCCAAGAGGGCTGTAGGTGACCGCTCGGTCTCGGTGAGTACCAGGGACAGACTCCAGTATAGATCATTTACCAGGAATGCTGTCATCGTTTACTCACCAGCATGTTGTTTATGTTGTATACTCAAAAGGAGAAGTTACAAACTTGAAATTTATTTCTGAAATGTAACTTATTTATAATTATTTCCTCCAGTTGGTTCTCATGCGCCTTGTTAGTCTCATGATGACCTAATGCGCCATGCTACATGTGAATATGAGTAGCAAATGAGATTTAGACTTACATTTTGCTTTAACTTTATAATGCATTTTGTCATTTGTGAAACTCAAGCACTCATTCACTTTTGTTTTATGCAAAAGATCAGCATGAAAGTAAGTCATATGGGTATGCGTGAATGATGACAATTACATTTTTGGGTCAACAATGGTTTTGTTTGTTTTGTATTTTTAATTCCAACAACGTATACTTTGCCTGTGTTTAGTAGTGAGGGATGGGTAACTACCTAATGCAATACATGATTCATTGCAATGAATAATATCATAATCGTCGGACCATGACTGTACGCGAGCATGAGAAACCCCAATTTTAGAGTTGCCGTTATAGACGCTTCCTAATTAAGTCAAGTGTACTAAATAATTTTAATGAAATTGCAGATAAATAATTAAATAAGGGCTATATTTTTTAAGTAAACTTTTCCATATTTTCCAAGTATACTTTATTGTTCCAAGTGTACTAGTATACTTGTAAGTGCACTATTCAGTAGTTTTTTAGATTAAATTTTCCCACTCACAAGTTTATAAACATATTTGTTGAACTTTATTTTACAGTACGTGCACTTATAGTGTACTAAGAATGCTATTATCCAGTTATTGTAATTACTATAATAAGTAGGCTACATAGTGTGTACATGGGGAACAGGACTGTTAAAAGTATTAAATATGTTTGTAGCACTTTATTTTAGTGTACTTTAAGTGTAATAGTAGTAGACTGAGTTTGTTTTTCTTTTCTATTGCAACTATACGGTGCAATATAATTCAATTGAACTTATACTGTTAGTTTACTAGCTATATACTTCTCTCACCAGTTGAATAGTTTTCATACTGAATAACATCATACAGAACTTAACATAGAATGCACTAACAAGATGGGGGAAAAATGTCAATGACACCAACCAAATGTTTATCTGTTTCTGTATGTTTGTAGTACTGTGAGATCAAGTTCATTTCCACCCATAAAATATGTACTCTTTTAACTCTTTCCCCACCAGCATTTCTTTTTTAAAGTTGCCAGCATCTTTTATCCTTTCCACAAAAGTTTCATGGCCCCCAGAATATTTTGTTGTATGAATATCTAAACATTCATTATATCAAAGAACAGAGAGTCTGCTTTAATATAAAAAGCAACATTGTTAAACAAAAAGCTGAGACATTTGGGGTTTTGTCAAAGACCACAACGTGCATATATAAGCAATGCTTTTATGGCTTGTTTCTGCTTCTTTTTCGCATGTGTTTTGATCAGGAGATTCTGCACTCTTTCAGAAGATGTGTAATAGCGCCCCCTACAGTATAACAGTGAAAACACAGAAAGCCGGAGAATTCCATCAATGGCGGGGAAAGAGTTAAGCTATTCCACATCAAAACTTGACTTGTTAGTCTAAGAAGCCAACATTTGTGGAAAAAAAGTATTTAATAGGCAAACACAACTACAAGTATTCTTAGAATACTAAATTATAGGGAGGGCAGGCCATAGGGGCTTGAGTGACTGTTCAGGCCCTTCCTACGCTACAAATGACCTCAACTAGAATTATATTGTAGCACAAAATACACAAAAAGGTTCCTAGAACAATTAATAAGCAACATGCATACCCCATGCAGTCAAAGTTTAGAGGTAATATTAAATAGCCATTTATAATACAATATAATTCATGATTTGCTCTCTACGTTGTGAGAAGATATCAAACCCCTGAAATAACACTATGAGCAATAAGCTGGAGATTATTGGCTGGAGATAATAAAATGGATAGTTTTTTGTAAAAAATGTTATGGCAAATTATTAAATTTAATCAATTAATTCAGTTAGAATAAAAAGACACTACATACTGCTTTTACCAGTCAACCAGCCAGAAAACCAGCACTACTTGTGTATATCATAAATATATAAAAAAAGAAACCCCTTACATTTTTGCTAATTTTAATGACATTTCTATAACAAGATGATTTCAGTGTGCAGATCTCAGCACTGGACGAAAACTGAGTGGTGAGGGGATTCTAACTCATCTGATTGGCCATTGCTTTCAAGAAATCATCAGATATGTTTGTGTAAAAATGCGTTGTAAATAGAAACAACCTATTTATATTAGTTTCAACGCTTTCAAGAGCACAATCACCAAATCTGTTTATGTTTATCAGATTATTATGAGAGTATTCGCGAGAGTGCAGAATTCAGAGTTCAGCTCGTGCACTGAACAAAACTCTGGCGTTTCAGCGATTACTAATCTTAACGCCTCTGATTGGCCGTTGCATTCATAAACTCAGCAGAGTCGTGTGTGATTGGTTATAGTGCGCAAGTCTGTAAAATGCGTAAAAAGTATGATGCAACATGAGCAGATCTAAATTTAATGCCGCAATCAACACTTTTCATTTAATTTTTCTTTTTCACTTTATTACTAGATTTAGTTTAAATGTACAGGTGCATTTTTGCCCGAAGCCACTGTTAATTTTCAACCCATGGCCAGTGGAAGGGTAGGCCTTACACATGCTCCGCCTATGGTGCCGCTCCTTGCACAATACTATAGCATGACCTCAAGACACTTTTACCATAGTGCATGATTTAAAAACAAATACATTTTGATGTCTCCATCACATGACCAGCTCCATGTTTGGCTTTTATGACATTGTAAACTTGCTGGGCAGCTCACCAGGTACAGCACTGAACTCTCGATGTGGAGCGCAGCAAGCATACCCATAATAATATATCTGATAAGTATTTCTTTCTTGTGCAGGTGGATCTGCAAAAGATGCAAGTCTCCTGTGATGCTGATCAGGCATACTCTGAAGGCTGCTGTGAGCTCTCCAGCGTGGTGAGTCAGTTGCCCCGCGTGTGGGATCTTGCCTTTTTCTGCTTGAGTTTTCAGCTGTTCGTCAGCCTGTTCTCATCAGCCTGATCCTCAACAGTGCGGAGGATATGCTGAGATTGGTTTAACTGCAGGAAGAGGAAGAGCAACCTGTAAATGTGTACATGGACAGCCGGGTGTCCAGGGACGGCCAGGACCCAAGGTAGCCAAAACCTTTGTTCTCTCTTCCTAAACAATAAACTCTGTAATGCAATCTCTACAACTGTATCCTTCTTCCGTAGGGTCACAGAGGCCTGCCAGGGAATACGGGAGAGCCCGGCAGACTGGGAAACTGGGTAAGAGTCCTGTCTGAAAACTCTCACCATAGTGTGGGACTCTGCTGTGTTTGAGTTGGTCAAACAATAAACGGTAGCCGCTGGTCATTAAGGTCTTAATGAGAGGGCATTAAAGGACAAACATCCACAGTCAGGAATGACAGCAAGCAGAGAGGATTGAAAGAAGAGATAGATGAAAGAGGGAATTAATCTGGAATAGATCCTCTCTGGGAAGTGAAGTTGTGGAAAATGGAAGTCTAAGCATTACTGAAGTACAGCATGATGGAAACAAGAGTCAGGACTCGCTTTGAGAAAATGGTAAACACTGTGGCTTCTCCCATTCGGCAGAGCATCCTGTGGTGGGTTTTTATTTACTGACAGCTGCTGTAATCACTGTCAGAGACAGGCTGTTACTATTCTAATAACTAAAGCCCATCAGAAGTATGTGGCATTCGTAACAATTAAGAAAAACCTGTGTGTAAAGCAGTGTTAAATAAAATTGCCACTTGCAAAGGACAAACCAAGAAGGTCTATAATCGCTCAATGGTAGTTGCTTAGCTGGTGCAACAATCCTTGGAAGTATGAGATTTGCAATCTACAGTCTTTGTTCATGGAACCATAAGGATTTTCAGGCAATAATCTAAGCTGTAAATGCCATGTGATTAATCACAATAACATTTACATTATCATAATGCTGATTGGCTGATGACACGAGAAGTCTATTTCATGTTTTTAAGAACTCTACAAAAAAAAAGGTAATGGTAAACATATAGCATGTATTATATTGTACTATATTATATGAACTATATTACATTGCATTATATTATATTATACAAATTCTAATAAATATCTTGCATGAACTGGAAAGGTTCAACCATATAGTTTTCTTGGAAGGTTTCTAAGCAATTGTCTTGGCTTTGTTCAGACAAGCATTTTTTGGATTACTGTACTGATTGTAAAATCCTTTTAGTTGTTTGCAGCAAAAAAAAAAAAAACCCACATGATTCCAAATTTTACAAACCCATTCCACACCACATCCATATGTGGTTTGAAATCTAATTAAAGGCAGACTTTTGGAAATGCGTTAAAGTCTTAATGGTCAGATCAGATTTCAAGTAGGTTTTTTTCTTCATTTGTGATGCGACATGATAGTAATGTCTACAGTTGTCTGATTCACTCATTTACACTCACATTGCATTCAATTGAGGTGAATGTGTGATGTGAGCAGTTTTGTAAAGTCATATGCATGAATGTTTAAAAAAAGTAATGCCTTATGTTTATGAAGTCTGATACATCTTATGAGTTGAACATAAGCAGAGGCAAAATTTCCAGTTTTCCTTCTCTTTCCACATTGACAGCTACACTCTTATCTCATTACAATGGCAACCGATGGATATAGATTTATACAGTAACAACATTGTCTAAACTAACACATGCATTTTTTGCAACATGTCAATGGTGACAGTCAGTCCCAAAGATTGGATTAAAAAAAGAAAAAAAGAAAAGACACTGTATACGTAAATACTTTGAATGACCTACTCATCCCATGAATTTTAAATTATGGTGACTTGTGGCTTCCAAAAAAACAAAAACAAAAACAAAAACTATATCAGCACTTAACAGCTTCATAGTTCATGGTAGGTCTTGAAAGGTTTACACATTATCATCATCAAAAAAAACTTCCGGTATCGTTGCTCTGTCGGAAATGTTCTGAGACACCGCGCGAAATGTGACTATTTAAAATGCTTCCAGAATCATTATATTTACGGTACACCCACTTCCTTTTGAGTTGCAGGGGTATAAATAAACAAACGGAAAAACCAGTTGTGGCGTCATTCTCCCAGTCTCTGAGAAGTCGTCAAAGGGAGCAAAACCATTAGAGTCTAAACAGGCCCTGCAAATATACAGGACAATGTCTGCCGATCAGCTTAATTAAAGGACATGGCATAGCGCATCAGGATCCAATTACTTGTATACATTTGGGCTATGCAAGCACAGTTCATGTTCGTGAGCAACCTTGGGGGGAAAACTTGATTCTTTCCACCCCAGAGTTATGACTAATTTACCTCTTTGATCTAAGTCCAGTTCTCTGTGGTGTGCTGGAATAATATCTTTAAAAGTCAGCCCCGGCAGCATGTGACAGAGTGAACGTGCTCTTTTCCAATTACTAAACTTGAAGACACTCGTGCAAATCAGTCAGAGAATCTGTACTATCTTTCCAAAAACGCATGTTCATTACTTTGATAATCTGGGACAGTCAGAGCGCTGCATGAGGGGATCTGCCTGATGGATTGTACAGCAGAGGGGGGCCATGTGGTATTTAGTCCCTACTGAGTGCAAACACACTGTATATCTGCTGCTGTGTGTGGTCTCCTTTGTACCTGGAAGAGTCTGTAAAAGCCTTTACTATGTTTTGTGAACGCCTTTTCCCAAAGGTTACTCCACTAATTGCAAAGTGTGGCTGTAGCACAGAATTTAATGTACCGAGGAAGCTGTTAGCTAACTGTGTTAAGTGACTCTGTGTTTGATAATGGCCAGTCAGTTTCTTGAAAGTGACGAACGAGCAAAGCAACTTAAATGCAACAAAGTTGAGCAGAGTTTAACCTTATGCAAAAGAGCAGTGATGCACTGTGGAGAGCAATGGGAATGCACTCAGTGATCTACCACTGGAAACTGCAGTCCAGTAGGAATGGCTACAAGCAACCAACAGCAAAGAGACTCAGCACCTCCAGGGGTTTAATCTCTGTCAGTGTGTCAACAAGGCTTACGCCTGTTTCACACCGGAAGGGTAGGCAGTGCGAAGGAAGTGAGTGCCGATTGTCCTTTCACACTGGTGAAAATGAAACTGCAGTCGATGTAGTCCTCCAATTATATTCAGCCTGCCAAGTGCTTCTGTTTATGATTGCTTCAGATAGCCAAATAACCTGTTGTGTAGTTACTTTGTGTCAATCCAGGGCATTTTGACCATGAACAATGCATTGTTGCTTTAACTGAGAATGAGCAGCACAGTAAAAATGAAGTTCACAGCACTGGAAGCTGGAAGCGTCTGCTTTGCTCATGCTATGCGCTGCCTTGACATGCAGTGCGACTGTTCTAAAAAATGTGTTGATCATACTCATACTCGCTGATACATCTACTGTGAAACCGGCCTTAAGAGGTTCTCACCTCCATTTAACATGTTTAAATTTATTTTGGAGAACTTCACAGATGTATCCCCAAAACCAGTGAAGAAAAAATCTGCATGATAATGGCTTACATACAAATGAAGGGAAGAAAGACATTACATGATTCAACCAAATTACACATTTGACCTCTGTGGTGCAAGAGCAAGTTAAATCCCTGTTCAGTGTTCTGAAGCATTAAATCACCAACATATTGTTAATGCATTTACGTTTTAAGAAATACATTTGCAAGAAAACAAACTGTGCACAGGCCATAAGAAGTTAAGACTTCCACTGCTTGCCATTTAGAGTAGGTTTTTCTCATTATAACCCTGAAAGCTATTGGCAGTTGTTCAATTGTGTGAGTAGGGATCCTGTTTGGTCAAGTGCATTTTTATACCAACATGGAGGGAACCGTTTCCAGCCGTTCTGTAGCTCCAGGCTGTCATATAGTGGAATACATGCTGCCTTTTTCCAGCACCGTAAACAGAGTTCTTTACGTCTTTGGCCAACCTTATTGGCCAATTAAAGTCTGCATCTGTTGCCGTTGTTACATTCTATTTACTATTACAAGCCATTTTGCAAGCATTCATCTCAAACCTTCTTGTTGCAGGGGATACGTGGGAAGACTGGAGATTATGGACACATAGGAGAACCTGGGCCTAAGGTGAGTGGCTTCATTGTACAGTCCTTGGGTTGGCACCGTTGTACAGACCCACTCAAGGGTCAACTTGTGTCCCACAGGGTGAAGAAGGTATCAAAGGAGAAAAGGGCATGCGAGGACTTCGAGGCCAGGAGGTAATACATTAAACAAGTGCAAAGCCCACTTTGACAGCCTTGTAGCTTTGCATTGACAAATGGTCTTCTCTCACACAGGGTGGCAGAGGACCCAAAGGCCTGAAAGGGCTAAAAGGAGCTTCAGGCCATAAGGTAAAAACAGTATTATTGTAGTCTACTAAATCACATTTAGACACCAACTGGTTGCAAAAAACAGCCAATATGGTTGATGTTTTATCTAATGCAACAGCACTGATACCTTTTTTGTGCTAAAAAAATTCTCTAGAAACCAAATTTTAAAAGTAACACACCAAAAAATGATTATGTTCTGTATCATTGCTATAAGTGTAATGGTATGCATCTGATCAAAGGGAGTGCGAGGGACACCTGGAGAGAGGGGTGAAACCGGCCAGCAGGGGGAAGTTGTATGTTCTGTTCTAAAACACTTTGCTTCGATAAAATATATGTGAGATGGATTGTGTTATTGGGGATATGAATGACTCATTTGCTCCCCACCACATCTCCCAGGGTGCAGCAGGAGAACGGGGATACGAGGGGATTGCGGGCTATCAGGGAGTGAAGGTATGTTTTCTCCCTCACTCCGCTTTGTTTTTGTCTCTAAAACATTTGTTGCTGTGTTTGGTTGGAAATCTCACAATTCACATTCTTTCTTGGAACAGGGAAATGAAGGCTTACCCGGAGCTGAAGGATCTCGAGGACCACGGGGTCAACTGGTATAAAAACAGGCTGGGGACCTTCTGCATTTTGCTGCATGACATTTGAAAGCCATGGGTCGATCTTAAATTGGAAATTTGACACCTTATTGGATTATCTATGCATGTGCACATCTCTGTATTCATGGAGGACAAGGTGGAAACGTTTTAGGATTCTGGGGGTGAATCTCATGAAAAAAAAAATGTTTGGGCTAAATTTGACCCCAAAATCAAAAGAGCAAACTTTATTATGATGAAACAACATAATGCCTATTATTAGACTTATTGCGATTATTTATTTATTTATTTATTTTTGCTTTGGGACAATTTTAAAACATTATGGGCTGGTAAAAGGAATGCAAAGATTCAAGGAAACCCACACGCTTCAAATTCCTGATCTTTTGGGGTCGGGAGAGGAATGAAATTGTCTGCAGGGAATATTTAAACATTAACAAAATTGTCTGCAAATGCCATCTTTGAAAATATGGTGGTTTGGGGGAATATTAAAGCTCAATTCAGTATTTCTAAGATTGCGTACAGATTCTGACCCAGCTTGTGTGGACGTCCTGCCATATACAATCCGTTGACATCCCAAGTAGTAAAGCATGTAGTCTTTTTGAAATGATGCAAATATCATGGGAATCTGACTTGATGTTTATAAACTGTCTCTTCTCTGTGACAGGGGATTGTGGGAGATCCCGGTGAGCGAGGAACACCTGGAGACAAGGGAAAGCCAGTACGTATACTAGTTATCACATTCCCACAAATCATGCTGCTTTTTACACTCCTCTGCTAAGCTTAACCAGTCAGTTGAATGATAGAAAATATATTTATTTGGCACACACCTATCTTTTTACTCTCCACAGGGTATTCTAGGCCCAAAAGGAAGAGTTGGTGGAATGGGGGGAAAGGTTGGTAACTTGACAACCGGTTATAATGACAAATCATTTGTTGACCAGTAAGTGAAATGTCTAGTGTTGCTTCCTTTGAATATATCAGGGTATAGTTGGTGATCCAGGTTTGCAAGGGCGAGACGGAGACCCTGGAATTGAGGTATAGATTGGGGTTTCCTATTAAAGTTCAGAAATAATGTTTTCCAATGCTTTCATGCTCACAAGCTTGCTTAAAATGTCATGGTATAAATGCATGCAGGCTTATCAAGGACCACAGGGACCCGAGGGAAGACATGGCCAAGTTGGCGAAAGGGTAAGCTAACTCTTCCTAATCAACCACTTCCTTAGAAACCTAAGAATTAAACCATTCTTGTAAAAAAAAATATAGAGGAACAGAATGATTTTCATGACATTTGATATTTAACATTTCTTGACCTGTATTTTTCCTCTGACGCTCACTTAAATACTGTAATTTGTATACACTAAACTACTGATTAAAATCTGCTATCCAGCTAGTGAATGTAAAGCAAACTGATGCAACACAGAACTCATAAACTATTCAACAGTTCTTTCCAGTGAATCACTCACTGAACTCAACATAATCTGACAAATGTTAAGACCTGTTCACACCTAGAAAGATAACTATAACGAAAACTATATTAGTGAAAATGATTCCCCCAACTACGATCCGTTGCACCCCTAGTCCACACCAACGCATAATATCGTTCTGTTTATTCTAAGCACGTGCTGCAATTTTGTCGTCTAAGCTCTTTAAAGCAGGATGGATGCTAATTGGCTGTCAATGTTTTTTATCGTTCATCAGCTGAGTAAATCGTTCTGAAAGTGATTCCAACGATATTGCATCTCTGTACTGTTTTCGCTATAGTTGTGGTGTGGACTCTGCTATTCTTTTGTTTTATGCTTTGTGTTTTGATTGATTATTGTTTATATATATTTAGAATAAATATATAAAAAATCCTAAAAGAATCGTTAACGAATCAGAATTGTAAGGGGAAATCAGAATCAGAACCACTATTGCTAAATTACTTTATGAACCCCATCTCTAAAGAAGCATCTGTCTGATTGGGTATTGTTGTGTGTGCTTATGTAATGTGCTTGCATATTTAACACAGGGTGAGAAAGGTGAACATGGGCCTCCAGGGAACATGGGCCCTCCTGGACTCACAGTAAGTGCTGATCTATTTCAGATCTACACTGATCTATATGTGACTTCTGTAAATTCCACCTAAAAATGTTTTACCTTGGACGTTTACGACATAGAAATACACCCTGCCTTCTGGTAGATTTATAAAGTGCTATATTCTCCAGGGGCCGCAAGGTTACAAGGGCTCTGCTGCAAAGCCAGGAAGACCAGGATTTATTGGGCCCCCTGGAAGAACGGTGAGCTATATTCCAAAACCTTTAAATTGAAATTCATATCTTCCAAAATGCTAAAACATGCCATGTCTCTTCATAGGGGCATATGGGAATACCCGGCAGACCAGGCCCCAAGGTAATGATCTCCAATCCACTCATTTATGAAGCACAAATTTAACACTAACTTGTCTCATTAAAAGGGCATTTTGAATCTTGCGAGACACCGCAATGGCTAAACAGGGCATGATGTATATCATAAAAAAAAATCTCCTGCAAATCATTGTCTAGTTGTAAATATAGTATATTTCAATATCAGTTCATCAATCTTTATAGAGGGGTCACTTCAGATGTATAAGATCATGCGCCATGTGGCTTACTGAAACAAGATATCCCGGGATCCTTAAAAAAACTTTGAGGCCTACATTTTCTTGTGTTGTGCTTTTGGCATCTATACATACTGAATCATTACAATGAGCATTTACAGTGAGCAGCAAACCATCTGATGCACAAATGGGCTAAACTGCTGTGATAGACAACCATTTAAACATTTGTGAAATGTATACTAATACAACCTGTCATCAGATTTGTTGAAGCCTTGACAAATTGCTGCAATATCTTCTTGAGATGTGGGAACTGACCCATTCACAAAAAAAAGTGAATGGAGGTAAGCCAGAACACACCCGCCGTCATCTGAAAGCTTAGAACCTCAGCATGTTTTCACACTGGAGTCATGTCTGAGCAGCGCAGCCCTTCGCTGGTTAGCGCTGCAGTTTTTGGCTGCATATACAGTCTCTTGGCTCTGAGTGCAGTCACACTACATAGTGTGTTAGACTGAAACTGTTTACTGCTCTGTCCTCATTCCAGCATCAACCCTCCACTGATATCTAAACTTCTGAGAAGATCACCACACTTCATTTAAACATGTCACTGCAGACAAGACTTTTCATCCACATATTTGAAAATAATCAAATTTCCACAGGGGCTCTAGCATTAGATGATGAAGCATCACATGGTGTTAATAGAGCTACGTCTTTTCCTTCTGTGGTCATCAGTTATCTAAACATTATTTCAACATTACGTGGATATTGCCATAAGTGCTGATGACTCTTAACTAGTGTAAAGGCACATTTACCAGAACATATTTTGTGAAATTTGAATGACTGGTCTTCAAGGTAAGAGCCTGATGTTATGTAATGTAATATACATGGTAAGAAAATTTTAGAAAATGGAAAGCATACAATAGTTAGAAAATGGAAAATACTGGGTTTGTTCCTGCCCCTTTTCATTATAAAATGAAACAGGGTCTTTGGTCTAGAAGTCAAATGCACACACATCCAGAAAGAATTATAAAAATAGTTGTTGCTAGCAGAAACATTGTAGCAAACACATGGAACATCGTGTTCGTTGAGTAGAGCATCTGTAGAGTAGTTGAGAGCCAGAGTAAACAAAATTAGATCTCAGGCTAATGTGTTAAATTCCAGGGCAATTTTCTAATTAGGGCACATTACACCAAATGATTTTCCTCAGAGTTTTGAAGCTTTCTTTTCACACAAACACAAAGTGATGAAAAGCGTCTCCACCATTTCGGGGTTTCCTCTCACAACACCTTGAACACTAATTTTGAACTACAAATCACATTTGTTGTATCAAATCCTGAATGCAATCGCAAACATTGCTTTTGTATCTTCCAGGGTGACACTGGCATGCAAGGGATCCAGGGAAGCAAAGGGCAGAAGGTAATTATCGACTCCAATGCATTTCATTTAATGTTGACACATTTCCATTATCATATGGTTCTAGTTTCTCACAACACCACATTGTTTCCACAGGGTGCAAAGGGAGTCAAAGGACCTAAAGGCAGGGTAAGACTGTCAGAGTTGTTCACTTTTTTAGTTTATCAGCGATGGGTTTAATCTGTCCACTGTCACAGCAGCAGCAGAAATCCAGTTGCATTGCAAAGAACCAAGTGATGGCCACATACTGTTTGAGTTCCATTTCGTATTTCTTTCCAGGGTTGCTGTCGAGATATCATTGAGAAATATGTACACAGTGTAAAAGTGCACTTGCTTGTTTATGGGTGTGTTTGTATTTGTTTGTTTTCCAGACAGGAGACGCCGGTGTGCCAGGGCAACAGGGAAGCAGAGGAAAGCGAGGCCCTGCTGGAGAGTCGGGTAGAAAAGGCCGTGTAGGCTCCAAGGGCGTGATAGGAGACGGCGGTCCAGTGGGCTTTCAGGGCCCTCCAGGCCCACCAGTAAGTCTGAAAATCCAACTCTAAACTTTCGTTTTCCTGTTGTATGCTATGGTTGGAAATAGTATAAAGAGGAAGAGACTGGCCACTTGAACTGGAGAAATCATAAGGCTCGCTATGCTGGATGTACAAAATGTTTTCAGTTCTAAGAGCCAGTCGCCTTATTGCTAAAGGCACAGCTAGAGACCTGCGTCAGATATTTCAGTCCCGCTCTCAAAGGATTCTGTCCCGCTTGCACTTGCTCCCGCAAAAACGTTAACTTCTCCCGCCCGCAACATTCCTTTTTTGTCCCGCTCCTGCCCGCAGAAGCCTGCATAAAAGTATAAATGGATTTTTTTTTCAGTACATCCATGAAATTTCCATGAAATAGTTTCAAGTTATGTTGCCTAGCCACAACCTACACATCCCAGCATAAACGCTCCCGATAAATTACTTGTTATTTAAGCATCAACATTCACTTTTAATTTTAATAGAAAAGCAAGCATAGGCTGCTGTGTGCTTAGTTTGGCATGGCAGAATGCGCACAAAGTGCGCTCTTCTAATAATCCCTAAAAAGCTGACATCTCAGTTTATCGCAATGTCACTGAACTCCATTATAATCAATAAAGTTGACTGCACAATGAATCTTTCATAATATCTACACTTTGTTTGTTATAATCAGAAGATTCGCCTGCATGCAGAATTCAGCACTGAACAAAAACCCTGGTATTTTGAGCAGTGCGTGGATTCTAACTTGTTGAATCTAGTTAGCCATTGCGTTCAAGAAATAAACAGATGTCTGTGATTGGCTAAATTGCTCACTTTTCAAAAAACATGTTATAAATAGAAACTCTATTTTAGTTGTTCTTGTTGCTTTTGTGCAATAGATGAATAACACTTTTTTTTTGTTGATATTTTATTCTTAGATATTTCTATTTTGCGGGAGTCCCGCAAATCGTTTTATTGCGTCGGGTCCCGACTCCCGCGGGAGTGCAGGTCTCTAGGCACGGCGTCATCTTATCGCTCTACAACGTGTATAGGTTGGCTAGATTGGACTCAAATATATTTTTTTTATTGGTGATTTGCACTGTACCTCAAGGTGCAATACACTGTGATGTATTACAATATCATAATCGGAACGTGACGGAATCTGCACCAAACTCGTGACGGAGTGTAATTACATGAGCAGTGTATCTCTCACCACATAGAATCTGCTCTGACAGTACTGAGAAACACCAGACTCTGAGTTTACACTTATTTAGACAAACGTTTTTTCCCAACTGTATGATATGATTAAGCACAAGTATAAATAAAAATATAAAGAAACAATATTGTGTGCATATGTCGGTCGCCCGTCATATCAGTAAATAGAGAAAAGTTGTTTCGGCTACTTTGCCGGATCTGGTGTGGGAGTGTCAGAGGTTAGTTGTCATAATAAGCAAGAAAGGTTTACATTGAGAATCTAGCTAAATCTCCTACCTCCAGGGAATCACCCGTTTTAAACAAACGCTAAACAGAGGCAAAAAAAAAAAGGCAGAACTCATAATAAAACAAGAATCAACATTAGCTCAGCTTTTCAAAAATGGCGAGAACTGAGAGATTTGAAATGTTGTAAAAGCGACTCAGAGATGGCTTTTTTAATACTCAGCAGGTGAGTAAGTTATTTTATTGAACGGATAAATTGTCATATGCAGCTCAAAAGCATTTAGGCTGCATTTACACTTGCCATGAACATGCAACCTGTATCCGGATGTTGTCCACATAAACATTGAAAAGGCAAGTGTGAACGCGCAATGTTATCCGATCAGCGTGTCCAGGTTCGGAGGTAGTCGAGGACGCATTGTGATCGGATCTCAGTGTAATGTAAACGCGATCCAGCCATCGTGTCTGCATTCACAGGTGGACGTCACACAAAACCCTGCACACTGTCATTATTCCCCCTTTTCTCTCCAGGAATTGCTGCACGTAGCTGTGTGGTTTTGCGATACAGTCGAGTGCGAAGGACATCGCAAATATACTGAAATGTTTGCCTCCTCACCCGAAAGTTGCAGAACCATTCATTTTCTGTAAAGAACGCGCATTTTTCCCACCACAGCTGGCAACGTTCTCGGACCCATATGTTTCTCTGTACCGTTTCCATTACAGCATCTATCCACATTATTAGTACTTGCAGCCTCTTCATCCTCCTCATTTTGCGAGATTTGTAAAATGTCCCCCGACTGAAAACCCACCACTTCAGGTCGAGTTTGCACCGGAGCCATCCTTTTTTTTTCTCTTCTTCTTCTTTCACGAGAAAGCGAGATCCGATCTGTTATCCAGATACAGAAAGCACTTGATGAGGACAGGTGTAGACGCACCGTGTCCTGATTGGCTTATGATCCGATCTGCTTGATCGGCTCACGGTGATAGCATGTTAATGCCAAGTGTAAACGCAGCCTAACAGAGTTCATTGTAAAGCATTGTCTATTTTGAAGGCTCATTTCATTATGGTTGTTGTAGCACTGTTCTGGAATTTATTTTCAAGGAAGTACTGTGTTCTACAGTACTGTCTTCAGCTTGAGATGCTTTCCATCTAAACTGGTTATATCTCTTAAGCCTAGAAGTGAATGTTTTATGAGCAGTAGGATCATCTCTCGGTCTTTTTTTTTGGTTATGAGTAAGAACCATGTTTCTTCCACACAGTCACGCAGAGACGAAGCACAACCAAAACAATGTTCTTTCACAAAATTCATGCAGTTTTTTTACCCGCTAGAGGGCCAAAAGCTACATAGTGTACCGTTAAGTATTAATAGAATTCTCTGGCCAAAATATTATGATGTACTGACATATGGTTGTAATGGCACTTTCCCCATTTAAGCAGATACAGTAAAAGCTGTGCTCCTAGTCCTATTACCTAGATAGACAATAGCTGCCTGGACATGTTGACAAAATGGCTGCCACCTGCCTGAGGGACTTTATGACTTTTTGTTATGGTCCATTAGCAACCGAGGGTCCATAAGTAACCTAAGGTCCATAAGAAAGGTGAAATTCAAGCGTTCCTCCTTAAACTTAAATGAATGTCTGTTTAGGGCTTTGTTAAGTGTTTTCGTTTGCATTTCATCTGCCGACTAACAAGCTTCACCTTTAGACAAAGCCTTCAAAACTTCTGGGAGATTTAGTCCTTGTGGCACTTGGCGTAACATGCATGAAATATGTGGTAACCATTTTGGTGTCAAGATCGCTAGTAAACGCTTTCTCATTAGTGCAGCTTTCTCTGCAGCTCGGGGCAAGGTTTTCATTTAGTGTGGCTGTAAATCCATAATGAGGCTGGTGAAATATTGTTGGCCGTATTTATTTCTCCTTCATTACGCAGCCACACATTTTCAGACTACTATGGGCGAGAGGTGCTCTGATCTGAGCTCCATGTTTCAGTGGTAATGATCTCTCTCGTAGGGCCCCACTCTCCCTGCTCAACATGTTATTGAGGTCTGCAAGCAGGTGGTGCTGGAGCAGATGTCCACATTCGCCAACTCTGTGAAAAGAACTTGTGCAGCCGTGTGCCCGCTCTATGGAGACGTGCCAATGGGCGCCCCAGGTCCCCCAGGATCGAAAGGACCACCTGGACCTCCAGTAAGTTTCCCACCTCTGAGAAAAATTACCCCACTACAACTCTGGAATAGTCTAAATTTTGCTACAGTAGGCCTTGGAAACAAAAGCATTTAGATGTGGTTTGTTTTAAACATCACAGTAAGCACATGTTAAACCTGTTTTAGCCATAGTAAAGTAAGGAAGAACATGCTCCATACATCAACTTTCTTCCAGGCCAAGTTTGATATGTACATAGTGTGAAGGCCTCTGGAGAGCGTGCAGCAGTGTTTGGCAGTATAGATTGGAATTAAAACATCCAGAATGTCCATGTCCCCGTGAAGACAAATAGGAAGTCACAGACTTGCTCCGTGTTGAGTGGTTTTTGGAGAGAATCCCACCTTCACTGGAGTGGAAAGCCTTTCCATATTTCTCAAGCAGATCTTTTTTTCAGACTTCTCGAACATTTTCACCCAAGGGGCCCAAAGGCCGATAAAAGTTCACTGAGCCTCAAATTCAAACATGTAAAGGGTTGTAAAACAGAGTTGTGAAAAACTGCACATAACGTAAACTTCAGGATCAGCATAGCAAAGAGTCTACAGACACTTTGATTCTTCTAGAGGGAAAGTTCACCACTATCATTTACTCACCCTCATGTTGTTCCAAACCTCATGTTTTACAGAATGTCTAAGCTACTATTTTACATACAACCAAAGTACACTTTTGCCAGTGGCTGTTAAGCTACAAAAAGTCTCCTGAAGGCATCAAATAGCATTGTGTAAAGAACAGACCTCAATTTGATACAGCGCAGAGCTGGTAATTGGTAAGTTGCCGGTTTGATTCCCACAGCTACCATGATTGTACCCTTGATCAAGTCTGTTCCAAGGGGGTTCCAACTGCAATAAGGATACTGTCGCTTTGGACAAAATATGTCTGCTAAATGACTAATTACTAACAAATAACTAAATTTGCAACTATTTCTGGAAAAAACATTATAATAGGGTGATCCTGGCATTGATGGTCTTAAAGGAGAAATCGGACAGCAGGGATTCTACGGAGAACCCGGTGACCTGGGCAGACAGGGCTCAACAGGTACAGTAAACCATCTTCACACTGTAGTGCATATTGTACAAATAGTAGCTTATTGGACATGCAGCAATACAAGGGTGGTCCTCCACGTTAATCATATGCGGTTGCCTTAGCGTCAGATAGCGTAAAAAGTTACAAATAAAGAATGTGCCCAGATATAGAGAAACAATAATGCTATGAAGGGTATCTGTCAGTATTGCTCTTGGCTGTGTTCATGCATGATTAACTATCATAACAAATACTTCTCAGCTGGAGAACCTGCCCAAGTAAGCAGACCATATGACAGATTCACCTTCACAAGGAACTGTTGTCTTTTGGAAAGGGATGTGTCATGAAATAAATACATAAATAATGTCAGTCTGCAAGCATCATTCAGCAGAGGGAAAGTAATGGCTTTATTAAACATGAGCAGATGTGCGACTCCTCTGCCAAACAGCATTAATGAGGCAAATGAGTATACAGGTGCAATAGTTCAAACAAAGTGTTTAAAGAAAAGATGACCTATATTACCTTGTTTTGACAGTATCAAATAATATAAAAGTTAAAAATGTCAAGAAAATAGACAAATGACTTACTTGCAGGTAGGGTTTTGGATCTATGTTAGGAAGCTACTTTGAAACTGTTGCTTCTCAATGTGCAGGTCCTGCACATTCTTTGGTTTTCCAGGATCATCTGTATATTTGAACCCTTTCCAACAGTGACTGAATGATTTTTGAGATCCATCTTTTCACACTGAGGACAATTGAGGGACTTATGCACAACTATGACAAAAGCCGCAAACAGTTATTGATGCCCATGAAGGCGACATGATAAATTCAGAGTCAGGGGGGTGTAAACTTTTGAACAGGATGAACCGTATAAATTGTTCTTAGTTAGTTGGAATATTTTTGTTTACTGCTCTTCAGAAGCTACATGTTTCCCAGAAGACAACTTTATTTTTTAACCATGTTTTTAATAGTAATAATACAAAATAATAATAACAAAATGGTTAATTTGCCCTATGGCCTGAGATGCTGGGATAGGCATCAGCGTCCCCACAACTCCACATAGGACATAGGAAATTGTTTTGGAAAATGCATGGATGTATAGATGGTTCACAACTGAAGCTATGAAAATCAGCTAAATCACTGCTTCTGTGCAGGGGCAATGAAATGTAACTATAGCACTAGTTGTTCATATTTTACTGAATAAGCATGTGCGGTTCAACAGTACCTCTTGCATTGCATGTCATTTCAAAAGCTTGGTAGACATTTTAGACATTCAGTTATAAATGACAAGCCATTATTTTGCATTGTTATTTAGTCTGGCAGTGACGTCATGTATCAGTTTCCAGCCAAAAATGACTATTTACACATAATTTTATACATTTATTCAGTAATGAGCTCAGCACAAACATGGTTGTTAATCAGTATAAAGAACGTCTATTTGAGGTGCTCCTGCCGGATTTAGATGGTTGTTCATTTTAATAACATATGTTTGCCACAGGTGACAGGGGAGAACCAGGAGACAAGGGAGGCAAAGGCTATGGCCTTCCCGGACACATTGGGGAGCAGGGACCAAAGGGTAACATAATAATGACCAAAGAATTAACCTCGCTCTCTTGTAATAGAAGTATCACATGAGATCAAATGAGTCTCACTTCCATGACGACTATGCAGACTGATTTTTATTACTTTTTCTTTGATATACCAAGGTAAGCGTGGGCGACCTGGCCAGGCATTTGATGGGCAACCAGGTCGGATGGGAGAGAGAGGCCATGTTGGCCAGCTTGGTTTGAGGGGCCACCCTGGACTACGTGGAGTTCCTGGAGTCTGTCTGACATCTGGGTGTGCCTTACTTAATGCTACTTCTAATGGATCGCCACAAGTACCTCTGCAGGCACCTCAACGGGCACCTCAACCATCACCTCAAAGGGCAACTTCGAGGCTCAGAGGACGCCAATGAATGCACCCTAGAAGGAAACATTGTGACATTTGGATCTCAGTGTGTGTTTAGTAGTATGGCGGAAGGATTAGAAACCGAAATTGTGAGGTGAAGGGCAATTAATGTAAATATAAAACTGAAATCCATTCAAAGACTGAAACACTGATCTAAAACTGTAAAATGCAAAGCTATCACAAACTGCAAGACATTAAACCTGTTGACCAACTTTTATTAATAATGCAAATTAAGGTAATTTAAAGATACAGATAAAGTTTGCATACATTAACCAATGTATATGTAGTTTCAAAGTGATCTGCACATTTCTCAATTTTATTTTCAATGAATGCTGTTTATAATAAAAATGAAACAATTAATATCTAAGCCCTCCTCCTCTCTCTCTCGATCGACTTGCAACGTATTATGTGTTGTTGTTTTTTTTAAGTTATGGGAGATTCAGAACTAAATTTCAGAGAAATCGTAATGCTCAATAGGTTTAATTTTTGCTTAATCTAGAACATGCACCTTAGCTGGACGTGTACTACTGTTGTAAATTTTTAGTCTTGATTTGAAATACTTTAAACATTAAAGGGGCCAATAAATTTTATTTTAATCTTTTGACATGTCATACTATAACACATTCTGTAACAAAAACGTCTTTTTTTTTAAACCGAGCTGAAAAAAATGACTCGTTTTGCACTTCCTCCAGTTTGTTAGGTAATAGAGATGAATACATCTGCCTGCACAGAGAAAGGGTAGTGGCTGTTTATTTTCAATTATGTGAAGTAGAGCATTATTAGTTTGATTGGTTAATTTCACAGTGGTTTCTTTGGTAATTCGATACAGGCTTTACAAATTTACGGATGGAACAGTAATGCGACAACATGTAAGTTTTAATTATATTGCCTAAACAGTGATTTTTGATATGTAAGTGAACAAACAATTTTATATCCCATTATAAGTGCATCTCAGGAAACATTATATAATTTTAAAAAGCAATTTATGACATGGCATGATTTAAATTTATGGCAATTTAAACATGCAAGTCTGCACTTAGAATAAATAAGATGACATTTGTGGCCATTTACATTCTTAAAGTAACATACACCTAGACCATTACAGTGTGTTTAATCAGAGACTCTCAACCTTAACATGTCCATAACATCTTTAAATGGCAAAAGCAGTACAATCGCACCACAAAAAGAGGCCAGAGGCCAGAGAACATGAGTGGTGTGGAGTAGAAGCCAGGCAAGTTTTTTTTTATTTTTTTATGTCTGAGCGTCTGTGTTTTCTCTCACTCTAATACCATTCCATCACGTGCAAAACACATGTTAACAGGCTAATGTTAGTGTTTCAATAAAGCATAAGACTTTTCTCCAAGTACTGTTTATGTATTTTTTTCAATCAGTATATCTTGTGCCCAGACTTTTGTAATATTAAAAAAAAAACATATTTAAAGGATGTTAGTGAACTGGGCATCATATTTGCTATGACGTGAACACAGAGTAGCTTTTCTCTTGTGAGCAAGGAGCGTGAATCTGAAAACACGGACTGGAGCTGGAGCTGAGCGATTACAGGAACCTTTGAGTGCTGTCACTCCAAACCTGGATAAAACCCCTATTAACTCAGCATTCAGTATATGCTTTATGTGACTTAATTGTATTTCCATCCTCAAGTATAGGACCTCTGAAATGATAATTAAATATTTGCATAGTATAAAACAAAAACTTCTAACACAAAGGGACCTGATTGATTATCCAATCATCCTTCTGATTCTAAACGAGAGGACAGGACACATGACTTAATTCCTTAAATACTGCTGGGAACACAAAACATTGTAGCAAGTGTCAACACTACAGCACTACTACTTCATCTATAACTGAAGAACAACAGAGAAGCTACTTCGCTATTTGTACCTTACTGCTCATCAAAAAGGGTTACAATGAAGATTTTGCAGAAGAACTATCCAATAAAATGTTCCCTTACCATGGTTCCTTGAGAGGGGGAACAAGACGCTGCGTCCCCTAGAGCGCACTATGGGGAACAAAAATACTGCCTTGATGGCTGACACAAGTCAAAGACTTAAAGAGTCCCCATCCCTAAGGTGCACACCAGCATTGCGATTAATGTCCTGTGGCCAGAGCCCAAGCAATAAGACCCCTTACAGGGAAGATCAAGAGCTTGGTATTTCTACAAACACCTTTGAGGGAATAATGTCATAGAACGGAGACTCTCAAGAACGGATGCCTCAACAGAATGACTCTAAAAGAGAGGAGGCCTAACTACGTTCTCTATTCAGGTAGGCCTGGCAACGTTCTAACCAAAAGGCAGTAGCCCCCAAAAAAAGCTCAAAAAGAGCTAGCTACTTCTAACTGGCCCTGACTTACTACCCTATGCCTCAACATGACGACTCTCTAATGCGAGATGAGACCTAACTACGTTCCATGCTCAGGACAGCTTACAAGGAGGCTCACAAAGAGCCTACAACTCGCAATTGCTATCCTGGCGGAGCTCTGGGGAGCGGAGGCCTCAGCAAGATAACTCTCTCTAGCGAGAGGAGGCCTAGCAATTCTTACAGTAGCCAAGGAAGCTCACAGAGAGCCTACACACTTAGCCTATGTCTGAGCTCATGGGATGGAGGCCTCAGCACTACGTCCTACCCCTGTCAAGGAGGCTACATCATTGAGCCAGCAGCTTGACACAATATCAGACAATACTCAAACTAGTACAAACAAACAGTCTCCTGAAGACAAGAAAGAGGATGACGTATTCCACAGGTGCACTTTAAAACTCACGGTCGCACCAGTAGTGACGTCATAGGCCTGCCAAAGTTAAGTTCATTGTCGTTTTTAGACTAATGTTTCAGACACCATGTCATGCTGAAAGGCATTCCCCACAGAGCCCTCTAGGGGATGCAGCACGAGTTCCCTTTCGAATGGGAACTACATTTGCTTTACAAACAAATCGGTCAATTGCGATTTGCCGATTTTTTTCTTTGTTTAAGCAAGTTTATTTGTTTTATTTGCTCTCTATAACAGCAAAACTTGACTTCAAAAAATATCTGCAGCCTTTTGAAATTACAGGAAACCACTGCATTTTAATCACAATCTAAACAAAGATGGTAGACACATGCAGCATGAGCAATTGTCACTCTCTGACAGTAGGTGGCACTTATAGAACAGCAGCGATTTCGTTTACTTTGTAACCGCTGTACACAAAGCAGCGCTGCACTTAGGGCTGGGCGATAAAACGATAACGATAATTATCGCGATATAATTTTTCTCGATAAAACGATATCAAGAGGTCGATAAATGTTCGATAATGTGTATGCGCCAAAAGCGGAACGAAACTCATTTGAACCGCGCGCGCCTCACGGACCGTTTATCCGCTCGGCTCAAAGTCCAAACGCCAGCGCAAGCTCACTAGAGCAGTCTGAGCAGACGCGTTTACTCTGATCGTCTCGCTCACGAGATCCAGTGAGAAGCGCTTAAGTTCAGCGAAGAACACAAATGTCCAGTTTAAATCAGTTTAAAGGCAGATGAAACACCGCTGACAAACAGGAGAAACACTGCGCAGCGAAACAGTCAGAATCTGAATTGATACTGAATCCATTTAGCCTACCATGGATTTACTGTAAGGTTAGCCTAGTACCTGCACCATGAAATGTGGGATATACATATTGAATTGTTTAATATTATTAATGTAGACAATGTATTAAATGACTAATGGAATATAATTACAGTTTAATGTATTTAACTGTTAGGCCGTGTGTCCACCAAAGCGTTTTTAGCCAGCTGAAAACGCTAGACGCTCTGCTGAAAACGCCTAGCTGTGGGCGCTTGAGAGCGTTTTGGCAGCACAGCGTTTTTTCCGTTGAGACGTTTCGTTGCTATGATACAGAATATCCGCAGCACAGTTTACTTGTAACTGATTTCGCAGATAATTTTTTTCATACTGAAAATTTATTTTTCATCCATTTTGTTCGGTTAGCTCTGCTGGTTGATGTCGTTGTACAGAAAGAATGTTATGACAGTTGGTCGGTGTGGTATTAGTCCCGCCCCTCCTCCACTGTGATTGGACGGCTGGGTAAAAGTGACAGTGATGAGCGCTGCGTTTTATCCAAAGTTGAACATTTTTCAACTCTCGGCGACCAGTAAAAACGCCGAGCTCTCAGCGCTTCAGCGTGAAAAAAACGCTCAGCGCCTCGTTACGCTCATGGCGTTCGAAAAACGCGGCGCTCCCATTGAAAACAATTGAAAACATACGCCAGGCGCGTGGAAAAACGCTTTGGTGGACACACGGCCTTAGGCTGCTGTTTTTCATACAAATACCATAGAAACCATAAAGTTACATTTTGCCATGATAGTGAGGTGCCATAGGCTGTACCTGGCTTTATCTGTGGTTATCATGATCTAAATGCATGATGCTGGATGACCAATGGTTAATTTTAATAAAACTCAAACAGTCAGAATATTACATTTTACCAAATAAAAATGTGGTCCTTAAATAAAAAAAATAAAAAAAAATAAACAGATGTTACGGTTTTTGTTAATGAACATAAATTTAACATAGTAGTATTAGCTTGAGTCAGGATGTAGATTTACTGTCAACTCACTGTCAAATATGCATTTCGAGACAAAACATGTAATTTGAATATTATTGCAGCCTGCACTGCAAACTGTGCTGAAGAAATATTTTTCTTTTCAGATATTTATTTTGTTAAGGAAAAATGACAAATGTTTGAATGTTCTACCTCAGATTTTTAAAACCACAACGCTCTGGTTTATACAACTTTCAATTAGGAGCCTTTAAACTTGAAAGAAATAAAGATTTGACATTTATCGTGATAATTATCGATATCGACTGATATAAAAAAATTATCGTGATGGGTAATTCCAGCGTTATGGATGTGACATTTGAACTCATAATGACAGGTGAAATATCTCAGGAAAAAAAAACTTCTTACAATATTTGAATTGGAAATGCATATTCTCAGAGCACCCAATCTGGGGAATTGACAGGCAAAATATGTTTTTCTAAAATATATTTAAGCACCCCCAAAAAAGGAAAATATGCATGCATTATGGATGTGACGGGAAATGACAGAGTTTTTGGTAATACTGTTCGATTTCCTTTAAAGTCTGTGAACTTTTAAATCCAATATATAAATATTGCTAACCACATGATGAAGGGGTCTTAGCTGAACATAAAAATATCAGTGTTTAATATATATATAATTTTATGAAGTGTATTATGAGGAAAAACCAATGTTATGGATGTGACAAAACCCCTGTTATGGATGTGACGCGTCTGAAATACATAGAATCTGTTTGGAAAATCAACAATCAAACCATCATGGCACTTTTGTTGACGCATAATGGCTGTGTTTTCACATTAAGAAGACTGTGTGAAATGATTCTGTTCAGTTATGAGACGCGCTCAAGTTTACGTGTTGCAAGTGATCGCACCTCCATGCTATATTTGCTTATTTATTAAATCCAGGCAATTGGTTGATGAAACTTTGATTTAAAATTAAGATACAATTTATACAAAGAAATTCACTTTAAATAAAGTCTTTCTACAAAACAAAACTTGAAATGAAGTGGCCAAAATCATTTCTGTCTTGAAACAGATCACAATAGTCATATGCATGATTTAATATGAAGCGTCCGTAACGGTCACGTCCGTAACGCATTATTATGGTTGTTCAGAGCAAAGTAGTGAGATGAATTGTCTATCCTAATAAGCATAAACATAATTTAGCTTTGTAAATAAAGTTTCAAGTTATTTGCATTTATAATTGTCATATTAAATAAACTAAATCTTTAAAACATTATGGACGTGACAGTGCACTGAAGCGTCAAGACCTCTTTATTATAGCCCTTATAAATTCAACAGGCAGTGCTGTTATGACCAAATTAGTATATTTTTTTTCTCAGGCATGCCTCCATCTTTCTGCAAAATGCTTACTGTTAAAATTAAGTTTAAAAAGGGGGGTCTTTGATACCTTTTTTTGAAAGCATGAAATATGGCTGGTTGAAAATGTAATTTAAGCATTGTTGCTTCACCATTGTAAAGATCACCTTTGCATGGAATTGCCCTGATACATTTTTTTGGCCATATCGCCCAGCCCTAGCTGCACTCATAAACACTACTTTATACAGAGATATGAGGAAAGAAAATGCCATCGAAACATTTTTGAAGACAGGCAGAGAAACACTCAAATAAACCTCCACCCCCAATTGCACACAAATTACATTTTGGGAAATGATTGCAATGCCGTTTGTGTGCAAGTCCGGAATAGAGATCAGCCAAAATAAATTAAAAACTGGTTGCTGACCGGGCATTTGAAGCAAACAATGTCTGGATCCGATTTATGGCCGGTCGACCAGTGCATGTAAAACTTTCCGGCTTCATTGTTGCACAGGCATCATGACGCAGTGTTACCTATGCATAAATGTGGGTACGTTCCATATTTACAGGGTACATTAAGAAAACTGTCTTATCACATTAATATGAAGCCATGGCTCTCCAAGTTTCCATATAATGACCTCTGACTGCTGTGAAAGTAAGTTTGTGTATATATAAACCAAGCATGCTGAAAAGTCCTGAAAAGTGAAGCCAAAGCGTCTCGATCACCCCCAGGTGGTTGGTCGTAGTATAGGTCATAAACCCTGCCCTCTCCATGTAGTCTAATGGGATGTGAGGCAAACTAAATCAAATTACACTTCAAATAAATTTTTTCCAAAGATGTTTTCAGTCATTTTAGGTAGTTTGTATCACGCTAAGTAAGTTTTGTCTTAGTTAGTATTGTGATGCTATAAAAAACAAGAGTGTGATGTCATGATTGACAGCTGTGATTGACAGCTTCTCTGAGCGAAGTAGTCAATGAGGCACCAACAAACTTTTTGAGGGATTTTCGGGGGGAGATTGGAGCTTCAACTTTCATTTCTACATTTCCATAACTGTTTATTTCCCACCGACATAATGAGCTGTTCCGCATTAAACTGTGCCAACCGTTTCTGCGGGAGTGTGGGTGTGGCCTTGATACCGAAGCTCCACGTCACGCTCACTACTGCGCAGAATCAGGTCCCAAATCAGCGCAAGATGTCAGTGCCATATTGGGACACTGGCGGGCTTCACTTTTCTACAATGGATCAAAACAGCGTTATCCTGTCTGCCACTAAAATTTGTAATGAAATACCGTAACTGTGAAGCAATAATACACTGGAAACGACTAGAATGACAAACATTTTCCTAGAACAAAGCTGGCTTTCCGCAACAGTCATTTCTCAAACTATGTGACGGAGTCTATGATTGTTTTCAAATCGTTTTCCGTTGCCCGCGACTGTACATGCTCATATGGCTAGACGGTGTTCCCTCTCAAAACATTTCATCAATTGATTCCATGGAAACTCTTATTTCCTCTGTCAGCATAATCACTTATTGCTGCTATACACACCACACTAATCTCCCAGGCGCACCGCAGAAGTGATCACGTTAATTGCCGTTTATTGCATGGAATTATAAACCATTACAGCGCTACCGACGAACCCTGCCAAAACAAAGAGGTCTTATTTATTTAGCCAAAGTTCAAAGTAGTTAGACTAAAACTAGGCTAATACATAAGAAACGCAGACTGTATTGTGTCTTTGCTTTAGTGGTATGAAATGTCTTTATCATACTATTAAGCAGAAATGACCTTAGATTATAAGGCCAACAAAATTTTAATTGGTGCACGCCATTTTTATAAAGCAACAGCATGAAGGTCTATTTTACTTGCTAGACTGCTAATTTTTTGTTCCATACAGTAAAAAAAAATTTTTCAGAAAATCTTTTTTATTATGAATGATGTGGTATAATTTTGAAACATTCCTAGTGTGCTTCTCAGTGTTTTCCGCAATTTCCTCATTTGATAATAGTTGGCTTAAGCATTCCAAACTGCATAACCACACTGCAATTCATCATTCTTGCAATGACACCTCACTGCTGTTTTTCCCCACTCAGGGAACAAACATGGTCCTCGCTTCACGGTCGTGCCTTTGTTGCCATTTTCCAAACCCAACAGAATATGAAGTATTAGGAGCCCAGCTGTACCTTTCAATTACAAGTAGCCCTGTGGGAGGATACCCATTACTTACAGCAAGATTCTCCCAGTCTTCCATTTGTTAACGCATCAATTGTGGCCACAGGATTCCCAGATGTAGAATTTGTCAAGATTGGAGCTGTTCTGGCAGGTGATTATCAGCAGGTGGGCTTAGTCTGCACAGTGTTCCCCAAAAAATTGGCTGAAGTTAAATACCTAGTCCTAGTCAAGATCAAATTTTCTTCACTTCAGTTTGATTACTTTGAGGGTGTTGATAAAGGAGACGTGTTTAATTTGCTTCCTGCGAAGCTTAGGTGGGTTTGAAGAACATGCTGACAGTGGCGAGAATGAATCCAAGAGGATGTGGGCGTACAGTATATTTCTTAGAAATTCAGATGTTGGAAACTCTGTATCTCTATGGGAGGGAGAAGAATAAAACTTGTTCATTGTTAAAATGAATTATCTACCCAATTTAAAAGGAATTGTTCCCAAAACAATAGTCATCATACTTTCTTCCTTCTGTGCAATAAATAAATAAATAAAGTAAAATTAAGAATGTTCACGCATGCACAGACTACTTTTCCTCACAGGCACAGCTCATACTGACGACTGCTGTTAAACTAAAAAATGACAAAAAGACTCATAAATGTAGTCCAGCTATGTTTGAGGAACCGAACCGAACTGTCATGAATCAGACTGGTCAAGTTTTCAAGGTAACCCACTTGGACAGTCTGGCTTCAGCAGTCCACTGGACCGTTATCAGCAAATAACAATAACGGTCTGTTCCAACATCATCATATAGCTTCAGAATAATTGGAATATAGCACACAAGTCATATTAGTATAACCTCGTTTTTTGCAGTTTTGGTACTATAAACTGCTAAAGTCGCTGCATAAGGGATATTTAAAAGTATATTATAGTATACACTATTCCAGAGAATAAAGAAAGTCAAACGGGTTTGACATAACATTTTCATTTGGGTGAACTATTCATGAGGTAACTATATAAAGTCAGTATGCATTGCATTCATTAGATTTTATTCCTCAACCCTGACACTAAATAGCATTTATTAAGGATTGGTCACAATTACATAATAATAACTGTAGATGAGGCTCCAAATATTTATGATTTTGAATCTAAAATGACTGACTACATTGGATTACATTTGATTTACAGTCCTGCACAGTTCTGTTCCACATAAAATAAGAATAACATGGTTGAAATGATCCAATTTAAGAGAGTATTTAAAAGATTAGGCCAATAAAACGTTGTGCACAATATAGTAGAGAAGAACATAAAGATGTTCTGGAAAAATCACAATAAGCCAAAGCACATAATGCCAAAACCACAACATGCAAATTTTGTTTCAGCTTTCAAATCCATGAGTTCTTCAATATCAGACATTTCTTGTTTCCAAAAATATATCTACTCCAAAAAATCTGGCATTTTGGAGAGAATAAATTGTAATGTCATATGCATAAAACTGCTTCTGATGTCTAAATGTTCTTAGAATGGACAAGATATGGGTCCTAATATATCAAATGTTTCACTATATTCTAGATGCACTGCAAACTGCAAATTTACCAAAACAAAACAGTTGCATCAAGAAATGCAGTTTACAGTCAAAAGCATAGAATTACTCCATCATTATCAACGACTTACAAAAGACCACACACACACACACACTGAAGGAAAATTGTCCAAAAATAAACAACATACTGTACAAAGCAACAAACAGGCAACAACCTTTCACCTCGCAAATTAGACTCAGAGAATGTGAAAGCATGTTCCCTTATCTAATCTTCTGGCTCATTCCTAAAGCCCCCCTCACAATAGTTATCCTGTCTGCTGTCATGCACAATTCAAACCTTGGAAGAATATTGGAATTACTATAATTTTCCTTTTGCTTTCACAAAAAAAAGGGGGCTGACTCCTCTCTTCTATTTGGTGAAGTTCTCCTTATCTGAGTCTTATTTCAACCTCTGTAACCAAGAGGGAGAGAGAGAGTGAGTTGGAAGGTGAATGGAGAGGGCAGGCTCACATCTGCAACTCTGCAGCCTCCTCAAACCCACCTCCTCCAACCCTGTGCTTTGCACAACCCTGACCATGGGACACCAGACAGAGTGAGTAAGGGGGATTTTATTCAATAAGACTCCAGCTCCGTGCACATCAAATTCTGGTAAATCTTTGTCTCTTCTTTCTTTAACTGTTACGATGCATTGATTCTCTTTATTGTTGTGGTATTTGCAATTTTTCCTCTGGCTGCAACCAGCATGTAGAAGATACTGTTTCACATCTCATTATCTGAAGGCTACCCCAACAGGTTAGGTCATTAAAAAAATGCTTGTTTGAAAATCATCCAGGGCTTCTTGAAAACCTTTTTTGTTTTGTTTGTTCATTTGATGGTGGTGTGCATTATTGTCTATGGAGGGTTGAGTTGATGTGTTTCCTTTTGCAAACATCTAAAAAAAGATGCAAGAGAAAACTGCATGTGCATAGAATCTCACATGCTTTGTGCTTTCTGACAGCGTTGCAAATCTTTGATCATGCATAGTAAATGTATAAGAAATGGTTATCAGTTCCTGGCTTGTGCCACTGTCACAAGTAAAGAATGAATGGAATTATTTAACAGGGCTTTGTCCGGCAGCCGGTTCACGGGTAAATGTGCCGACAGAAAGTTAAGAAACAATATAGCCTTCTTTAACTCATATGAGTTGTGTTTCCTTGTTTGGGTAACAGCTATGATTAAAAAAGGCTTCACAGAAGAACTGGAAAGGGCTCAAAAGGGAGATTCTCTAACAAACCGTAAGACATGTATTTTGATCACGTACGTAACTTGGTGGAAACTCCCTCGTAACAGCTCTGTCCTCGGTAGACTGTTGCCTTTACGGTCTTGATTATGTGAAATCGTTTCAGCGGTCTCTCTGATATAATGTTTTGGCTATTCCATTGGAGCCTGAGGAACTTGGCCCCCCATTTATTTTCCCCTCATGTTGGCAAACTAATTGAACATGCCTTACAGCAGTTGTTGATTTTGGTATTGAAAACCACTGGATTACAATAGCACATTTATAGCTGTGCAATGGAAAACAGGCAGAAAGGTTTTACTAAGACAATGGCTGCCAGTTAGAAAACATGAAGATAACTGATCCAAGACAAGCCATACACAATAAATCAAGAGTAACTACAGATGTGGAGCGAAATTAGAGCTACATGAAACATGCCTTTCCTGGGAAACCGACTAAATAAAGCATACATATTTGGCAGCTTTCCCGCTTAAAATACGGAGAGGTTAACGCCTAATCTGGAGGACAGGGAGGAATCAGCTGTTCAGCAAGAGTTCCTGCCTCCCACATCCAGTTGGACAAAACCCATCAACGTGAAATAAATCTTAAACAAGTATCACTACAAACACGATGAATTACTTGTGCTAAAATTCCACTGAGATTTAAATGTCATGTTTTGGAAGATACATGCGGAGGATACATTCGGCTAAATTTAAGGGGAAATTCCTTTTGGTAGCAGAGACTGTTTAAACACGTTGCATTCCAGCTACATTACCGTTCCAAAGTCTCCTTCATCTTGACCTGGGGAACCATAAACTGTCTGGAGGTCCCCAATAACTTCCAAGGTCAATGAGTATGTCATGGTGCAGAGAAAAGCCATATGGTTAGAGGTTGAGACTGGCAGACACACGTCTTTCCAGTTTTTGTGCAAGACTTATAGTCATTAATTCCGTGAGAGTAATGGTGCATTACCAAATAGTCAATTCCAATTCATTCTGCACAGTCTTCTTTTTTTTGGTCTAAAGTTGCTTTGGCTTTGTCACATGAACTTGAGCTTGGTCATTGTCCAGAGCAATAATTTCTCTGGCAGAAACATAACCAGTTCCAAGGAATAGTGTGTGGGGAGGCGTGGGCTTGGGTGCTTAGCATGCAGACATGCTCATGAAAATAATGGAGCATTCCACATACCTCCCCTTGTGCTGGGCTCTGCAAAGCACTGGAGTGTGGGCTAGTTCTACCATAGTCTCTTGTAGCTAGACCTTCAGACTGACAGGAGAAGGTCTGGACTCCATCGCAGCTTTCATTGGCCAAGGACTGCCCAAGAAGACGTCTGACTGACATGTAAAGCAACCAATCACAGTTAGTTTTGTTCCGTGTCATGTTTAGGGGTATAAATGTCCCTAGGATAAAAGACCAGCGTGCATGAATAATAAATTATTCATTCAAGAACGTTGTGCAAGTTTCCTGCAAATATGGAGCCACAAACTTCACATACTTCTGAAAATCCAGAGTTTAGTTTATCCTGATTAGAGCTCATTGTCAGGTATAAAAACTATGGTGTTCTTCTTCCATGAGGGCATTTGTCATCTCAACGGCTTTGTTTCCAGGTGGACCGTTAAATAACATGACACACAATTCAACCAATCAGATGACGACTTTCAAAACTCCTAAAGTGCTTCCCATTTTGTGTGCCTCATGCATCAGACATTTAGCCAACAATCCATTGGTGTGTTAAGACTATTTCTACCATGGCTGTCTTATGATACACCTCCAGGTCAAAGACTGGAAAACCCCAGTCACATAACTAGTCAAGGTTGAAGGATGTATAAAAGTTTCACTCGTGTTCCAGTCATGCTCATGATCTCTCAGCTGGTGAGGATGGTAACTTGCATTGGGACTCTTTGTTTGACCGCAGCAATCAGTAGGCCAAAAAACACCCCCACCCCTTCCAAAGGGAGCATATCTGGTCTTCATTTATTACGGTGTTTTTTATAATGTCTGCAGTTCTTTCTCTTGCTGGAAACAGCACACAGTTTCCAGCAGCCAGAGTTAGATGAAGAACTGTTTCAAAACATGACATGGTTTTACTTGGTGAGATTGTTAGGCTAAAACAATAGCACTAATAATAAATTCACCCAACTGGACTATTCAGTGTTCAATACAAGTTAAGCTCAATCGACAGCACTTGTGCCATAATGTTGATTATTACAAAAGTCAATTTTGAAGTGAATGGGGACATGTTTGTAGTGAGAATAATCAGTTACTTTTCCATGCATTTTTACAACTTTGTTGCCATGACAACACAACGTCCAAAACCATAAAACGAACCTAAAAGGGACAAGAACCTTATAACTTAAGTAATACGTTTTAACAGATGAATGGAGGAAACTTTCTTTTATAACATTGTAAGCTTCACATACAAGCTCCACAAACTTCACATTTGCTCCAAAATACATTTTTAAGTGTCTCACCATTAGCTTGATTTTTGCTTTTTGAAAAGGACATTTAGGCCAAAGTGATGTCATTACTTGAATTTAGATGCTCAAATGATAGAGAAGTATTGCAAAATATGCCTGTTTCTCATTCCAGTTGCACAAACAGGTTACACACTACCATCATTTTCATTCTGTGGTTTTCATAGCCAGGCCTAGAAATGCACAACCATCTTTGTTAGCATGTACCGAATTAACCGCATTATATTCTGCGTGCAATAAATGCAACAAAACTGCATCTTCTCAATTGTTTTGGTTGAGATGTTTACATTGATTACAAAAAGCATGTTATTCATTTAACAAAACTATAAAACTAAACATCTGCAAATCCAATGGCATTCATGTGAAGACATCTAAGAAATGCATGTCTTATCTTCATTTCTCTTCAGGTGCTAAACTGGAGCTTGGTACTTCAGGAACATGGGTCGCAAAATGAGATCCATGCATTTTGTGTTTTGGTGTCTTTACTTCATGCTCCTTCACTTGTTTTGCACAGCACAAGATGAGGACATGAGATTAAGTAAGCGTGCTTCTTTCATCTTCATTAGTGAATGTTGCATGAAGACTATTGACTCAGATAATAACATGACCTAATGATGCAGTGTTCATTGTGGCTGTCTTAATGCAGAGCAAATGCAACAATTTTGCAACTTCTTTAGAGCAATTTGGTCATTAAATTGGAAACACGAGATGGATTGTCAATTCTTTAATAACATAACCATTACCAGAAACATAGAAACAATAAAGATAGAACTTTGGAGTCAAGTGTCCAAAATATGCAAAGGTCCAATGGGCAACTCACGCTGTGGAAAATCTTGTATTCATTCCTCAATTTCAGGTTGTAGGACAGCGCCAAGTGATTTAGTATTCATACTCGATGGATCATGGAGTGTGGATGACATAAACTTTGAGATTGTCAAACGGTGGCTGATGAATATCACCATGAGCTTCAACATCGGTCAGAAGTTCACCCAGGTTGGGGTGGTGCAATACAGCGACGACCCCTTCTTACATATACCCCTGGGAAAACATTTCTCAAGCAATAACCTCATCAAGGCCATGGAGTCCATAGAATACATGGGTGGAAACACAAACACAGGGAAGGCTATCAAGTTTGCCAATGACAAACTCTTTGCCCTGTCCGAGCGAGGTCCGAATGGCATTGCAAAAATTGCTGTGGTTCTGACGGATGGGAAGTCACAAGATGAAGTGCTGGCAGCTGCAGAAGCTGCAAGGAAAAAGGGGATAATTCTCTTTGCAATTGGCGTTGGGTCTGAGACCGAGGACGCAGAGCTCAGGGCCATTGCCAACAAACCATCCTCAGCCTATGTTTTTTCAGTGGAAGACTATAAAGCTATCTCAAAGATCCGTGAAATTATTAGGCAGAAGCTGTGCGAAGGTAAGCCTCCATGTTCCTCTATGTCTCTAGACTTTCATATCTCACTCATTTTTATAATATTTTTCACAGGTGTCACATTGAAATAATACAGTTTAATGGCACGAGCTTCAGCAGGGGAGCAAGACTTTGTTGCTTTAGCATGTCATGTACCCGTGGAGACAGGTTTATGGCATCTCCATGTTTGAGCTGCATGCATAATTTGGTGCCTCTCGCCTCAATGCACGAATTACAGTTTGATTTATGTCCTACAACATCCAGGTGTTATGAGTTCACCAAGATGGCTATAAATTGTCTAAAAGTGTGAAATTAAAATCATGCATTGCTGAGCACGTTTCAGAGATTGTGACATCAATTTCTAGCAAGCTTACAAGAAAACAAGCCAGTCTGATTGTTTGAAAGTTCTGCAAAAGGCCAGTAATTCTGAGATGCGTATATACAGTTAATCCAATTTTGGCAGATGCAAATGTCAAGTTTGTGTAGCTCCCTCCCTCCAACCAAAATTATTTCATTACTGAAGGTATGACTTGGATTTGCAGTAAAGCAGAAGTAGCACAATATTAAGTGTGACAGTGGTGGAAAAGAAGTGATCAAATGCCACTTGATCAACCGCAATTCTTGAAATGGGGAGGAAGCATATTTCCCAAGGCGCTTTTCTCTTCTTACAATGGATTACTCAGCAACAACTCCAGACAGACTTGTTAAAAAGTGAAAATAAAAACTGGAGTGCAATATAGCCATTAGGTTGGAAATCAGGCCTCCATAAAAGTTTGCTAAGACTCCCGAAGCTCATGATAGAAAGTCTTTCCGGACACTGGAAAAGTTAATGATTAAGACAGTTTATGATAGAAGAGGTCATCTTTTGTCTGGTATTTGCAATGGCGGGGACATTCTTCAGTCGGACTGCATATTTGCACAATGTCCAGTGTCCCACTCCAAGGTATTCCTATGATTTTTTTAGACTAGTCTTCAAGCCAAATAAAATAAACCACCTCATTCCATAAATATTTAACCCTTTTCAGCCATTTTTTCTCACCGTGCACACATTGTTGGGATATTAATATCAAAGCAAATTCAAGGCAGAGGAATGATAGGGTATTGCTTAGTTAGCTTAATTCCGATTAAGGCATTATTTGTTGCAGTGTGGCAATTTACTTTGTTTTCTCTATTTAATGTACCATAGAGACTGTATGTCCAGCAAAGATTCCATTTAATTCTCGAGATGCAAAAGGATTTGACATTCTCCTCCATCTCAACTTGGCTAAAAAAGCCAAAAAGACACAAGGATCATTTTATGGCAGCAAAGCCTACCAGGTGACATCCCGAGTTGACCTGAGTGAGAGCACTAGGTAAAGGTATTTATGGTATCAAGCTTCCCTGTCCTTGCAAGAATACTCTGTTTGATTTGAAACATCATGTTCCCCTTAATGTCCGTAGGATGTTATTTCCAGGCGGACTTCCACCATCCTATGTTTTTGTGGCCACGCTGAAGTACAAAGGCTCTGTGGTTATGGAGGACTGGGATCTGTGGCGTATACAGACTAAGGATGAAAAGCCTCAAATGGCTGTTACTCTAAATGGTCTGGACAGAACAGTGATATTCACCACCACCACCAGCAGTACACCAAGCGGAACTCAAACTGTGGTCTTCACAAAAACACCTGCTAAGGTAAATACAGAGCATGAGAAAAGAACACTGAAACAAATTCATGAACTTTGTGTGCTAATTAGTCAAATCTATCAGTTAATTCGGAAACACTTTATTTTGATGATCCACTTTAGACATTCTACTACCTATAAGTAACTTTGCAGCTAACTCTCATTAGAGTATTAGTAGAAAGTCTGCTTAATATCCGCTAACACTTTATTTTGATGCTCCCCAACAGACATTCTACTGACTATAAGTAAAGACATGTCAACTTATTCTACATTCCTGAACCTTAACACCTAACCCTAACCTAACAGTCAACTACAGTCTACAAATACTTTAATGAATGTTAGTTGACATGTTGTTCCAAATGTTAGTTGACATTAAGTTCCAAAGTTAATTATAGTTAGTAGAATGTCTAAAGTGGACCATCGATCGAAATAAAGTGTAATCGTTCATTCTCCATCAGTTCAAATTTCCATGGCATACTGTACACCTAGAAAATCCATGCTGGTCATCACCAGCATACTAAATTTTGTGTTTTGGATGCTTGGGAACCTCAATTGATGTGCTATGTCTCAATGGTTCTTCTCCACTAGTTTCACCAAAAAGACCATGCTGGTTGATGTTTTGGTCCATGAGCTATATCAGCACTTATCCAGCCTGAAAATCAATGTGTGCCTAAGCTGGTTTAAGCAGGGATACTACAATTTCAGACAAATTTCACACAGAACATCCCTTAACAGTGGACTCACTGCCCATGGCAGCCAAGTAAACTTACTAGTCCCATATGGATAAAACGTTGGTGGAATTTGGAAAAGAAATACTGAAACCATTTTTATACATCATAAACTTGATCTTTTCCGTTTAGTTTATATTCTCTCCAATATACTTTATGGAATGATTCCTTAGTATTTAAATTATGAGCACCCAAAGTTGAGTGACAGAGCCCTAGTATGTTTATTATTTAACATTTACATAAATCCTTCGTTTATGATGCCAATGCTACTGAATAACAGTTTACTAAGACGTTCTTATCTTCCTCATAGTCATAAAATCCCATTTATGGTATATAAACTAAATGTACTAATGTAAAACTTTAATGTAAAACACCATCATCTGCATTCTTCTATGTTTTATGTATTTTACAGAAACTATTTGATGAAAAATGGCATCAGTTGCGTCTTCTAGTAACAGAGGAAGACGTCACTCTGTACGTCGATGATCTGGAAATTGAAACCTTGGCACTAGAGCCTCCTGATGGTATTTTTATTAACGGAAAAACACAGGTTGGGAAGTACGTCAGCAAAGAAACAACTGTACCTGTAAGTATGTTAATGACTTCTTGGATCTCATTATGTTATGTTGTTACTCTGTAGTTACTGTCTGTTATTATATAATTTTTGTTAGTAAAGCACTCTATGGTTATGTTAGACTTGCTGAAACTTGTATACATTGTATTACATTATATTTAACTACTAAATTATAAATAATCACTCAATATCTTACTCAAAGTGTGAGTTATTGCCTGCTATAAGCACCAATACAATATACTTCCTTACTGAATATCTCACTAAATACACTGGCTGGTGCTGTGGAGATGTGATGTTGAGGTGATGCCTGTCCATTCAGGTGAATCCAAGAGTAGTAAAATTTAGATTTTTATTGTTTTGCTTTTTTATTTGTATTTTGATTGTTGAAGTTAGCTTATTGTAACACTGTTATAAGGGACACCTAACATTAAAGGGGCTATATATAAGAATTGTAATGTTTTAGTCGCTTTTTTATTGTCGATACTTGAACAGTTTGTAGCAAAATTTAAAGCATGAGACCTTCCCCGACTTCCTAGCTGGTCTTTGAAAGCCTTTTAAGTACTCAGGATGTTTTGGCCAAAAAAATCCAAAGGAAGTTACGTTCAGGTGCGCTCCCGAGAGCCTCTCTTCCGTTCAATGACACATGAAACGAATGCTTATGTTCAGGATAATGCAGAAAGAGCTATTCTTTGCTGTAATATCATTAGCCACGTTTCCATTACCCTTCAAATTGAAATTGTGAATGGAAAATACACCCAATGAAAACACATCAATTTCGCAAAAACTCCCATATATTGCAAAAAAGTTTTTACGCTCGCATGAGACGGGTTTCAGTCAATTCGAAAAAGGAATATTTCACAAAACTGCCATTGAAACAGCTTTTCCGCATTTACAGGTCACCTGACGTACGTAAAAGTTTATCATTCTTTAAAGATGACGCGTACGTTTGAACTGAACACGAGACAGTTCTTCATTAAACTCATAAAAGACAAAAGTATTACAGGAATACTGGACTCTAAACAACAAAGAAATGCCACAATTTATCAAGACCTTGAAGCAAAGGAGGGAGAAACATCTCATACGTGCCGTCCCAAATATAAGGGGCTTTCCTTGCCATTAATGTTTCAATAACACGCCTATGTCTCCTTTGATTAAAAATAATGGCTAGTGCAGGATATAAATAAACCTATTTCGAAAATATGGCAAAAGTTTTGCGCAAATCTGTAAAGGAAACGCAGCTACTTTGTCATGCAAAGAAAAGATATTAATTCAAACCAGTATCACATAGCCAGATCTATATAGTGTAAAGTCTTGAATATACTTTATAATCAATCTATCATAACAGTGTAATTTTAATTACCTCATCTGTCGACATGAGCTGGTGCAAACATATCCACATTATTTTGTTCAGATGCTTTCTTAACTGCTGTTTTCTCACCACTGTTATTTTTGTTTTGTGTTTATTTTGTTATTGAGAGGAAAGTGCGAAGCACATATTTACCTCAACTAAACATATATCACTGCAAATGTATTTCTAACTTGTTTTTACTTCTAAGTGAAGAACAAAATAAAAACTTGACTGAGTATATCGGGCCTTGAATCACATTCAGTTACTTGTACGGTATGTTAACAATAAGATGCTGGCTGCAGTTCACTTTTCAGCCACTGGTGTCGCTAGTAACAAGAGTTTCTGAATTCTACATATAGCCCCTTTAATATAATTTTGTGTGCGTCATATGTCTCAACTTAAACTCTATTTTGATTATTCGACGACTATTTTTTGGGACTACAAACAAAATGATGACACAGCTTATTATACAATTGTATGAAGGAATATTGGAGGTTATTGGAATATGTGTGTGTGTGTTTGTGATCTTTTGCCAAAGAATAAACATATCATGGACCATTTTCAACATGTGCAACACAGCAGTGTTCTTGTGGAAAAGCAGACACCATGTCATGTTGACACCAAATGTGTTTTATATGCAACAGGGAGCACCTTTGCCCTTCCCTACAGCCCCAGGCCTTGACTTTTCTAAAACTACCTGTATTTTGTACTCTCTCCCTCTCCCTGAACAGTTTGAAATTCAAAAACTCAGAATCTACTGTGACCCTGAGCAGAATAACAGGGAAACGGCCTGTGAAATACCTGGAGTTGTAAGTACCAGAATCTTGGATGTTTCTGTTTTGGCCCATTCAAATAAATTCCACCTATTAAATGTCACATCAGATTAGGAGTGACTTGATATTTGAAATATTTTATCTTATTACCAGACCATTCTTTAAAAAGTCTTTAACCCTTGTGTTCTGTTCGAATTCTGTGTACTCCCCTTATGGACCGGGTCAAATTGACCCTAATTCCTCAAAAATCACACTATGAAAAACAACAAAGATTTAGATACAAACTGTAAACTTTTAATATCAACATTTGTCAAACATTACAAAAACATTATATCTGAAAATATGATTTATGAAAATGTTTTTAAAACATTTAAAACAGTTTTGTTTTGACAAAATTGGAAAATAAACAGTTTACTGATTTTTTTTGCATATATATATTTTTTTCCTTTTTTTTTTTTTTTACATTTTATGCTTTGAACATCGTAACTGAACAAAAAATTTTGCTGTATAATGAAAATTTTTCATTTTCCTAAGTTAACTTTCCCTAGTTTCCTAAGACCTATTTTCCTAGTTTCATTATTCACTCACTGGGAAGTGAAAAACCAAACATAACAAATTCATACATCAAATAAATGTTTTTTATTTATTTTTTGGCTCTGTAAAGCTGCCTTTGAAAATCCTACATAAAAGTTTTGGTTAAAAGCTAGGTATTTTAGATATTTTGAATATTGAAATGAGAGCTTATTTTACTATCTGTGTCTGACAAAGATTTTCAACTGTAATTTGCAAATAATTCTGAACACTGTAATTTTAGCTTTTTCAAGTGTGTTTGGTTAGGGTTAGAGCACTTTTAGATGCACTTGCAAGTTAGAACTGGAGTTGAAGTGCCCTTACATACAGAAAATAAATGTTTTTATTTTGTGTCTGTACAGTTGCTTTTGAATGGCTGTCTATGAGGGTCAAATTGACCCGCGAACATCACAAACCTAACAGTAATTTTGTTTGTATATGTCAAAACACATCAGCATGTTGAAACTTTGCATGCATGTTCATCATGATAAATGAGAAAAAGTCACAAAATATCAAGAAAAAAAACAAAGGTTAACCAGTATTTCCAATAACTTGAAAATCGAAACGGGTCAAATTGACCCGCAACATAACACAAGGGTTAAAAACTGATAATTAAAACACAAAGGACTTTGTTCATTTTATATTTATTTTTGTAATTCCAGTCATTCCAGTCCACCATGTTTTGGAATGTGTTTAATGTAATAATCTGATCTAATCTGTTCAATTATACTAACAAGATAAAAGCACCTTCTCGGCTTCAAACAGAGCATGACATTTGCTCAGAAATGTTTATTAGAAAGTCAATCACCTGCTTTGTCATTGTTCTCAGTTCACTAACTCAGTTTGCCTGACTTGGCATTTCTTTCAGACTCACTGTTTAGAGATGTAGGGCATTTATAAACACTGTGACAAACAATTTATTTCACATTATTTTCTTTTTCTGCTTACGCATGTAATGCCTTGCACCTCTTAGCAAAATTATGGTTTTTGCCCTGGCCCCTTCATGTATTTTCACTCCTTTCATTTTTTAGGATGGAGAGGTATGTACTTTTGAAGATGGCTTTGCTCGCTTTCAAAAGTAACTGCTTATCTCATTTTGAATTGCAGAGGTAAGATTTGCCTCATGTTCTTTTGGAGTGTCTAAGTATTGTCATAGCTGGACAAATCTTTCAAAGGACTGTCAGCAGCTTTGAGAATGTATGGCTGAATGATGCTGGTGTGAACCTTCTCACTCACAAAAGCTGAAAAAAAAAGTAAAACTGTTTGTATATAAAGTACTTTGGCAGTGCCATGGTACTCCACTGTACTTTAACGTCCCCTTGTAGTCAATAATCTTATCCCTTAAAACTCAACAAACTTAGCCTACATATTTAAATGTTTTTTTCCTTGACATTTTTTTTCTTTGTGCCTTAAAATAGCTTGAATGTAAATCTACACCCTTGCCTCATTTAGTATACGCGTATATTTCTATATTATATTATATAGTAAGTATATATTTTATGAATATGCAAATTAGCCCCGCCTCCACTCATTCAGAGATCCACTGGTTGACGATCACACGTTGATCTGATTGGTTACAAAGTCGTTTGTGACGTCAGAAACACCAGCGATTTCAAACCGTGTTTTTGAGACTGTCTTTGGTTCACTGCAGTTTTAAGGAGAAAATACTCAGCAATGCTGTCGACTTAAGAATTTACACATGGTTTGTCGCTTTGTACACAAAGCGTATTAAAAGCGTCACATAGACAAATAAACAACATTAAAAGCTTGATTTTCACCACAGGGGGACTGTGTCATTGTCATGGTGCCATGTCTAAATCTCTGTACTCTTTAGTGGATCACATGGTCACTTAAAGTCAGCATGAAATGGAAGTTGCAACTGTATTTTCTCCCCTATTGTAACATATGTCGGCTTCTCCAACAAGAATGTAGGGAGAGTCCATTAGGAATTGACTGGATCGTTGTCGTTAGCTAATTTATGCGATTGATGTGAGTGACAGGTTGCTGAAGGGGAGGGATTATTGTCCCGTCCTCACGCTGGTGCACAGGCCATCAGAAGAGATCGAGTCCTTGCGAGGGGAAGGGGAAGCCATTTTTATGAAATATTACAAGGGCACTAACCTGGGTTTCCCCATACTGCCTTTGCGCAACCCGATTTTATTCACGCTGCTAGGTAGTCTGGATACCATGGACCAAATTTTCACCTCAGCGAGGGGACCAATCACAGAACGGGGAGGGAGCAGCAAGACGATGACGACGTCTATGCCACACACCGAAGCAGTTTGTTTATACCTATGGATCAAACATGGCAGCAGACGCGAAGTTAACTTTCGATGCAGCCTTAGATATTGTTCTGAGTAGTTTAGAACGCAAATAAATCTCTGACCCATCGTCTTCTTCCTCGTCTAATTCCTTTCGCTCTACATACGTCATCTGGTTTTATTGAAACGATTGGCTATGAGCTACGTACAGGCGCATTTGATAGACATTCGTAGCACCCAATAAAAGGCTCTGGGCATTCGTAAACCACGCCTCAAATACGAGAAAATCAACATGTGGTTCCCAGACCACGTCTCAATGTCGACGAGACGTGGTCTGAGGTTAGCCAGGCTACAAAGGGCACATGAATGAAAGAAAAAAAAAACTATATAAGTTAAATCATTTAAAATAAACATGGCAATTTTCCATAAAAATAAGATTTGTCAATTTTGATTTCATGGTGACTTTAAAATGGCTAATGTCGTGAAACAGGTTCAACAGTGTTGTGCTGTAGGCTGTCTCTATTATTGTCGTTTTGCTATTTCCAAACTACTGGGCCGTACTTCTGAATGTACTGCTGAATACTGCAAGTTTAGCTTATGCCACAAACAGGAAATGTCTGACGCTTTATGTTTTATGAAATGCAGCATAGTAAACAATGTTTTTCTATTTTCTTAGTGTGATAATGTACCAGGTGACATTGATCCAACCCCAGAGCCCTGCATCTGTCCACCTGGGCCGCCAGGTACCCCAGGAATGAAGGTACGATATAGCCTATCCCTCAACCCCTTTGGCAGATTTATATAACAGAACACCTTATATAATCTCTTCATTGCATCAAAAGTCATTGCATTGCACATAAAAGTCTCCAAAAGGCAAGTTTGAAGTTTATAAGTTCATGCCTGAAAACACATGCTGCTTTTCAACAGAATTCTGAAGTTACAGACAGATTTACTACATTACTATACTATAATATATATGGATTCATTTATTCAATATTATAATTATAGTCTACTGTTTATCATTTTATCATTCAAGATACCAATACATATTCTTATATAAAGCAAAGCATTTATGAATAAATATATACAGGGGTTTACATTAACGTCCGCCAACCTGCCAAATGTGTGTGTATTTCAGCAGTGGCGTGTAACGCAGTCACTCCAACATAGCCACTTTGGCGGGTTGAATTTTATATATATATATATATATATATATATATATATATATATATATATATATATATATATATATATATATATATATATATATATATATATATATATATATATATATATATATATATATATATATATATACACTTTTCAATTGTAGTCTTTTATAAAGGCACCTGAAATAATAATCTAAGTGTTAAATGGTTTTAATGGTGCCCATGAAAATGTATTTAATTTTTAAAAAAAGAAAAAAATAGCTGTAACCCATTGGCAAAGATACACATAGTTAGATAAGCCTTTCTGTTCTTTGATCAATATTTTGTAATGAAATTATGTAAATACTATTTACAATGCATCACTTGTACATTCTCTAGGGAGAACAGGGCATAATAGGAGATCCGGGTCAAACTGGTCCAGCTGGTGCTGATGGTAAGCCTGTGAGTACTACACAGTTTAATACAACCTCAAATTAACTTGAGCACGTGTCGTGTTCAATGCAGTATCCAGAACTTCAACATGCATTAACATCCTCACAAGTTTGTTTGGATAGAATTGGTGAAGGTGAAGACAAAATTCACCTTACAAGAATACTGGTATTCTCATTCCCTCAGAATGTAAGAGGATACAAGACCGTATGTCTGGTAACATGAGCTAATATGTGTCAGTAAATATACAATGAGTTCCAAAAGTAGAGATTATTAATGAGGTTTATTTATTTATTCTGCCTCAGAAGACGCAGTAGTCCAGCGCCGCAGCTACACATTGTCATGTTGTAAACAAGACAACATCTGTATTGCAAACCCACAAATCAGATCCTAACAGTTGGTACACAATGTGGACAGTCAATAATTTTAGATCAGATTCCAATCGGATACACAAATAATCGGATTTTGAACGTAGCCTTAGAAAACAAAGCAGAGTGTAGTCATTTATATTTACTAAACAGCATTGCTACTAGTTGCAATAATATAGAATTTATATGCAATGAATGTAACTTTGTTGATTCATTTTAAGTTTTCAAATCATTCACTCAGTGACTTTTTACATATAAATGTACAGATTTTTAAATATAAAATAGTTCTAATAGTTTTATGATCTGTCCTGACAGTGACATAAATAGGATAAGTTAATATTACAAACTGGTTCTTTGCATTTATTGTCAGTACTTGGCTCTCAGTTCACATGGGTAGGGTACTTTGTACCATGTGTGTGGATGACTGTCTTCATCCGCCATTTTTAACCCAGGACAAACCCTAAGGAACTGTCCATTTTAAAATATTAGTTGTACTGGGTCAAGTGTTGCCGAAAGAGATGCGCGTGCTCGGGTTGAGTTGGGCAGGTCATTCCACCAGCAGGGAGCAGTCCAGGTAAAGGTCAGTGAAAGTGATTTTGTGCCTCTTTGAGATGGCACCACAAGGCGCTGTTCACTTGCAAGCTTCTGGAGGGCAAATAGGTCTGAAGTAGTGAGTTTAGGTATAGGGGTGCAGAGCCAGTGGTTGTTCTGTAGGCAAACATCGGTGCCTAGAATTTGATGCGAGCAGCGATTGGCAACCAATGCAATTTTATGAGGAGAGGTGTGACTCTTCGGCTCGTTAAAGATCACTCTTGTTGCAGCATTCTGGATCAGTTGCAGAGGTTTGACAGTGCATGCTGGAAGGCCTGCCAAGAGAGTATTACAATTGTCCAATCTGGATAGAACAAGAGTTTGGACGAGGAGTTGTGTAGCATGCTCCGATAGGAATGGCCTGATCCTCCTAATGTTGTATTTAGCAAATCTGCAGGACCGGCAGTTCTAGCAATGTGGTCTGTAAAGTTCAACTGATCATCAATCAGAACTCCAAAGCTACGTCCCATTTGCATTAATATCCGTCCTAAATAGTATTTGAAATTAGAATTAGTGTGTCCCAAATGTTGAAACGAGTATTCCAAAGATCCTCGGATGGTCTACTTTTTCCGGTTAGAATCCGAAGTGCAGATCCGTGCACACTCTAACGGCTGATATTGCCCACAACCCATTGCGTGTTGGAAGGGGATTCGATGAGAACTACAAACATGGGGGAGAAAAGTGTTAAAAAACTACAAAGCGGATGTGCGAGTTCGATGGTTAAGTAGAAAGGTTTAGACAAAGGGGTTGGAGTGATTAATTATCAGTATCTAACCTTACGAAAAAATATTTATTCAATGTTATCCACATTATATTTCATCTGCATTGTGAACTTTTTTTAATGATACTTTGAATGGCTATTAACTTTTACATGCATCATTATTCAAATTGCAAACACATGAAGAGAGTCTTCCACATTAAAAAAACGATTGGCAGATCAACATGCTGCTACATTTCTCTCCAAAACGGTAGGAAATTAAATTAAATTGAATGTGGAGGATTTTAACTGTCAGAAGATGATTGACAGGGCAGTTGCAGTGACAGAATGCACGTAAATTCAAATTCAAATTAAAATTTATTTGTATAGCGCTTTTCACAATACATATTGTTTCAAAGCAGCTTTACAGAAAGTGCATTTCAGAAATGTACATAGAAGAATATAGTTAGTTAATCATCATGTATTAATTTAGGGACTAAGCGACAGAGAGATGTCCGTTAAAGATGACGCAGTAGTATATCCCAAACGTTTGCCTACTCTTCTGCTACACACTCAAAAGTATGTACTTTTTCTTCACAAAGTACTGTGCATACTTTTAGGATGAAATATAAGTAGGCGAATTGGGATGAGCACAAGGTTCCTGGATGTTCTGGATGGTTGACAAACCTAGCTAAATAGAGAAGTTGTGATGGAGTGTTGGCTTGGCCGTGTCCACAAGCAGCTCTGTCTTCGCAGGGTTTAGTTGAAGGTGGTTGTCCTTCATCCAGCAAGAAATGTCTGTCAGGCAGGCTGAGATGCGAGCAGCTACCTTCGGATCCTCTGGTTGGAATGAGAGGTACAGTAGAGTTGTGTTTCATCAGCATAACAGTGATAGGAAAAAAATGTTTCTGAATGACAGATCCTAGTGATGACATGTAGATGGAGAAAAGAAGTGGTCCAAGCACTGAACCCTGAGGCACCCCAGTAGCTAGATGTTGCGACTTAGACACCTCACCAATCCACGACACCCTGAAGGACCTATCTGAGAGGTAAGACTTGAACCATTGGAGTGCGGTTCCAGAGATGCCCTTTGTCTTGAGGGTTGACAGGAGGATCTGGTGGTTAACTCTGTCAAAAGCAGCAGACAGATCCAACAAGATGAGTACTGAGAATTTGGAAGCTGCTCTTGCCAGTCTCAGAGCTTCAATTACCGAGAACAGGGCAGTCTCTCAGTCGAGTGTTCGCTTTTGAAATTCGTTCAAGTGTTTTAGCAATGAATGGAAGAAGGGATACCGGTCTGTAATTTTCTAGATGTGCTGTATTTAGAGTGGGTTTCTTAAGCAGTGGGGTTACCTGAGCCTGCTTAAATGCTGTGGGAAAAGTACCAGTGTAAAGAGAGGTGTTGATGATAGGTAAAACCTGTGAGTGCAGGTACAACTGAAGAATAAATGGCTTGTATGAGCTGAGTGGGGATAGGACAAAGATTTATCCCCAAGTATCTTTAATTTCACCAAGCTGATCGCTCACTAAAAAAGCTATGTTTTCAGCCCATTTTTTTATTTTCACATAAAGCAGTGATTTCTAAGTGGCTGAGTTGTTTACTTAATTTTTTAATAAGTCTTCCCATTAAAGCCATTATTCCGTTCATTCAGACTGATTTACACAAGAAAAAAAGAGGCAGGACTGATCGCACAAACCAATCATATCCAATCATAGCACGATGGAGACATTGCCTCCTCTCATGTGACTCCCCCATTCATTCTCAATTACCCCTCACTAAACTCAGCGAATGCTTTAGAGTGTCTGTTAAAACTCAATGGGCTGAGGGAAGGCAAGAGAGACGTGGACTCCTGCTGTTCCTGTTGGACAGTGTTACATTATAAAAACAATTGATTCATACACTTTTTAATGTCATATTATCTTTGTTTTATTTTTGTAATATGGACTATTTTCTCATCCAATTTTTTGAGGAGGCTCTGCCTCCCTTGCCTCCTCGAAGGAAACGCCCCTGGTTAGTGGGCATTTGTAGGGTTGAAATTTTGACTGCAGCTGCAGTTTTTCTCAGCATGAGTTAGGCTAGTTTGACTGAAAAAAATGTGTTGTGCATGAATGATGAACGACCCTCGGAAGAGCTCTGAACATTAGGTGAATGTGCAATAACAACACCTGGATGCCATACTTGCAAGTCTTCATATCTTTATGAACACATGTCCACATTATTCACATATGCCTGCATGTTTAGTCAATAAACCGCAGGTTTTTATTGAAGTAAAGCATATTTCACCTCATATATTTTCACTATACTTATAGTATTTGCAGATAACCAACAGTTAATGTACCTAATACAATGTTAAAGTAAACATTTCTGTGCAAACTGTCAAAATCTAAATAGGTTATAGATATAATAAATAATGAGAAATCAAACTTTGCTTTTCTGCCTCTAATAATTCTAAAAAAATAACTCAAAGTCAAGGGGCACCAAAGTACACGTTTGTGGAAAACCTTTTCCACCCTCTTTTGTGAAAATGTTTATTGTCAAGTCAATGTAAAGCTAACTGTTTAAATCAATACAATATATCTATTGAGAATAATCTTATGAATATATTGCCCTTTCTTGTCAATTGCGTACAGTCTTCTCAGAGAATATGCAATATTCTCACTAGTCAACAATATTTTTGTTTCAAAAAGGTCTGAATAAAAAAAAAAAAAAAAAAAAAAAAAAAACGTGGGGTTTATTTTATGTCTCAAAAACAAAGACATGAGTGTCATCGTCCAGCTGGAGTCTGCACAAATGTTTCACGTAGGCGCATACAGACTGCATACACTAATAATAAATAATACTCATGACATATTTCTTCCAGACCTCTGAAATCTTCACATGAACTTTATCTCTTGAACTTGCCATTTTAGTTCTTGTCTTTGTATGTAAAAACAATGTCCTTTTCAAAATACATTTCACAGCGAACAAAGATCAAAAGTTCACTTGTTACCAAAATAGTTCAACAATTTTATGTTTCCAGAAACCGTAGTTTCAACGAACATTCGCAAACATCAAGTTGTGTGGGTCGAACTACAGTTCTCAATCTGTGGTTAAAACAGCATATTTTCTTGTTAGTGTGATGTGGACCTACATACAGATTACACTTTATTTCTAACTGTAAGTAACTAAGTAACAAAATAAGCAAGCTAACATGTAGTACAATCTACATCTGTCATTCTATGCAAATTTATATGAGGGAGAATGAAAACACTATTATTGAAGAGTATGCATGAGTGTAAGTGTGCTACAAGCCTGGGGAAACCCCGAAGTATGATGTAAGAAGGAATATGCAATTGAATCAGACATCTAAAAATAAAGCAAAACAACAGAGAACAAAAGTAGCAAAGTAGTCCTCAGATGCCATGTTCATTATTAATAGCAATAATCCAAAATTAATTTAATCTCAAACTGATTAACTGGTCAAAGTTATTTCGTCACCACCTGCATGAAATCATTAACGACAGTTCTGAACTCTTTAACTGTATTCTTATTCTTGAGGTTTTGGGAAACAGATGTGACCATTTATCCAATTATGTATTGCACAAGAAGCAAATTATATTGTTGTACGGGAAACCGTTCTCGGATCAGTTAACCTGACTCACTAGAACGAAAGTTTTACTTTCATCAACCTTTGGTTCTTTTTAAACGTGACAGTAAGCAAACATTTGGTAACATGCTAGCAACAATAAACCTGTTCCATAAAATAGCAGTGGATGGGAAATGCTATTCAAGCTGCAAAAGGCATTCATATAGTATTCACAGTCATCTAAAGGTATTAGGTATTGGTAAGAAACTTTAAATCGTTATTCAGTTAAGCCACGTGTTGATGCACTAACGTCTGCCATCAAAAAGTTTAACACAAGTCACTTTTGAAGCTCACAGTAGTTTCAATAAATGCACATTTTGGACTTAGAAGGACTGAGAGTTAAAAATTATGTGGGAACAGATCATAAGCTGTGATCTTTCTTTTTTCCTTTCAATTTGAGCTTGATATTCATTTGTATGACTGTGGGTCAGACTAATATAAGACTATTTTTTTTATTAAAGGGTGTCCCAGGTTCTAGAGGAAGTCCTGGCATTCAAGGTTCTCCCGGCATGGAGGTATGAGTGCATGTGTCATAGACATACCCTAAAAAACTTCACTCTACACTTGATGACGCTACTTTTCAATCTGTTTGAGCAGGGCCCTCATGGAGCTGATGGTTATAAGGGAGAAAAGGGAAGTCCTGGGGAAGCAGTAAGGAGCAATGGATTTTGTCCCTTTTATCCTTAAATGTACCATATGCAACATATTTAGTCATCACATATTCACATTTGCTTTCATAAGTTTACTTATAAGTTTTTGCATGCAGATTATTTGACAAAACATCACAAGGATAAAATTAAATAAAATCTACTTCAGGATTAAAATGAAATACATCAAATTAATCTAAGGTCATTTTTACCTATGGCATAAACAAGTGATATTTAAAACAAAGTTGCTTTAAGGTATGACAGCTCAGGAAAAATTAGCTAATAACTGTCTAAAATCTCAAAAGATTAGGTTCAAATCTTTCTATTTCTTGCCTAAACAAAGTCAGTTTCTCCCAGAAACCTCATGTATATTGCAAGGGTTTCTGTATGTTGGAGTCAATATTTGTGACTAAACAAGTTTAAACGTGAACTTAAATGTCAATGTACTGTACAGCTGTGGCCAAAAGTATTGGGAGTGCCAAACATTGTGTTTCGCAAAGTTTGCTGCTTCAGTTATTGTGGGGTTGATTGACATTGTTTCTAGATTGTTGTGCAGAGTGATTAGATGCATCTTAAATAATTGCAAAAAGCTTCATTGGCCAAAAAAAGCCTAAATTTATCACAAAAACACAAATTTCACTAGTACTCATTCACATGATTAGTGAAATGACAGTCAGGTGAAATCACTCTATCATTCTGATTGGATTATAAGAGCAGACTTGTCTTAGCAATGGTTACCTCCAAAGAAAGAGGTGCAGCCATCATCACTTTGCATCAAAATGGCCTCAACATGCAAGAAAATTGCTGCAAAGAATATTGGAAACCAAAGAACCATGTAACTGATCATAAAGAACGTCAAGTTCAGAAGTTCAGCTGCAGTGAAGGCGGCTTCAGGGCGTCCCAGAGTGCCCAGCAAGCACCATGACTGTCTCCTCCTAAGGAGTCGGCTACAGAATCATGTTACCACAAGTGCATCTGGAAAATCGATTGTCCGGAAAAGAAAAGGTGAACTCTACCATCTTAGTCCTGTGTTGTGCCAACAGTGGAGCACCCTGAGACCATCCATGTGTGGGGTTGCTTTTCATCCAAGGGAGTGGGCACTCTCAAAATTCTGCCCCAAAACACTGCCATGAATAAAGAATATTATCAAAACGTCCTGCAAGAGCAACTTCTCCCAACAATCTGTCACAAGGCAAGAGTGATAATGAAGTGTTGCCGAGATCATTACACTGAAATTTTGGATCCGTGGTCAGACAACTCCCCGGATCTTAATTCCAAACTGTGTTCAGTCCTCAAAGACGAGTGGACAAGCAGAAGTTTACAAATTGTGATTAACTATGAGCACTAATAAGGAAAGAATAAATCGCCATCAGTCAGGATTTGGCCCAGATGCTGATATCCAGCATGCCAGAGTGAATTGCAGAGGTAATGAAGAAGGGTCAACACTGTAAATATTGACTTTTTGCATATATTAGTTTGGGGGTTTTTTTGCCAAGAAAAGCCCTTAAAACTTATTAAATGCTTCTCATTGTTTTATCATTGCTTATCAAGGAGAGGACTTTGAGAAACACAAAAAATGTGTCACTGCCAATGCTTTTGGCAATGGCTGTACAACATTTATGTAGAATTTACTGAAATGATTTTTTCAGTGTGTGTGTTTTTGTCTTTAGGGTGAGAGCGGTATTCCAGGTTTAGCCGGGCCACCTGGCAAACCAGGTGAAAAGGTCAGTTTTAACCCCTTACTAGACACCCCCCATTTTGGCATGTGGGGCATAAACGACAAACCCAACATTTCGCATGGTCAAAAGCGCCAGTTAGATGACGCCTTGGGATGAGAACGGGCTGTTATTATTCTTAATGAAAAACACAACAACAAAAAAGTACAATGAAAATCTCACTTCAATAGGCTCCTTTACATTTAGCTTTAAAACCAAATCTTCCGCCAATGTCTTGTCAGACAAGAATGAGGCGAAGTGAGTGATGACTCCTGCTGATGATGTGCGGCGACTCTCGTTCGACTCATGCTGCATTGAGCAGACAGGTTCAGTTTTTAAATTGTAGTTTCTATTCTCTAACTGAACTAAATGATTTGTATTACTACTGGCAACAACAATTACTCATAGACAGCACTTTGGTCCATTCCAATGGTTTAGAAAGTGCTTTATAAATAAAAGTTAAGTTAAGTTGAGTTGAGTTATTACTATAAAAAATATAAACTACGGTGGTGGTGGTGGGGTAGCATTACCCCTTTCCCAAGTGCCAGGGTCCACGCCCTAAGATAGTGCTGGATCCTGAGCCACAGCCGAAGCAGTCCTGATGCAACAGGTGTGAAGAGGGGAAGGATAAATGGTTTTGTGTCCATCCCCCAACCCCTTGTTTAGTTACGGGCGTTGGAGGCGTTATGTTTGTTGCCAATGCTGGGTTTGCCCCACCGGATGTGTGCGTTATAGCGGATCAAAAAACAAAAATAAAAAACAAACACCTTCACAAAAAGAACACTTCTCCTCTTCTTCACAACAACACAAGCATGATCTTCCCGCCCCAGTGCAACAACCTGCCGTTCATAAAACTCCAGCCCCTTGCCACCCGAAGCCAGACTTGGGAAGCCATCCCGGGTGTGTCAGATTGGGTCTTGGGAGACGTCTCCTCCTGTGGGCACAGCACAACCTCCTTTCGGTGAGGGCAGTGCATGTGCCGGGCAGGCTGAACCCGGATTATGGTTAGGGTTAGCAGGGTATCTCAAGGGGAATGAAGACTCCAGCCCCAGATGGTTCAGATCATTCTGAGTATCTTCGGGCGAGCAGAAGTGGACCTTGTGGAAAAGTGGGCCTTGGAGGAGAACTCCCACTACCCAATCTGTGCCTGTATGCCTTTCCCCCGGTAGCTCTGCTCCCTCAGGTCATTAGCCGAGGACATCAGGTTATCAGAGAGGACATATGCTCGTCCTTCTGGTGGCCCCACTCTGACAGAACCAGTCGTGTTTCCCTGGGATGCTGCAGCTGCTAGCAGCAGCTCTTTGGCCAATTCTGGCCAATTTTGACCTTGATGAGGGATGCACCCCATCCACATTCAAGGTATATGTGGCGGCTATAAGTCATAACTCTTTCTGCTCTTCCCACTTCAGGAGTAACGCAATGCGAGTGAACCATTTCGAAGGGGAATGTTTCAGTTACTAACGTAACATTGATTCCCTGAGATATTTGGGATGAGCATTGTATATGCTGGCTGTGCTACAGCGCCGGCTAGTCGACTCTTGCTGCTCAGTCGAAATATTCTTATTAAATGGTATTAAGTGCTGGCTTATAGAGGCAGATGGTAGTCATTAGGTAGTAGAGACGCTTTCTGTGTGGTTTTCCCAAAAAAAAAAAAAAACACATCACAGCAGCCCTAAACCGAGAAGTAAATTTATAACAAGATAATTTTCTTCTATTACAAATACTTTGCATGCCCACCTCTGTTTATGTGCCGCTGCTTCAGCTTTTATTTTGTTTATTTCCAGGTTATAATTTACTAGCAGTTTTGTTCAACGTTATGTGGATTATCTTATTAAAGTGGCTATATTTGTCTGAATAATGTCTAACTATTTAAACATATAGCCTATAGGGAACTGCAGTGGCCCAAAAGCATTTGGATCCTTACTGTGATGTAAGACTGTAGCATTTGATAAAGCAAGTGGAATGTATTTTAAAGAAAGATAGCACAAGCACACAAAAAACAATTCCATGGTTCAAATGAAGACAAAGTTTCGTGTCTCCTGGCTGTCAAAGTAGAACATGTCTATAACCTGAGAGGATGTTCGCAGATGGCAAATAGTTTGTAGTGACATTCATATATATTTATGCGGGATTTAGAATTGTCCAAATACTAGTTCCGGTCACTGTTTAACTTTATGTGCCGGTTTGACTTTGATTTCAATTTTAAATTACGGTCACCCAGATATTTTTTTAAAATATATATTTACACTGAAAATAAATGTTTTACATTATGTTATGTTTTCTTACTAGGGATCTTCTGGTACTCAAGGCATACAAGGACCATCAGGCAAAGATGGGCAAGTGGTATGGTTACTTTCCTCTTCCTTTTCTTAACTCCATACAGAGCATAGAGCTTCCCCTTTTTATTTCCAGCTCGCAAAGGCAGTTTTATTTATGCCTGTTGACATGATAATTTGTTACACTTGACATTTAGGATACATTTGGTAAATAATTTTCTGTCACCACCTGACCAGTAATGCTCTGTGGTCTTTTTCTAAGACTGAAACACTGACTTTGGATTTTTACTATGCCTCAGCTCTTCATTGGACATTTTCATAGCCGTCCTCATATCTATAATCCTTCTGGGATAGTAGCAAATTAACAGCTGGGGCATTTCTTGCATCATCTTGGTTATTGAATAAGTCCCTGTCCTGAAAAGTGCTGGTATGGATAAATATAACAATATCTTTCACAAAACAAATCTGTTAATGACTTGAACAGCATTGCAACCTCATTCGTTTGTTGTGTTCCAATACTCTATTGCATTAACTGACATACTGTCTATCTTAGGGAGAAAAGGGGAGTAGAGGCCCTTCTGGTCCACTTGGATATCCAGGAGAGCCTGTATGTATATCGCTCAATTTCTCTTATTTTCTGTAAGTGGTCAGAAATTATGCTTTAATGCCATCCGTGTGTGTGTTTATCAAGGGGGCACCTGGCAGGGATGGAAAAGACGGAATTCCAGGAGGAATTGGTCTAAAGGTCTGTACTGATCTAGTTCTTCTCACCGTAAAAAAAAAACTGAACATGTTTATTGGCTTCCTTGAACTGTGAACATGGACCATTGAGAATATTTGGCAGGAGGCTACGCAAGATCCTAAGATGCCGTATTATTTGACAGAATTGCATGAAACATTATGCTAGTACAGAATCTCCTTATGGAAAGCTATAAAAAGGTTTGCACCATCGTTTCCTCTTTCATGCTGATCTACACTGTCTTTTTCCAGGCTTACAGATGGCTTATATTAAACCAAGCTGTTCGTCAACATGTTGGTGGTTGCCTATATGATAAATCCTGGATTATATGCTTAGTTTCAGACATTCTATAAACATGCACTACTCCATTAAAATGTAGCTAGAGAAAAGTAATACACGCACCCTGGGCAGCTTGTCAATGTCTTTACATAATTATAATCATTATGTTGACAAAATTGCCATGATTAAGTACTTTTTGCTTACACACCTTCTTGTCTATCATACCCCTTGCTTTAAGAGACATTAATAATGCTTTGCAGTGCCTCACGTTCTCAAAGTCATGAGACGCCAAGATTTGACGTATCTGCAAAACACACGGTTGCTTTCTTGATTTGATTCCCAGCATATTCAGTGGAATGCCATTTTTTCCAGCATCTTGTTTATAATAAAGAAAGATGCATTTGAAGTGAAATGTAATGTTCTCCATATTGTGTACATGAAAAATGTGCTCAGTTTTAATTTACATGGAAAATTATTTCTCCCGAATTCAGTGTGTGTAGCCTATTGTCTGCATCACCAAATTGAAATACAAAAATAATGACTACTTTCCAATAAATTTCAAACACTCCTATCCACCTGCAAAGTTGCACTTTTATTCTGACTATGTGATCTTTGTCTCTTCAGGGAGATCCAGGACCGCCTGGAATTCCTGGAGTGGATGGAAGAGAGGGACATCCTGTGAGTAAATCTTAAAACAGCTAAGATCATTGCCAGGTGTTTTAGTGGGTGGACCGCATTGAAGTGCAAGCTGTTAAATAATACCAGGCCGCATTTGAGCATAGAAACTCGTGAGAAATACACTCTTTTTACTGCATCTAATACAATTTTCCAGTTTGGCTGACTGAATTGACATGATTTTAAGTCTTATTGGTGTTTAAGTCTTTGCACCTGGACAGGGCAGAAGAAGATTTCTATGTAGCCTAAGAAAAAACCATGAGTGACTCAGCAAGGCAGTTCAGCAGACTAGCGCTGGCAGTTGAACTCTTCTTTAGAGAAATGGGGTCTAAGAGCCATAGCTTTGTGGCTCTACTGGGCATAATGAAAGTCTACTAACTGGAACCATCTAGCTGGTCTTGGGACAAATAGCAGCGGACTAAATGCATACAGTACAATGTCTCCCATTTTAGATGATTTAGTTCATTCTCAGCATTTGCTTCAGGATCCAGATTTTACATTGAACATCAAGTGGCTAAACATAGTACAAACATCGAATAAATGGTATCAGATCATTATTCTGCAGACATTGTGACCATTCAAATCCAGAAAACAAGCAATATCCAAAGTGAATTCGCCTTTGGCTAAGCCACACCCTAGAATGTAGATTGACCAATCACAGCGCAGCCAAGAACGAGCTCCCACAGTGGTCCAACACTTTTTCACAGCGCTCCATTGACTTTAACACAGGCGTCTCATATTTTTGGTCTCTGCAGGCTATTACTGTCGTAGTTTTGTCAAAAATATGGTTAAACGTTGTGCCTGGGGCATTTGTAACACAGATACGCGTTTCCCAGAGAGGTTGGAGGGGGGTGTTCGTTTTTTTCCCTTCCCAAAACCGAAGTCAAATCCTGACAAGTGTCGTCTAGCACACGCTGCTAATAATACAACGTTGTACTCGCGTAGTCCATTTGCTTTGTAATAACGATTATAGAAGTGAATAGAGACCTACCCAGCTTTGCATGAACAGTGTTGCTCCTTGATATTGTTAGTCCCAGCCTCCGTCTCCATTAGTAGGATATGCGGTGGTTCATTTTTTGACTGTGACCGGTATGCTTTTGCCTCTATTTGGATGCCTTGTTGTTCCTTGCGTTTCACCTGTATGTCGTGAATATAGCCTTCAAACGTATATTGCAGCCGCTTTTGCCTACTTATATCGGACACTTTATAAAAGTTTGATAAAATTTCAGCAGGAAGAGCGGTCACAGCATAAGCCATGTTGATACCAAACCAGAGCCCAGATGAAGTTTGTCGGACGTAGCAACAGTAACTAAGGGGGGCGGGGCTTAGCCAAAGGTGAATTGACCAGGTTTAGACATTTTTTGATAATATCCTCCTTGGCTGCAGAGGATGGCTCCTTCCTCTTGGCCAGTTTTACTAAAAGATAAAAACAAATTGTGTCCAATAATCAATGAGTAGTTGCACTACTCATCACATAGTCTATATACTTATTTAAAAAATGTAGTCAAGTAGAGAAAAAGTGATGATGTCCGCACAATTCGGCATGTTTCACTGCATTTCGCAAATGAAACAATTGAAATGCCGCATACCACGTACATTAGTTTTACACCCCAAGCACAACTATACCTCGCAAAATGTTTACGTTTGGAAATGTCTCCTTTGGTAGACATTACTTGCCAGTACTACTGTACCTACAGTAATTAGTGAGATTATATTCCAATTAATTCAGTTCAATTAATTGAGTTTCAGTTTCATTTTTGTACTTTACTGGCAGGACAAAAACAGAGATATGTTGTCAAAGCTTGGGCATTGCACGGGTAATTGGCAATTGATAATTGGTGCTTAACTAGTTTGGGGGAAAAATCATGCACTATATAGTATACATTAACACTCACTGTTAGCCAAGTTTACCTCTTGTACTATTCTTTTCTAAGGTCATTTTCAGTGACATGAGAATTTATGTCCTCAAAGCAATGGAAGGTACTTTTTGCAACAAGTTTCCATGTTCTTTTACTGGTCCCTGCAGAGCAAACTCAGACCAAACATCTGCTTCCGCTTATCATGGAAAATGCCCAAGGTGGCTTTGTTGGTTATGCTAAAATTGTAAAACATTGTTTATTTTGCTGTTCATTCATAAACCACCAACTGTTTATTACTGTTTATACTGAGGCTATTTAATGAATACAACCTTTAGACCTTAAACAATGAATCATAAACATGCAATGGCCCCAAAAAGAATGATCAAAATTGGTAACACTTATTGTCTGTTCATATCATCTTATGCTTTACCTAATTGAACATTATTGGAAATTGTTAAAGGATAATTAAACATTTACTCACTTAAATTAGATGATTTCATTGCATTCGATGACAAACTTTAAAACTTAAAAATAAAAACAATAAACAAACAACCACCCTTTACACACATTGGCAATAGAATCGCCATTGGCTTGTAATTTTTTGTCTACTTGTCAGACTTAGCCGGCAGTGGCTTCTGCATAGTCTTAGGGTGTATTCCCACCTGCCTTGTTTGGTTCGATTGAATCGAACTCTAGTTCGTTTCTCCCCTTGGTGCGGACCTTTTGGGCAGGTGTGAATACAGCAATCGAACTCGGGTGCGGACCAAACAACCGAACCGAGACCCAGCTGAAGAGGTGGTCTCGGTACGGTTCCAAACGAACTCTGGTACGGTTCGTTTACGGTGTGAACATGAACCGACCCAATTGCAAGAAAGCACTGCGCCTTTGAGTTAACAGGCTTCCGTAGTCGGAGTTGCGTTATGGGAAAGTGATCTGCTGTAGCCTACTACATTTGATAAGATGAGTCGTGGTTTGACCTGGAGCTTCGAAGAGACGAGCTGCCTTATTAACATTTGGGCAGATGCCCATGTAGCACAGAATAACACAAAATTAGTAAAAGAACAAATATTGCAGTACGAAATATCTCCATGCTGAGCCTTTTTTGCACTTCCTGATTTCCCTACTTGAGAATCCTTGTCCAATGAATGGACGACCTTAGCACACGTGTGGTTTTGTTTACAAATTTTGGTTCACTTGCAAAAAGAGCAGTGTGAAAGCGAACCGTACAAAAAAATATATATATATTTTATTTGGTCCGGACCAAAGCAAGTGAACTATAGGACTTTCCTGGTGTGAATACACCCTTAAAAGCTTTAATTCCAAACTAATTCTGTCATTTTAACAGGAATATCCCTATCTCTTTGTATCAGAGAAAGAAGCAGAGAGTGTGCTTTTAGCCAAGTCTGATGCCTACACACAGTTTACACTGCATGAGGCTATAACTTTTCTTTGAACTCATTTTCTGAGTAATTTTTACAATAAATTTTAACCAAATGGTGTCAGTGTGATTTTAGTGTATGGCTGTGTTCGAAATCGCCACCTATAGCCTCATTCACTATCCCCTATACATTACTCAACTAATATAGTCCACTTGAAGGAGTGAATAAAAACGAGTGAGTAAATTCAGACACTGAGTGCGCCGGGTCGCTTTTACATAGTTTGTACTTGCGGTTTAATAATCATTTGAATTTTAGCAAACCGGCAGCTCCAGTAGTAGTCAAGTCACCTTTATTTATATAGCGCTTTTTACAATACAGATTGTATCAAAGCAGCTTCACAGTGATAACGTGAAAATAATACAACAAAGTTTGTTTCTAGAAGAAAATTGCATCAACGTACACCTTAAGTAAGGCAGATCAATAATATTGTTGAATATTAAATGTCCCCAACTAAGCAAGCCAAGTAATGAAAAGATTTACTAAGCAAGCCTAGTAATGAAAAGATTATCTTGAACTCTTGTCATGGAAACTTGCATGTATAAACCTTAATGAAACAATTAAATAATCAATTAAAAAGGAAGATATACCTGTATGATATTATGCTGTAGCCACATTGGACCAGCGGTTTGGAAAATGGATAGATGGATGATTCCGCTGCGGGCGTCATCTTATGATCAGACGCGGGAATTCATTCAGCGCATGACTCATAGTGCATTATGGGTATTCTTTAGCTGTTGAGCGCACATCTGTTGTACACTCATTATTGTGGTGCATTATGGGATTGAATGAGTGCAGTAACGTCCACTATGGTTTCGGACAACACTACAAATGGCTGTCCCCTCAAATACTGCCCTATTTAAGGGTATGGGGCGATTTTCGACACAGCCCATGTATGAATGCAGTTCCCCTCAAGTTCACACAGGTGTCCTAGCAGGGTAACGGGTAACGACAGGTGTAGTTCATCACATTAACTTTGAACATGTTTCACTAACTTCTACCAAACAAAACGAGTCCAAATATTAAAACCTAATACTTTGATATATTTGAAAAACTTTGAAAAGTGTTGTTGTGTTAGTTTTAAAATAAATGGCACTTGTAGTTTCATGCGTTGGTCAAAATACGTTTAGGGGCACTCCACTGTTTATGTTATATTTTCCCTCTGTGGATAATGTTCTATGCCCTGCTCAAGAAGGGCCTGCCAATAACAATTTACAGCATAACATTTGTGGTACTGACGTCTAAACATTGTACTTGGCAATAGTTGCTTAAAACATTTATACATTGATTCTTGTTTCACTTCAGTAAGACGGTGTTCAGAAGGCACTGCCAAAAGCCAGGCAGATGAAATCAAGACAGCTGTTTCTAAGTTTCTTACAGACCTACAGCACAAAGAAACAGCATTTAAAGAAAGAGATGCAGATAATCAGAACATCGCTAGTTTTAAAAGTGTTGGGCTGGAGGGAGGCCTTTCACAAGATGCACATATACCAGGGGTCTTCAACGTTTTTCAGGGCAAGGACCCTTAGGCGATAGAGAAACAGAGCAGGGACTCCCGATACAACATGTCAAACAGATCTATGAAGCATATAGCTTTCGATATTAATAGAAACCAATCCTATTGTGATAGTTATATTGTTGTTGCACATGCATCATTGTCTGTATATTACTTTTCGTTGTTAAAATTGAGATTTATGCATCATAACAA